GTCAAGAAATTGACTGAAGATCAAAACTCTATGACCGCGCTCTTTGAGCTTCGGCAGCATTAGTTGTAAGAGCTGGAGCTTTCCAGCCGCCTCTACTAGATGCTTGTGAGATGTAGCAGCATTGTTTGTCCGCTCTTCAATAGCTGTACTATAAATAAATGGATGGCACAAGCATTTTCGAAGTTGCATCAGGATATTGTTCAGGTTTTGGCGTTCGGCTTGTTTGGGACCATGATTGTCATTCTTTCGCTGGAAGATGGCCTTGATCAACTGTGGGTTCTTCGCCAGAATGGACTTATACAACTTCTTCTGGACGACAGACATAGACACTGGAACAATGATCTGGACCACCGGTGGGAGAAAAGTGAGCACCTGGGCTTTTGTTCGGCGTAGGAAAAATGGTCGGATCATGTTGTGAAGCTCAGGAATATTCTCTTTTGATAGTACTCCATACTCGTTCTCCAGTTCCTCCGCATTCTTCGTTGGGTCGCAGAATTGGAGAAGATTGAACAACTCCCTGGTGTTGTTTTGCAGAGGGGTGCCCGTCAATAGAAGTTTGAAAGGGAAGTGAATCCGAGACAGTGACTCATATAACTGGCTTTTGTCATTTTTCAAACGTTGGCCTTCATCGACGACCAGGCCAGCCCAGGGTACTTTGGCGAGGACTCTTCGAGAGGCATCATCAGCCATGGTTTCATAGGAAGTCACAACTACATGGCACCTTAGGTCATGGCTGCCCTCATTAAACATCTCATACTTCTGCGCCAGTTGACGCGAGAACGAGGATCCATAGTACGTGACCACCCGAATAGAGGGAACCCATGCCTTTATTTCCTTCCGCCAGTTTGGACACGTCGAGTTTGGTACCACAACAAGGAATGGCCAGCATTTATGATACTGTATCAAAGTCGCAAACAGGCCAATCACTTGAATGGTCTTCCCAAGACCCATTTCATCAGCAAGAATAGCGTTCTGCTGTTTGAACCACATGTAATAAAGCCAATTCAAACCATCTTTTTGATAGTCCATCAGTTGCCCCCCTGTCATAGATTCAGGTTGTGATTCTTTGACTATACTTTTCTTGAAGTTTTGCTTTCTGACCTGATCCAGATGCTTTCTGAGAGATTGTTGGTTTGGCATATGAGTGTAGTCACGTTTCACCCAGTCCTCGTACGCAGTTTTAAAATCGGCCCACCTCTCGGCATTATTACGGTCAGGTGGCGAGTCCCATACTGCGTCCTCATATGTTAGGCCCTTGAACTTTATGTAGGCTTTAGACACCTTGTCAACCCGTGATATATCTGTTTCAATAGATTGATCCTCCGAGCTGTCGTCATTGTCTTCATCTGCGTACTGGACATCAAAAATAATGTCCGCTCGAAGAAAGTCTTCCGGTATTGCCTCTTCAGTTGTCATATCTGGGTTCGAAGTTTTGTTCGATCTGAAAAAAGCTCGTCGCATGGCCGGGCTTACAACGCTCCAAACCCAGCTGCCAGGCACCCAGGTAGTATGATTATAAGACATTGTTTTCCATTTTATTAGGTACTCTTTGTCAACCTCCTCCATGACATTCGCGCTGTACCCAGCAACGTATGTCTTAAGGTCTGTTGGCCGCCAGGCAACTATTGCACCGATCTCTCCACGGGCCGAAGAGCAGTCTCCGCAACGACCTGTCGTTTCATGATCCGCAGAGACATGGTCAAAATGGAACGCTCTATGACATTCAGTACAGCGAAAGAGCAAGTTGGCTATATTATTCAAACAAGCCATATCCACATGGGTAATAGGATCTTTGCCACCATTCTCCTGCCGAAGCTGCTGCTCCTGCTTTGGCGTCAAGCGCTCCCGAAGTGGTTTAGACATATTCCCTTTCTTAGCACACGCGGTACAGCGGCCTTGGTGTGGGCAGACCTGGTCTTTCGTATGGGCAACACCTAGGCAGCGACGACACTGAAGAACAAACAAGTCATCTGAAACCTTAGTTACAAGGTGTTCGCGTATAGCTCTAGGACCCAGGCAAACTTGGTGATAAGCGCTTGTACATCCCTGGCAGAAGACAAGAGGGCCTTTCGCATAATCATCTCCACTGCGGTAGCAAACTGCGCACATTTCGTTATGTATACATCGGAACGGGTCATCAGATGGGATCTTGTGAAATAATTCCTTTGCTCCGAAAAACTTCTGAGTCTTGGCGACATCTTCAAGCTCAGAAATGTCCTCTTCATACCTCTCCCTGAGATTTTTTCGAAGAGTCTTCCGCTGCCGGGTTGAAAACCGCGAGCCTGTAGGCCTTGCGGCATAGTCGCTTTCTATGTCTGAGTCTCCTAAGCGTGTCTTGGCTTGTTTGTGCCTCCTTAAACGTCTTTTCCTGGTGGTTGCCGTAGCCGATATGATAACATCATCACTCGAAGATGATCTAGATCGAGACCCCTCGTCCTCACTGCTCATACGGCTAAAGAAATCTGTGAACTGAGTATTTCTAGCTCGAGTAGAGCGTCGCCTTGCCCTTGACTCAGATGAAGTATATCCCTCTTCATTGGACGAGGAAGCCATGCTGGACGGGAACTGTAATGAGCTTCCGTAGACTTGTTCTGTATTTTGGAAATGTGTGAGGGCTTCGGGTCCGTTGCTTAGCCTCTCAAGTCGAGAAGACGACATCTATATGGAAGCAGATACGAGTAAGATAGAGGTTAGGTAAAGGTTGTGTGAGAAGAAACATAGTACTTACCGTTTCAGTTTCTCCACTGCGCAATTTAACTAGATAGGAAGGCTCTTTCGCAGTCTCTATTGCCTCACTTATAACACAACGGACATCAAAATGTCCGGGGAGAAAGTCATATTCATCACTATTAGAAATTGTCGGAGTCTCTACCGCCAGCTGTGATTTGGAAGGTCCTGGTGAGCCTTCAGGTATTGGGGAATGAGACTTGCGCTGAAATTGCGACAGGAGGTCTGCGACAAGATCCTCTTTCAAGTGAGATGCAATTTCTTCATCCATCTTGGGTATTTCGTATCTTGTGGTACTCTCATACAAATTCACGATAGCAGGGACACTGATAAGGGAGAGGAAGGGTACTTCAAATTTGAGGTCGCTGGCAATTGAAAAATATATGACAGAACATTAATGAGAAAGCTACAAGAAAGGAGCGGACTGTGAAATCTTCTTCATTAGGGAGCAGAAATGAATGAGTGAATCAATCGCCAGTAGCACAACTGTTTAACAAAGGATCCACCAAATTTCCCAACTGCGTAATATTGCATCTAAACGCGACGCGTGATCCCTCGGATCAAGAATGATCCGCTTATCTTATCGGACCTTCAGCAAGCTTCCGTGGAAAAAAAAACATCAGCTTTGCTAAATCCTGCATCCAACAGCGATAGCTTTACGTACGGAGTTCTATTATTATTATTATTTGTTTCTCTGATTGTCTGCCATGTCTCGCCGTTCACTATTGAAGCCCTTGCATTCATATATGCACTTATCTATAGCTCCGTCCATTCACCTGAATCATGTGAGACATGCTTCACTTAACTCGGCCATTGGTCGTGGTATCCGCAAGACCAGGGGCTTTGACGGTCCGTCTTCATCGCGAAATTCGTACGATTCTGACTTTGAACGACCATATAGAGAAAGAACGGACACGAAATCGAATAGAACCGAAAAGAAAAACCAAGGCAGAAATTGGCTCGATGATGACTTTGACGAGGAAGAGTTTATCAGAACAGGCAATTTCCGCGCACTGCCTCGCGAACACCAACGTTTCCAGAGCAGTAAGAGGTTTACGAAGAATGAAGTCAGAGGACACGATGGCCGTGAGTTTAGCGACAGACCTCAGGACAAGCGTCACCCTCGCCGAGCGGAACCACCGAAACACCACCGTGCCACAGAGAGAGTACCAGAGCGGGTAAAAGAAAACGTGCAAGTCCCTGATGCAATCCCATACACAACACCGGCATCGGAATTCATATATGGAACCAGCGCAGTGGAGGCTGCACTACGCTGCAGCAGACGTCGTCTGTACAAATTGTATGTGTATCAGGCCTCTGGTGAAGAACTAAGCCCTGTCAAAGTTGCACTACGCAAATTGGCGCTTTTGAAGAACGTCAAAGTCAAGATGGCTTTCGGCGGATGGGACCGGCTTCTTGATAAGATGAGTGCTGGTCGACCTCATAATGGTTGCGTCCTTGAAGCGTCCCCTCTGCCAAGATTGCCCGTGAGGGGTTTGAAGAGTGTTCCTTCTGTGAAAGAGGAGGATTTTGGTGTAGAACTGGGCGCTCAATCACGAGAGGAAGCATTGGTGAATAGTACGAACGACAAGCTCAAAATCCATCATTGGGACCAGAAAACAAGGTACCCTGTTGTATTATTACTTGATGGAATCGTGGATCCTGGAAACCTGGGCGCCATTATTCGTTCCGCATATTATCTTGGTGTCGATGCTATTATATTCGCTGGTAGAAACTCGGCGCCTTTGTCCCCCGTGACAATCAAGGCCTCGGCTGGAGCAGCTGAAAATATGACTCTTCTCGAAGTGAATAACGAAGTGGATTTCATTCAGCGCTCGAAAGCCAACGGGTGGAAATTCTACGCCGCAGATGCCCCAGGTCCAGCTTCCAAATACGTGGACACTACTTCCTTTGTTGAGGATAAAGGTACGACCCAAGGGAGGCATGTTAGCACCCAATCGCCTTGCGTTATCATGATGGGGAGCGAGGGATCCGGATTGAGTCGTCACATTAAATCGCATGCAGACTCTATCGTGAGCATCCCTGGAGCCAGACTTGCTACACCTCTTGGTGTCGAGTCTGACCCTTCTAGAGTGGACAGCCTTAACGTCAGTGTGGCAGCAGCACTGCTGATGGAAATGTTTCTACGAGTACCACTTGCGGTGGCCGATGTGCCTACCAAAAAAGCTCGGTAAACATGAATTGGAAGAATAATAATGACAGCTTGTAAATATATCACCTGTACATTAGCATACTTGGACCTTACGGACAAAATCATAATCTCCATACCCAACAACATTCATCAAGGAAACGTTCACATCATAAAAGTAATACTTGGGCTCAGCTCTTTTTCTAGACTTCTGCATTGGCCTGCACAGCACCGAATCGAAGAGAACCGAAGTAAAATATCTATGTCATTTGTTCTGTTAGAAGAGCATACGAGGGGTGTTTGGAGCAAGCAACTCACCGCATATAGCCCATCCAAAAATGTTCCACCAAGGATGTCAAATTCGAGCGATCCACGGCTCTGAACACCGCCATATACGTAGCCAGGTTTAGCTTCAGCAAACATCAGGCTCTCTTTTGACATAACGAACGATTTCTCCCCCACTGCTAACTGGACGACTGGAAGCTGGCCTATATTGACGTCAGATGGTATGATAAAGCCTTGGCTTTCAATATCATAGAGTGCGCCTGGGATAGAATCATAAATGGCTTGACACGTTTGGTCATCAAGTAGAGTCAATGCTGCGTCGGTATCGACAACAGCCTTGTTCTCAGATCTATTCATTGCCTTTCCTCCAACCGTTGCAGAAGGTGACTCAAACATCCAATAGCCTCGACTATTGTCGATAGGCGTATGATGAACATCATGGTCACAATAGCGCACGGCATCCTCGTCAATGGAGCCAAATGTGTAAAACGGTTTCTTTAGGTCAGAGTCGCCCCAAGATCCAAGTTTTACTGTGAACAACTTTGCAGATTGTTCGAGGTCGTCTCCGATATTCAAACGCTCAGCCAGGGCCTTGATGTCCTCCTGGGGATGATTGATATGCCCAAACGCCAGCCCGAGAACGCCATCTGCTGAGAATTGTGTGAACATTGGCGACATGGTTTTGGCAAGCTGAACGGGCTGTGCCTTGAAGGCCGCTCGTCCAATGGTGATATCTTCTGTACCGATGGTACCAGACACCAAAGAACCGTCCACATAGGACACTTTCCATGGCGAATCTTCGATGTCTTTAAATGTGCTCGACTTTTTGGGATCAAAGGTGTGGCTCTCCCCCCTACCCTCGGGTAGTGTATCTGCAGGGAGTTCACTAGACCGCACCTGCTAGGGTTAGTATGGTGGATTTTGCCTTTCTCCTATCTCGAGCGATATAGATATATCTTACCCAAAAATCAGTAGACGCTGTATCCAAGACTAGATTCAAAGTTCGAGCCGGGGTTCCGATGCTCATTGGCATAAAGAACACGGCATCATTTTGGATATCATCTTTCTCGACTTGCTTGAATTCGTCGTCCGAGGTTTGTTTTCGCATTACGTCGTGAAAGCGAACTCGACCGCCGATAGGCTTGTCAGTGAAGGGCCGGCCAGTCTGATGAATAGCTCGACCGATAGAATAGGGGCCATTTCTGGTGGGATGCAAACGGTATTTGCGTATCAAATGCACATAGGACTTGATCCCAGATTTGCAGTAGTTTGGATTTTCAACAAGGAAGATCTTGGATGCCATGATGATACTAGTTGCGTTTTCGTCCGTTCAAGCGAACTCGGGAGTAGACTTATATTTAAGATGATGATGATGGAATGACAATAAGTTTCAAGGTAGCCATCACTGCTGTCCTAGTGTCAGAGTCCCCACTACTAACTTACCTGCGGATCTAATTCTACCTTGCACGCTAAGGATGATCTACAGTTACAGTGAGCGACCGTCGGCCCAATGAGATTCAACACACGGCAACATTGAGGGGTCAGAATAAATTAGAAGCTGCGTAAGATAGATAGCATTTTAATAATTCAGTGGCAACGTCATATGTTGCATGGCGAATCAAGCAAGGCAAGTGTCATCATTGCCAACCTGAAAGGCCCTCGTCGACTTTTGGATCCCGATTTTCTGTCATATGATCAATGGTTGCCTGAGGATATCCTATAGTTAATCTAGATCGGAAGCTGATGGAAGCTCCACATTAGGAAGTATTCTATTGCTTTTGTATACATTTCAGATACCATACCGCACAGGTACAGATGGATAGCTATTGTGTTACAGAGAAAGATATGACAAGAACCGTGAAGCGAGATCATCAACAATGGCATCTATGGGCCAACGCCAGACCGACTTATATCGAAAAACGAACCAAACCCCTCGCATGGCCAATTACCTTCCCAAGCACTGCAGAACGGTCATAACAATATTTAGCTGTTTAACAACTATCGAACACTGTCAGAGTTACTTCTTCCGACTTTTTGTCTTAGATGCCGTGTTGGATGAGACACTGGCTGCCCGTGACGTCGACGTAGAATTGGCTTTGCTGCCGCCTTTAACAGCTTTGACCTGCTTGTTCTACGAGAAGATACACACGTCAGTTGAATACCTCGAGAGTTTTAACAAGGCCGAACTTACCACTGCGCCGCCCTTATTCTTCTTTTTAGCCGGTGCTCCATCATCATCGTTTTCAGCATCCTCGTCGTCTCGATCACGTCCACGGCCCTTGCCAGACTCGCCATTGGCTTTCTCATCCGCAACTTCAAACTCCTTTGCAACAGTGTTCAATAATGTAGTACAACGGCGTCCAATCTCCACGGGTGTTCGGCTAAGGAAAAACCAGTCGAACCGGAAGAGTGGGGACTCGCGAATTTCATCTCGTATTTTCTCGTACAGTCCCTCACCATCCACTCCATACTTATCGAGCATCACCAGTAAAAACCGATCCTCTTCTTCGGTATAAACCTTCTTATTGGTGGTAGACACCGTGTAATTGATCTTAAGTTGCTGAAGAGGAACCCGGTACATCTCCATCTTCTTGCGAAGCATTTTACGCTGATGGTTCATCTTGCGCAGCTTCTCCTCTCCCTGCTCAACAACGCGGAGATATTTAGGGTAGTCTTGGATCTCGGTGTATCTCTTCCAAAACACTTTGGCGTATTCTTCAACTTCATCTGGTTCCTTGCTATCCACTTCAGTGGCGATCCCAACATAATCGGTGCGTCCGAACTTGGCGGAGCCATTAACAAACTGCTGGAAATCACGGCGATTCCAGGTTGAAAAGCCTTCTTCTGACATTTCAGCCTTCTGCGCCTGCTCTTCTTCCGTCAATGGCACTGCATTGTCAATTTCTTGTTGCTCTAGATCGCGCTCGGCTTCACGCTCACTAAGTTCCTCTTCAGGTCCATCAGGGAGCGGAACCTTATAGCCGATCTCTTTGTGGAAGTAGGCGGTCTCTTTCTCCTGGAGTTCTTGGAGTCCTGGAGGGAAGAACTGCCAATCGTGAACGGCAATTTGTTTAGGTGCCCGAGGGACTTTCGGTTTGGGATCAGCCGTCCTTCCACCAGTAGCTAGCGCTTGGCGATAGTATTTGTCAATAGAGTAGAACTGCTCTTTCCGTTCGCGTTTTGCCGGGTTGATCCAATTGAGGCCGATGTCCTTCTTGCGATCTGTGAAGTCCTTTCCGTTCCATTCGTATGCACTTTCGGAGCTAAACTTTTGCAAATCATCGATACCAAGTTTCTCATATTTCTTGCTCAGTTCTGCAGTTCGCTCCTCGCCCTTGCGTAATATCGCATCAATATCATCGTCGGAAATTTGTTTATCAGCATTCAAAGGTGCGGCTGAGTTCTCATTGCTGAAAACGTTCGCAGCTCCGTGCTGAATCATGCCAAGCAGCTCCTCCTTTGACGCGGCGTTCTTGGTCTGCTGCTGAGCACGGCCTTGTTGAATAACAAGCTGGTCTAACCGCAGTTTCTGGGCTGCACGTTCCAAGACCTTCTCTTCAATCGCATTCTCTGTGACAAATCTGAATACAACCACTTGCTTCGTCTGACCAATACGATGAGCGCGGTCCATGGCCTGTAGATCAGCCTGAGGGTTCCAATCACTGTCGTAGAGGACAACGATATCTGCAGTCGTCAAGTTAATACCAAGACCTCCCGCCCTAGTTGTAAGTAAGAAGACAAATTTATCCGACCCTGGCTTGTTGTAATCGTCAATTGCAGCGATTCTATCCTCATGAGCTGTCGTACCATCGATACGACAATAATTGTACTCTCTGAAAACACAGTAATCTTCCAAGATATCAAGCACACGACTCATTTGGGAGAAGATAAGAACACGGCTTCCCTGTTTCTGCATACGTGCCAAGAGCTTGTCTAAGATTGACATCTTGCCGGCGTTGTACACAAGATGCTCATCCGTTGTATAAGGAGGACCTGGCTCAGCTCCTTCAAAAAGGTAGGGATGATTACAACATTTGCGAAGTTGCATGACAATGTTCAAGAGACGGGTTTTAGATTCGCGCTTTCCAGCTGCACCGTTGACAGCATCGATATCCTTTTCAAGAATCTTCTGGTACCACTTCACTTGCATTTCTGACATGGGCACATACAGATTGACCTCCTTCTTGGGAAGCAAGCTCTTCTCTACATCGCTCTTAACACGACGGAGGAGGAAGGGTCGTAATACTCGGTGAAGTTGCTGAACAACGGTGTCCTGGTCAGACTCTTGGTTTGAAAACCATTGATCGAACGCCTCCGAGTCACCAAAAACATCCGGCAAAAGGAAGTTTAGAAGGGCCCAAAGTTCATGGAGGTTGTTTTGGAGAGGGGTACCAGTAATCAGCAGCCGATTCCGAGAATGGAACACACGGATGATCTGTGCGAGTGACGATTCTTCGTTTTTGATTCTATGGGCCTCGTCGATGATAATGTACTCCCAAGCAAACTTCTTGAGGTGAGACTTCTCCCGAAGAACCATTTCGTAACTGGTGATGCACACATCGAAGTTCTCATCAAGGAGTCTTTCGTTTATTAACTTATGGCGCTCCTCCTTGTCTCCCTGAAGAACAAGAACATTAACGTCAGGTGTCCATTTGTGGAATTCGCGCTTCCAATTGTCGAGCGTAGATTTCGGCACGGCAACCAAGTGAGGTCCAGTAATGTCGCAGACATGTCTGAGGTACCCGAGAAAAGAAATGGTTTGGAGGGTTTTACCCAAGCCCATTTCATCGGCAAGGATACCAGAAATACCATTTTCATGTAGAGAAACAAGCCAGTTCAATCCAGCAATTTGATAATCACGCATCTCTCCATTAACGAATGGCGGGGATTCACGAAAGACGGTGCCGGTCTCGCCGCCACTCTTCTCATCCTTCAATAGCTCTGCGTCTTCCTCTTGTTCCGTCCTGCGACGCCTATCACCACCTGCACCGCCTGAACGTGACGAGCCCTTTTTCTTGGCCTTTGCCTCTTCCTCATCATTTTGCCGGTCTATCTCGGCCATTATTTCTTTGATCCGTGGGTTGGGGTTGGTTTCAATAAAATGGCGAAACAAATCGGTAAGCCCGAGGAGGTAGCGGAATCTCCGAATCGAATCATCTTCCTGTAGAAGACTGTCATAAGAAACCCCAGCCCGACAAGTGAGATTAGAAATGGACTACTATACCTTTGACTCGTCCAGACGACCATGCTTTTTACCCAGAATACTTTTCCTTAAATGAAATGCCTCAGATCGCTTCCTTCGGCCATCGACGGGAACCGTGTCGCCTGCAACACTGCTTGCTGTGGTGTTTGGGTTTGTATCCGAATCCTGGTTCGCGCCGGTTAGCCTGTGTATTGGGAAGTGCTGGTAAATTGCGTAGAAAGTACCGTATAGTCAGGAGTGTCCTGGTAGCCCTGTGTGGAAAGAAAAGTCAGCATGAACGGAAGTCCGCTAATATACATCACTTATCAATGCGCGCAAGCCAGAGCTTGTGCGAAAGTGATTTGACTGGGTTCTGTCGCGTACCCCCATTTGCGCGTCATCTACAGGTACCGACGTGACGGGTTCATCATTTGCATCTGTCATGGGAGTATCTGCCTGAGAGGGTGTTTCTGAATTGGGTGCGAACGAAGGCGCCATCTTCGTTTTGGGCGCACTCAGCGCAGATAACTTGTGTTATGTATATAGAACCGAACACGCCTTGCAAGCGCTCCGAAACACGATAGGAGGTAAACTGAATGGGGACGCTAAGACGTTAATTACCCACTGTTCTGAGATCGATTTGGGTGGGTATAGGTTTATCGAGGGATTGATTCCCAGTATGTAACAAGGAGCGGGAATTGAACAATAAAGGTTGATGAAAGAAGTAGTCGTCAGTCGCGCCGGGATGGCAAATGGAATTTCGTCGGGGAAGCGCGGCCGTCCTACGCGCTTATTGGACAGGGGACGCGAGTTTATAATTAGTCATATATGAGTCATCAACCGGCGGAATACAGGTTTCCCCGCTGTGGGTCACGTTACCGGGACAAAAGCAAAGAAAGATCACCTGCACAAGTATCATCACTGATCATCGTCACCAGGTTTCCTTGCTTCCTTTCAACCTAATCTTTTTCACTACAGTTCCCAATTTTCCGTGGGGTGCGACCTAGACATCGGTTCTAATTGGCCTTGTTTTCCTTTTCTCTGTTTCTATTTCAGTACGATATTTGTTGCTATCTTTTCAGGGAGCACGGTTCATCTCGCCCCTCCTAGTGGCGCCAACCGCATATTGTTTTGAAGTTAAGGAGGGATATTAATACGGCTGCTTGATTTACAGCACGATCTACCATGGACTCCATGCGGTCATTGAACACATCACTACCTAGCTCGACTCCTCGCCCTCAACCTCCTGAACAACTTTTACAATCGTTCAAAGCGGCCGCACTGTCTGTTACCAATCTTTATAAAAACGCAGTCTTCGAGCAATCACAGGCGAAGCAAGCTGGCTACCAGGAAGCAATTGAGGACCTACTTCATTTTCTAGACAAGGAAAGCCTTGGCCTTGCCGGTGGAGAAGGAACGAAAATCCGACAATGGGCAATTGAAAGGAGTGATGGAACCGGGACTCCGAGCGACGATGACGAGCCTGAGAAACAACATCGAAGCACTAGCCCCGTTGCTACACGCAAGGAACAAACCAAGCCAGAAGGCGCCCGACAGCCACCCAAGTCGACCTCGACTGATGAGCCCGTTGCTACGCAGCAACAGACCCCACTTTCCAACCCTCAAGTCACCGAGGCAAATACCCTTGATAGACCAGCAGTCTTTACTTTCACTGCTGGGCCTTCATTTCCCCCATGCCAAGAACCTGATGTAGATATGCAATCCTCCGACAGCTCAACTGCCTCATCTCAAGATAGTTCACCTGTGAGTGTATCTGTCCTTCCTCGGACCTCTCGGCAACAAGCTCGGCACAACAACTTGTCACGGACGAATCCTCGAGCATCCACACGGGAACCTTCCGTCGGCGCGGGCTCAAAACGAAAGTTTGCAGTTCCCGATTTTTTCGACATATCGGGGTTAGGGAATAGGGATATATTTGGGGGCGGCAAACGTGGCCGTTTCACCTAGAGAATATAGTATCGACGATTGGACGAACTTCATATTCTTATGGTAACGCAGCGGTTTGATTGATATTTTGAGTTCACGGTGCATTTGGAGGGAGTCTCGCATGTGGTCCTCTTTCGGCCACCTCTTGTTGTCTTCATTTTCCAGCCTTTGTCTTCATTGCTTTCCTGTTTTCTATAACGGTTAAACATATAGAGGTTATCAGATCTGGTGATACCCGGTGGGGCAGCTCTTGTGATGCTTGTTTCGTGTAATTCTTCTTCTGTTCTTCTTTCATTCTTCTACATGCATATATGACGACGCTTTAGGCGATTATTCTTGTTCTCAGTCAGCTCCAATACAAGTATAACTGGAAGTCAAGCAGGGTACAATATTGTATCAAGACTACTGTATTATTCAATTAAAAGCCCTGTAAATGCCCATTCCCACCAGCGTTGCGGAGATCGTCGCAATGCCTAGCCTCCGCGAGCCCATTTTATATTTCGTCGCGCTTTGCATGACCGTGCGCTCCTGCTTCTGCAGATTGCTCATACCCGTATAATAGCTGTAGACACCGAGACCAATAAATGCGGCGGAACCTAGTTACATTGTGCATGTGTCAGACGACATTCCACTAGCTCGATTGGACTTGTATCTGAATAAATCTATATGAGAAAACTAAAGAAACTAACCTGTGACCCTGCAAGCTGTACAGTCGTCATATTGGTCTTCTGCCAGTAGACGTTTAGCCTCTTTGGACTCGACCTCCCAGGCGCGGCCGTTATTCTCCGAAGTTGAAGACATTGGAATCGGTTGGTTGGTTGGGCGTTAGTTGCAGCGGAGTATTCCGGTAGGTATTATCGAGTTTCTCGGAAATCGGAAAACCGTATCACTGCCCAGGAAAGGCCAGCTGATCAGTGACTCGAAAGCAAAGAACTGCCTTGAATTTCAGCGAGAGGAACCACATTGATACAGAATGAAGGCGGCATTCGGCGGCAGAACATGATGACAATTTAAAGATGTCATGAGTGCAGCCCCATGTCGTTGCTTCTCCCCACTGATAAAGGAACCAGACAGATCGGCATGATGAGCGGGGAGATTGATGCGCTCTATATCTACGACGAGCATAAGTAAGCCTATTTTTCAATTTGCTTTAACATCCGTTCTACAGAAACTGACTTATCGACCCACAGTAACCCTCTTGTAGAGCAGGTCTATCGATCCCGTCCGCCCTCCGCAGCTACTATTTTACCCCTCTACCTCGCGCATCCAGCTCCGCGGCCGTCGCTCATTTATGTCCCTAATACTACGCCGCCCGTAACCGTTTTCTCAATTGTTCAGTCAAATTTGCTTTTTCTGGCGCTTTCCGAAGTCGATACAGAGCCACTCGTTGCGCTAGAGTTCCTACATCGCGTAGTGGATGTACTTGAGGAATTCGTCGGAGCACCGTTGATTTCACACAAGATACAGGCAAACTATGAAGTGGTTGCACAGTTACTCAATGAAATGTGCGATGCAGGTGTCGTATGTAATACAGAGCTAAATGCGCTACAGGAGGCCGTTGAAATGCCGGGGTGGATGGGCAAGTTGCTAGGTAATGTCGGGCTGTCTGGGTGAGTCTCTCATGCCCAGTCTTCTTTGGTTTTATATAATATTGCCGCTTAGAACTGCCTATCTATTGGCTACTAACATCATCACCTTTGAAGGTCCTCTACGCCTATTTTGGGACCTCCGAATACGCTCAAGCGGTCAATCTCAGCCAATGCGGCGACTCAAGGACCTGCGATACCATGGAGAAGATCTGGAGTGCGGCACACTTCCAACGAGCTATATGTTGATATTATCGAATCACTCTCGGTCACAATGGCGCCTTCAGGGCGATTACTCTCTGCCTTGGTGTCCGGCACCATCGCCTTCACAGCCAAAATATCCGGTGTTCCTGAATTACTGCTTTCCTTGACGGCTCCTGGTGGTCAGCAAGCCATTGGGCGAAAGCTCGAGTTACCCGTTTTTCACCCCTGTGTACGACTGGCAAAATGGAGAGAGCGACCAGGAGAATTGAGCTTTGTGCCCCCGGATGGACGGTTTATTCTTGCAGGGTATGAGGTAGACCTTCTACCCATTGATCCCAGCCTCGATCAGCCGCCAAGTCATATGGAGAAACTCTTCCTGCCTGCCATTGTAGACATTCGTAAATCTCTCGGTCCAACCGGCTCCGATTTCGAAGTCCGCTTGATCCTCAATACAAACTTCCCGGGGTATTCGTCCTCAAACCGGCCTGGAGGACGGAATGGTTCAGGTACGTCGACGCCATCGTTTCTTGGAGGAGGCGGGAACTCCTCGGGTCCTGTCTTAGAAGACGTTTTGGTCACGATACCTATTCCGAAATCGGTCCGTAATATCACAGACATGCAAGCCAGCCGCGGTGATGCGCTCTTCTCCGCTGGTAACAGTGTCCTTGAATGGCGAGTCCCGACCAAAGACGCTGGAACTGTCTCGGGCACCGCAACCCTCCGTTGCACCGTGGCTGGACATTCAACCGGCGACGACGACTTCGATGAAGAAGCCGAAGAAGTCGACCCGGAAGCCAACCTCCTCCAGGGCTACTACGACGCCGAACCCTCAACATCCTACCAAGCCCCCGAAGAAGGGACAACAAAGCGGAAAACAAAGAAAAAGAAGAAGAAGAAGGTCAAGAAGTCCTCTCGCGCCGCCCCCGCCATACCAGATGCAGAGCAACAAGAGGAGACAACCCAAGAGATAACCCAAGAGCCATCCCAACCGCAATCCCCGACACCTCCTCAGCCCTCCCCTTCACCTCAACCACTAGCACAACAACCTCCAACCGACGACGCCTCCCGCTCAATCTTCCACACTACACAACGCAAAACCAAAGCCCAGTTGAACGCAACTCTCATGCCTAATTCTGCCGCGGTGTCATTCTCAGTCAGAGGCTGGCTTCCCTCAGGAATCAAGGTGGACAGTCTGAACATCGACCCGCGACGAAGTCGTGGTTTAGGCGAGACTGTGAAGCCCTACAAGGGAGTGAAGTACTTATGTGTCAGTCGAAAAGGAGTGGAGAGAAGATGTTGATATATACTCTTATCATTCTCTTATTTTGATATTTTTTTCTCGTTGCTGCTCTTTGGCTACATGGATGACAATCTAGCAAGGATCTGATATAGATGATAAGCATTCATCATTCGCATGATACGAATAATGATACTTGACATACGTTCAATAGAATACATAGAACTAAACTCGTGATGAAAGTGAAAGCAGTTCGTAAGTTAACACTACCTAGCCAGCTAGCTCGAATATTCTAAAGCAACCTCGTTTGTACAACAATACACTTTCAAAGAACTGACAACGCTACCGAACCAAAATATTATATATCCGAATCGAAAATATTAGGTCACATTAAAGCTTCGAAGCACGGCGTTCAAGAACCTGAAGCACGAGATAGGCCACTAACCAGAAACAGATTGTGAGTAAGTTCATCATAAATGGGGTATTAGATCGATAGAGTAGATGGGTGTAGATTGAACAAAAAGGTATCTCAGATGGAAAAGAATATAGCAGGGAAATTAAGACAAAAGAAATAGTGCGAAGGAATGGAAGGAACGCGGCGACTAGTAAGTCTCTCAAAAAAGCCGCAAAAAGGGAGTTAGGGTATCAGTCGAGTTCATTCTCTGTCTGGAGAGGTGCGGACAGTAAGAATTCGTTTCAAGGGCCGAGATGGGGTTATATGGGAGAAGTCAAAGAGGGGCAGACAAATCTGTCGGGTATATCGACGAACGAGACGAAAATAATTACTCACCAGCAGCGACAACGACAGCTCTGCCGGCACCAGCCTTCGCAGAGCCTCCGCCGAGAGTGAGGATGTAACGCAGCCAGCCGAATCGGATCTTGTTTCCGTTGCGATCGAAATCGGGTGCGAGAGTGCTAGTTGCCTTGAACTTGCTCAGCTTACCCGCGTATGGTGGGTAGCGGATTGAGAGGATGGATTCGAGCCAGCTGGGTGTGCTAGTAATGGGACGACGGTGGACGAAGACGTCGAAACTGGCCTTGCCACGGTAGGCACCGTGGCCACTCTCACCAACACCACCGAATGGGAGGGTAGGGATGTGCAAAGCAGCGTCGTTGACGGAGACGCCACCAGAGCGAGTAGAAGAAAGAACTTGGAAAGCGTCAGATAATCTCATACTGCCTTTTTTTCAAGCAATAATGCGGGAATTAAAACGTGCGGGAACATACTCTTTTCAGTATCTGCCTTAGAGCCGAACGGGTAAAGACCCAGAGGAGTGGCCTGGATTCCATTGGCAATGTTGACTGCCTGTTCGAGATTGTCCACGGGCAAGATAGGAATCAAAGGACCGAAGCTTTCCTGCGTCAGCATCGAATCATCAACTGAGTCCACCAAAACCAAGGTTGGTTCAATAAAGCGCTCCTTTTCGTCCATTGTACCTCCCATCAAAATCTTGCCCTTGGTATTGTCGAGCATTGACTTGATGCGACGGAATGCACCTTCATTGATGATGCGAGAATAGTCTGGCGATGCCTTGGCACCCTGAGGATAGAATTCATTATAAGCTTTCTTGAATTCTTCAATCACGGCAGGTACAAGGTCCTTGTCAACCAGCAGGTAGTTTTGGGAGGTACAGATCTGGCCAGAATTCATCAGTTTACCCCACAGAAGTCTCCGCGCAACAAGTCTTGGGTTGGCGCTCTTAGTAATGATGGCTGGGTTGATGCCACCTAGCTCCAGCACGACGGGGGTCAAATGAGGAGCAGCTGCCTTGGCGATGATACGGCCCACGGTGGCACCACCAGTGAAGAAGATCTTGTCCCATCGCTCGGCGAGCAAAGCTTGGGTCTCCGGGATACCTCCTTGAATAACAGTATAGCAGGACGGATCGAGGGCTGCCTCAATGATTCGCTGGATAACAACCGCAGAGTTGGGCGCATTCTCACTAGGCTTAATCACAACAGTATTACCGGCTGCGATAGCGCCGATGACTGGACCGAGTGTCAATTGGAAGGGATAGTTGAAAGCGCTGTTGAAATATTCTATTAGTATGCTTCCGCAAGCGAGGAGCTCAAGGCACCTTGGGGGTCGTATTAAAGGGGGCAGGGGTGAACTAACCCAATAACCAGAACACAACCCAATGGATCCTTCCGAATCTTAGGATTCATTAACTTGAAGGATAGATCAATATCTTCGGCTTTTTCATCCTTGGCCCATTTGTGCAAGTTTCGAGTCACGAACACGAGGTCATTCTGCAGCCACCCACTCTCAGCGATCTCGGTTTCGAAACGAGGTTTACCCAAATCCAAAGCTGAAGCATCGGCGATCTCTTGCTCATGATCCTTTACGCTGTTAAGATAAACAAAAAAGTGTCAGTCAACCTATGCATTGTGCAGCTCATTGCCAAGCTAAAAATAAAAATTAAAATTAAAATTAAAAACTCACGCCCAGTAGAGCTTCCGGAGCTGGACCAGTCGAAACTCAAGGTCACGAGTCCTGTGTTCCAGGAAAGTCTTGCGCAGGGTAGACACGCGACCTGGAATATCCTCGACAGGAGTATACTGGAGAGGGGGGATATTCGATGCGACCATGGTGACAATAGTTGGTGGTGGAACGGAGAGAACGGGGGGTGGCGTCGGAGAATTGATGCGGAGACGGAGCACCCCGAGTATAAATGAGCTGATCAGGTGTTATCGCTTGCCCTGAAAGCTTTACGTAGTAGTGTAAAGGAGAGACGATAGACTATTATTAAGGATAGCCAAGGGGGAAAATGAAATCATATATAAATCATTCTTACTTTTGAGATGATAGACTAATCGAAAATACATAAGAGGATTCACATAAGCACCCACATGATCTTAACCCCCCCTCCTCATCGGCAGTGACTAGTTGAACCGCGGTATTCCTCCCCCCCTTAGACCATGAAAGTTGGGTCGGACGAGCGGTCCCACACCATTCATCATTCCAGAACGAACGCCTATACCAAGCTGAGAACTGACAGTGAACAAGGTTACCAAGACCGTCTAATATGTCCTCGGCTCAATTCTCAACTACTAGTGACCAATCTGCACAGCTACGGAAAATCAACACCAATGACATTTTCCCCACTGCGTTTTAGCTCATAATCGTTATCCTGTTTAAGTAGGGATCGACATTGCCTGGCCATGCGATCGACGGAACCTCGCAAGGAGTTCTCCATTGGGCGTCTGCTCCAAATCTCCGAAACCTACGATGACAAGTAGTAACTGATCTCTTGAGTCTTGACATACTCCACCATATGGCATCTCTAGAAATTAAAAACAACTGTCCATACATTTCAAATGATGATTCACTAAGCCAGGTCCAGTCATCAACCTAATATAAGTTCGCTTCTGTTCTCTCCAGTTTGACTATACTAGTGTCCGATGATCTAGTAAATTCATTTTGCTCCCAACAGTAACTATATATGATCAGTCAGTGGAAGCACGGAGTACAATGCATTATACACAATCCTGAGTTTACCTGATATTGAGCCGTCATCATTCTTATCAGGGTATATTCTGAAGTTGAGCTCTCGTGGCTTTATATATTCAAAAAATCAAGATATTGGCAAGAAAGACTGAAATAATATCCTCTCCCGACCTTGTTAAATCAAGCTATTAAGACAACATTGGTTTGGCTAGTCACTCGAGATACTCATCGGGCACAGTCTCAAGTCGGACAAGCAGTCGCGAAGGTCGGAAGTTATCTATTTAAGGACTGGAGTGACAACCTCATCAATCAAGTGACAGGGATCTGACTCCAGCCTTGATAGGGACCCACGGGCCATTGCGAACAACCCTAGAAAAGTTCCCCATCCTAAATATGTCAGACTATCTCACTTGGGAAACGGATCCTGGAGGTCTTTGCTAAGTTGAGACTCTACAGACTGGTATTGGTTATATAAAACCCACAAACGGATGGGCTAAGCTTGATCATTTACTTGGAGTCGAGTCAGAAGATTCTCCCACCGGTTTCGAGTTCCATGTCCGGTCAAAGCCAACAGCTGTTGCTACCTAGTAAATGATACCGCTGTTGAAAAACGGAAAAGGTGACAACCAAACACCTACCCCCCCCCCCCCCCCCGGGAGGCAGCGGTCTCGCGTCCGCGGATCCTATTTCCGGAAGCTGCGTGCTAGGAAGGCCAAGAGGCCTTTCCGGTTGTGGCGGTGCAGGGCCCGCCAAAAGCCAACTTTTGAGAATTAGGGTGTGATGAGGATTGTTGCGGAGGCGCGGGTGAGTGACTGACTGATATATGGGAACCATTGACCGGGCTAAATGGAGAGCCTGAAAGAGGTAAGGGCTGTAGGATGAGACGGGCAATTGAGCATGCTCCATGCTGCTGCTGTGTAGGATCTAATTCCGGAGGTGGTTAAAAGTCTCATGAATTGTTATACCAGTTCGCTAGGTAGGCTCAGTCTATCTGCATTTTTGAAGTGTAGACGAGGCCGTTCAGCCGAAGTGACATATGTTGATCTTAGATATGTTCGCGCAAGGTCACGCTGGCACCTTGGGCTGAGCAACCGGCCACCCATATTCCGCATATCGACACAGACTGCTTCTCTAATTGGCTGTAGGGATCCTCTCAAATGGACTAGCGAGCTGAAAGGGGCCTCACTAGCAGCCCGTGATGCTGTGAGGATATTTGCGAAATATGCTGACCCGGAATGACATGTTCAACAGTATTGAAGGTTACTAGTATGGTAGTAGTGAGGTCGTATCTACACTGTCTGTGGTAGTTACAATCGTAGGCGCTGAGCTTAGAGAGTCGTGGACGAGCATGAGGCAAATGGTACGAGACTAGGAGATGTCTTGTAAGACCTCTACCCTAATTTGGAGCTATCCTAGGCCACTGGTGTCAGTAGCTTTAGCTTCAGCGCCAGTCTCCTTAGTGCTTACAGTGTAGACGCCAGTGTGGGCCTAACTATCTAGGTACTCATGGATGTAACTTGTCATGTGTGAGTTACTATGAGGCCCATCAAGGGACTAAAGTTTACTTGTCCAGCGTCTCCACCACGCACATGGGCAACAGTTTGCACCTCGCTAGACTAGTGCTGGTTAGGGCTACATAGCTTAGAGCTTTAGACTTAGAGCCCGTCCCTCTAGCCTCTAGCCCCGTCTACTAACTTAAACCCAACGGCCGTTGGTCAGATTACGGTCAATTCCGACACATTCAACCTTTAATGTACTGTGTGGCATGTGAAAAGAAGAAAGAGTCGCTGAAGGTGGACGTGTTCTTTCCAGGGCTGCGAAGCCTTCCAAGTGCATATAGAATGAGGTAGCTCCAGGGAAACCCTGAGCAGAATCAAATTCCTTGAAAACACTATAGTTACTCTCTAGCCACTGCTTATTTTGGGATACAAAATGTATCTGGCAACTGCACCGAGAGTACGAACCACTAATGTGTACCAGAGTATAGATCAATGTATTCGGCTCCAGAGCCACTGCGCCGTCGCAGGAATGCTATAGCTACACTAATCACAGGGAACGAGTAAACTGAAAACTAATGTAGGTGACCGAAGGGCCACCGTGGATCACTCTAGTTTGAAATTAAAGTATCACATAACTAAAGTGCTTCTGATTCCTGCCAAGCAGTTTGGATGATCCTACACTCTCAAGAGGACGGAGTATATATATATTTCAGGAAGTTCTGGTATCCCAAATGACATTTCATAATATAATCTCAATAATATATCATGAACATCAACACTGTTATTAATAAGACCCTGATGATTATCCCTATCTGCTCGCATATCCAGCGACCAAACACTAAAGTCTATGCATGACCAAGCCCTCATTGTATAAGCGCATCAGTACGTGGTTTCATCGCCTTTGGACTCTGATTAATTGTAATATGTTAGTACATGAATTAATTAGTGTTCATAAATATAGACCCTAATGCTGTTCAAGTGTAGAATCTAATACGTAAGGGTACCGCTTAACGGGGGGTTGGAAACGAGTTAGTTTCGTTGATGTATATATTCACATGTGGGGGAACTTGATAAGGATCAATGGCAGGAGACGGCTAGCCGCGGTACAACGCGGGGTTGGCAGAATTTTTGAACACTTTCTGAAGTTGTTCATCGGATTTTGTATCTTTTGGAGGATCAATGGATCGGAATTGCCAAAGTTCAGATTTTAAAATTAACTTTCTAGGATGGGTGGATCCAATTAAAGCACTGTTGCTTTTCATTACTACATTGATAGAATATGTTTTCGTGGAGATAGAAGGTGTGCGATTTACCAGTAAAGGACCGTTATCGAGCTATGAGGTCCAAAGGTCTCACTAGCGCAGATCTATCCCAGACCGCCTTTCTCTTTAATAGCGTCGTTTCGGTTCCCACAGGACCTTGTAGTGCTGTAGTACTATCTACTCTTTACAGTCAAGGAGTCAGATTTTACAAGAAAAAAAAAGAAGAATGCGATAACTAGATCATGCTATGAAAATCGATCCTTTTCATCAAGGAAGCTATAATCTATACATCAAAAACTCCTGGTGGGTACTCAAAGTCGGCTAAAAACAAAAAAAAAAAGAATCATCAAAAGCGGTTTGTGAGCTAAGCTCAGTGCTTGAACTGATCTTCCGTCACACCCTTGCCCATGGCCGCAGTGCTGCTCACACCACCGGTGACCATCTTCAGGAGGTTATCCACATAGTTGGCTCCACTCCATTTCTGGTGGGTAACCACATCGACTCCCTGCTCCATCTCCGGCTCTTGGACCAATTCGCCATAGGCACGCATGCCATGCTTGGAATAGGCCTTGGCGAACTGGTCAGAAATGAGGGCGGTGGTGTGCAGACCAGCCAGGGTGATGAACTGCCAGCAGTAACCCAGAGCACCCAGGCGCTTGATGTACGTCTCCTGCTCATCGCGTGGCATGGCCTTCTTCCAGTTGAACGAAGGCGACAAGTTGTAGGCAAGTCTAAAAATTCTTCGTTAGCATCCGATATAGTAGGTATTCGAGTGATACTGGTCTACTTACTTTTGCTCGGGCCAAACAGCGTGAATGCCTTCGGCAAACTCCTTCGCCTGGGCGTAGTCGGGAAGCTTGCTCTCCATCCAGATAAGGTCGGCGAATGGAGCGTAAGCAAGACCACGGTTGATGGCACACTGGGTGCCACCCTGGAGCCGGTAGTAACCCTCACGGGTGCGAGGAGCATCCCAGTTCCAGTAAATATCCTGTCCAGTAATGTTCTTGGCGATCGCGCGAGCTTCAAGGTTGCTCTTGCCCTTGGCGGCCTTCAGGTATTGATCAACGAGGGATTGCTTGTTAGAGTGAGCACCCTTGTTGATGACCTCAATGACAGCATCGTTGAAAAGCTTCAGGCCAGCCTGAGCAACCCACTGGTCTTCGATAGCTTGGAGTTCATCTCCCTGCTTGCCAGCTTGTTCAGCGGCCACCATGAGATCCACGAGAGGCTTGAGGTTAGGGTTGGTCGAGCCGACGATGAAGGCATGGTCACGGTGATCGATTGTAGAGGTGATGAGAGTAGCAGCTTCCGCGTCGGTTCTGGCAATGGCAAGAAGATCGGTGCCTAGGAATAGTTAGTCGGCAGTGTCTTTTAAAACCACAAACAGGACAGGCACGCGTACCCATAATATCTGCCTGCGCACGGATGGCGACCAAACGGTTGATGTGCTCGCTAATGGGCACAAGAACCTTTCCAGCCATGTGGCCACACTTCTTGGTACCAGGAGCCTGGTCTTCAATGTGGATACCAGCAGCACCGCGCTCAACAAACAGCTTGGTCAACTTCATAACCGCAGTCAAACCACCATGTCCAGTATCAGCGTCAGCAATAATGGGACGCAGGTAGTCAACGTTTGCCACATTTCCGCGCTTCTCCTTGGGTGTTGTGATCCGTTCCTCGCGCTGTTTCCGGTCATGGAACAGCTGAGCCATCCAGAGCTGGTTTACCTTGTTTGGCACAGTGTTCTGGGTCGATTAGTAACGGAGCTATTTAATCCAATGTGTTCGAAACGAGCGGAGCTTACCATGGGGTAGTCAGCAAGATCCGGGGACGGCTCATCGGTAGAGGAAGCAGTGGAAGAGCTCTGCCAGCCAGAGACATAGACGGTGTCAAGGTACTTTGCCATTTGTGTGACCATTGTGGGTTCGAGACAACCGTAAGTGAAGCTAGCAACTTTGTTCTAAAGCGACGGGATATTAGCTACTGCTCTGACTTGTTTCGGCTTAAGGCATACCTCGAAGTTGCTCTCCAAAATTTTCCAGAGCTTCTTGCTCTGGACATTTGATGGGTACTCGATCTTCAAGTTCCCACGCTTGGCCACAATCTGCTCTGCGGAGAAAGGGCGCTTGGTGTGTCGCCATCTGGAATCGGTCCACCAGGCATTGACGGCCTGGACGTCGTCCAAGTACTTCTTGTCCTCGTCCTCGAGATAACCCATGGTGTTGAAGGTAATAGGGAGCTTTTTTTTTTTCTAAAAAAAAAGGGGGGGGATAAATATAGAGAGAATTGCAATGATATAATACAGTAGGTACTAATGCAGTGGATATAGTCCCCTTGTCTGATCGGAGTACTGATAATCAGAAAGAATGAAATTCAAGGGTGAGAGAAAGATTAAAAAAGAGTCTGCTATTCAGAAGCTCTAAATGAATCACCAGGCCAAAGCCAAGGTACTTATTGAGTTGCACGCGCCATGAAAATGCGTCAGAGGGCTGACCTGTCGTCGGTAAACGCTCGGCTCAGCGGGACAAGAAGGAATGTCACAGAGCTCCGGCTTCGCGTCAACCGGGGGAAAGTTACCAGGATCTTCTGCAGTCACCATTGGACTAGGTTTACCGTAAACTAAATTCACAAGCCAATGCCGATGACCGGGCAACTTGACTGGTGCTGTGTTCGGAAGAGAGGATCGAGACTTTGGGAAGATCCTCGGTCTAATGGACCTCTGATGCATTCGCCACTATGAGTATCTGCACGCCTTATAATCCTGTAACCTTAATAGGTGTCATTCTGAGATCGCTGTCCGGGCATTGACTCCTACCTGTATAGCAGGGACACCCTTTTTCTTTAGCAATTTATCATTTTGTTAAAGATACACAGCGGAATGAATTCCAAACGTTCTGAACTACTCTAGTATAAAGAAAGTTAAGATGACGTCGGAACATGTGCTTGTTTTAGATGACAGTACGTGACAATACGTACTGGGCAAAAGTGTATCCCTCTTCAGTAAACTACCGTATGCTACAATACACGAAACCAGCTATTCTGAGTCATCAGAACTCCGGGGTAAAAACCTCGCCCTTCTGTTTCTTCCCCACAACCGCGCATTAGTAACTGAACGACAAGGATCATGTCAAAGAGATTGGTCGCTTGCAATTTAGATCCCTGATACTTCAAACTCCACGGAAGACTTTATCCATCAGTAATTTAGTATACACTCCGCGGGTGTTGCGGAACTGACTTCCAAGTTCGATTCTTGATACAGGCAATATCGGATTAGTCCCAGAGAGGCAAGAACCTCGGTAGTAAACACACCAATCACAAGCGCTTGTGGTCTCACTCTTGAGATGCACGAGATTGGCCTCGGGTAATTAAGGAGCCATTTTCGTTTCGTTGTCGACTCGATGAGTGTCTCCTGCAGGAATAATAACCAATATACAGCATATAAATCTTCGGACGTTGACCGAAGAGCCAAATCGCTTTTATACAGGAAGCGGGAGAGGGATGTGGTGAGGGGGTCTCTGGTAAAATCCCTCGTATAGAACGAATGATATAATTTGAAACCAGGAGTGCAGGTCGATGGCGAATTCACATGCAGAAATTAATATAAAATCCATTTGTAGATGTCTTGGAACAGTACCTAATGCACCCACCTAAAATCATGTGTCAATGTGATTTAGATTCATGTTGGAAGTAAATGCACCGTATGTTCATGGTCCGTATTCGGCGTGATACAGAGAGTGCTCGAGGATGCTGCCTTACCAGGCTCCCATGAAGCTTTACGAACCATCAGACTATCTACATACATCCGTGTCTTCACTCAATGTCCTCAGCTAAGGCTTTCCTGGCATGTTGTACCATGTGGCAGTCTGTATACTCATACTGCTGTTGCTCTAAATAACATGGATAGAATCTGCTGAACATGAAGGATACATATGCTTTTCTAGATCAAGGAACCTATGGTCAAAGTGAGGGACTGATAACACGATGCGTCGCCTATCGTTCATGGGAGTCTTTCCTTGTTAACTATCTACGGAGTACCTTACTAGTAAGCGCCCAGACATACCCCTCAGGGCTGAGCACCATCACACAGGCCAGTAAATGATGGTCTTTCACTATATATCTTCTAAGTTCTGGAATACATTCGAGCTTGCTAGGTCTCGGACTCCTGGAAAGAGCCTGTACGGTTGAAAATACACTTATTTTCAGCTAGATATCTTTCGCAAGCTATAGAACAGTGCCTGGATGCGTTCGTACCAAGATAGGAGGACATCCTGGTCTAGTAGGCATGAAAAATGTTACGTTGAGTTTTCACGTCGTGGACTGGTCTACGATAAAAACGCGTAATGATGCGTATCCTTCCTATGTGCGATGCTAATCATCACACGAGGGAATGCTTTTGGTTACCCATGCCATGTTCGTGCATTGACCAGTCAATGCACCCAAACTGGGTATTTCAACACATTCGATATTTCTGCGGGGTATCGGTCGAGCCCCAAATACTTTTATAATCGAGCTACCACCACCTAACAGGAGAGTTTGTTTGGCAAAATGCATGGGAAGCAACTCTAAACCGTTGGAAGGGAATTATCCACACTGCCTTTGGTCGATATGATCGGACCCTAACGAAGCCGGGATACCAGAGGTCTTGGTGAGGAAGAACCTCGACAACCTATTCCAATGCCATCAGTGGCACGACAAGGGGCATAAACAGGAGAATTGAATTCTCGACTGAAAATGAGTACCTGATTAGAAAGAGATTTAAAACAGAACCCGAGTTTCGCGACGACGAAGGCTTTGATCGTATATTGACTTGCGTAGGTGGCCGAGATCATTTCATAAGCGCGTTATAATGCTCACCGAGACCGTACGTATGCCGATAGTAGGCCAACCAAATGATGCGTTTGCTCTTCTGTTCGTCATCATACTCTTGAGTATCACCTTCGATCTTTTCAATCCTTCCGTCACCTTGTATGATGTTGATTTCCACACCATATGCCTTAGCAATGGCTAAAAGCTCTAATTGCCCACCCCACTCTGCTGTAAGCTTGATCTTGCGAGTGTATAGCTCCACGGGCTCCTCCATGAAGGGCACAAAATCATCTTGGTGCTCATTTATGAAATCGGCTGTCACAGCCCTAACTGCTCTATAGCCATCGTGTTGAGGCGAGGCTACCGTATCAATGCGGGACTGAGTCGGGGTCTCAAGGACAATTCTTTTCGGGTCGGGTTTCAAGCCAAGGCCTAGCATTTCCAGCTGGTAGGCAATAGCGGAGTAGAGACAGTGCCCATCAGGCTTTATCTCAACCTGTTTCAACCCCAACCGTTTGAAAACACCATCCATGACCTCTTGCTCATCTCCACGATAATCTGTTTGTTTTGCAGCTTCTTCTGCGGCAATGGCAGACTGCGCCGCTTGCTCCGCAGCGCGACGTGCCAGACGAGCCTTCTGGCGATTGGGTTTCTTAGGTCGTGGTGACGGGGTGGAGGCCTCTGAGGCCGCGGAAGATGTATCTGGAGAATTATCTATCGATGGAGGGTTCTGTGAACCATCGGTTTGATCCTTCTGTGTTTTATCTTCTTCCGAACCATTCAAACTGAGATCGTCGAGGTCGTCAATGGGCGGGGTAGGCTCGCCATTTAACTCTGCAATCTCGGCCTGGTGTCGTTCGGAAAGTTCACTCTGAAGCCTATCGCATTCTTCGTTGATACCCCGGCGGGTCTTCTTCGTGGCAGATTTCTTCTTCTGAGTGATGCGTGCTTGGAGATCTTTTTGTTCCTTGCGGTGTTTCGCTAACAACTCCTCCATTCTGGTTAGGGATATAAAAGTAAAAGAAAATCTATCGGTCTAATTAGAAATCAAGATAAGAAGAAGAAGATGAAGAAGAGAAACGAAATATGAAACGAGCGCAAGCTATGAAACTGCGGGAGATGTTGCTGTTGGCACCCCATCTCAAGATCTAACAGAACTGTTACAACCCCGCAAATCCTTTGCTGGAGGTTGCCCTAGACGGCATCCTAAAAAGGTATAGCGCATCGAATGCAACTGATGTTGGTTCAACGCCAACTCAGACTAATAACCATAATTTGATATCAAGATTCCAGCCCCATGTTCAAGATAAATTCTGATAAGATATTCTTATGATTTAATTGAGGAATTATCAGATATTTGGTTCTTTGGGCTGACTTACATCTACGTAGAACGATGTCAAAGATCGTATTAATGTTTATCCTGTTCCGGGCGGCGTACAGCCTCGGTATCTTCCGTTCAGTAATCTCGGCCGTCGGATAGCTAGGAGCTAGAGTAGTAGTTATATGGCACGAAAGCCCATCTACTCCTGGATGTCCTTAACGTTAACCAGACTACATCCACCTTGAACTTATACTGATCTCCATTTCCGTATAATACCCTGATACTTCATTTGTTGGCCATCTTTAGTGTTTGGCGCTGCTATCATGGATTCCCAAAGCCTTTTCAATGTGAAGGTCAGCAATGAAAGTCCCATGAAAGCACCTGGGTCTTTACTGAACAGTGTATTTAGGGCAAAGTGGTGCTGGTCACCGGTGGAGCCAAGGGCATTGGTCGCATGATCTCTGAAGGATACGTAGCGAACGGTGCCACCGTTTACATTTCGTCTCGTGATGCCAAGGCTTGTGAGAAAGCCGTAAACGAGCTCAATGCGCTTGGCAAAGGAAAGGCACACGCCATCCCCGCCGATTTTTACAAAGAAGAGGATGTTAAGAACTTGGCTGAAGAGCTTGGAAAGCGCGAGAGCAGTACGTTCTTGGCTAACGCCACCATCTGACTGTGCTGCCGCCTTAAACTAATTCACCAACCAGAGCTGCATGTTCTTGTTAACAACTCCGGATCGAACTGGGGTGCTCCTTACGATGAATATCCTTCCTCTGCTTGGACTAGAGTACTCACCCTGAACCTCCACCGAGTCTTCGACCTGACGAGGCTTGTTACACCCCTGCTGGAGAAGGCAGCCACCTCGGGCGACCCAGCCCGCATCATCAACATCGGTAGCATCGATGGTCTTCGAGTTCCAGCACTTGAGACGTTTGCTTATAGTGCCAGTAAGGCCGGTTTGCATCATCTGAGCCGAGTCCTTGCAAACCACCTTGGTAGAAGAAACATCACGTACGTGTTATTTACGATTTGATAGAACGCCCACTAACCGAGTCACCTACAGATCAAACTCGCTGGCTTGCGGTCCCTTTGAAAGTAAGATGATGGCTGCCACCCTTGAAACATATCGGGAGCAGATCGAAGGAAATATTCCACTGGGCCGTATTGGTACCCCCCAAGATGTGGCCGGTGCCTGCTTATTCCTGAGCAGCCGCGCTGGCTCGTATGTGAATGGAGCCACTATCACACTGGACGGTGGCAGCGCTATTGCTGCCAAGCTGTGATATCTAGATTGATGTAGTACATATCAGGAATATTGACTCCACAATCCTGCGATTAACAAGATAGCGTCCTGTTACAGAAGGTTTAACCTAAAAATTCCATTGGCATATCTATGAACCGTTTCTTTTCTTTTTCTGAATCTTCACCTGCAGGCTTATGTACAATGCTCATGCAGATTAAACTTTTAGTTTGGCACGTTTTTCTTAGCGGGCGCATACCAATCTACTACTGGTATTAGTAAATACTGAACCCTATTGACATCATCGAGGTTCTACATCGCTCTGTGCGCATACTATTATGACATAACAGTGTCAACTGAACGGCGCCACATATGCCATAACTGGCGGAAGTTCGCGGGATGTATCGCCAGGCTGCCTGTAGCAAGGAAAAAAAGCATATTCATTTGGGATCGCAAGCCATCAGCCCTTCTGATATTAGGATCGACTTACGGATGACTCCGTTTCAAGCTGAAGTGTCAGGGTGGCTGTACGGAGTGTGCAGCCTATTTGTTTTGATCTCGATGAAAGTACTGGCCCAGAAAATTCCCTCTTATATTGCTTGCGATCCTCCACTGGGGGTGTCGATCTAAACCATAGCGACGGATCGCGTGGGGTTGAGGCTCGCTGCAGCCGCAATTGGTCTGGATTAATCCCTCAATTTGATACTACTTACTTAATACGATTACTTGGTGCGTTTCACGTGAGCAGTCATATTATTTGATTTTAATATAGATCTATATGTTATGCTATTTAAATATCAAGATTTCGAAGAATTACCCATAGTCCTGTGCTGCACTTTTGGATGAAGCAGCTGCACTCCTAGCGATTTTGGCCCTAGTGTGCCCTACATATCGAACATTCTAATATCAACTGCTATCCGTCAGCATGTGGAAGCCGCCGGTGAACTTTATCACCTTGCATTGTAAGTCGGGAGATTCCGAAGGCATTATTGAACAGCACTGACTTGACCGCTCATGAGCGTAGATACATACATCATTCTCTGCAGTCTATCGGGGATAGTGATCCTTTATCCCTATGGCAATCTGAGCGCAATCAATGCATTCTTCTTTGGAGTCAGCTCTGCCACAGTTTCAGGACTTAATGTGTTGGTCTGACCGTCTCCTATCATCTTTGAAGAACTATTACGGAGAAGAAATTGTCGCTGAGCAACTTTTCGTTCAGTGTTGATCTGAAAGAGCTTAAAACATATCAGCAGCTGTTTTTGTACTTCATTCCCACCATTTGCAACATGTGCTTCACCAATATCCTCGTGGTAATCGTGCGACTCTATTGGTTTGAGAAGCGTTTGAAAGAGACAGGTACTTAACTGGCTCTTTGCTACTCATGTCGGGACTGTACTGAAGCGGATCATCCGATAGCTCCTACTGCCTTTCGCCCAAGTTCACGTCCAATAACTCCTAAGGAGTATGACTATGACCAGGAGGCACAGCCCAGAAAACTGAATATCAATTGTGTCCGGGACTCGGAACAGACCGCCGGAGAGAGGACTAGTAATATGGACAACGAGCGCTTGGCAGGCTCGAACAGAAGCCAAACAGTGCCACAAGAGTATGTCAAACCCATCCTTGCATTATGGCCATAGTCTTTGGTGTGAACCTTACTAAAATTTCAGTTCTATAAGTAGACTAACTGACTCGAAGCCTCCAGATGGCCAGGACTCAGATACCATCCAGCCAACTAACCGTCGTATCTCCTTTGTGGACAACAATAAGGCTCTATACATTCCTTCTCCACGGGAACGTGATAGAGGTATACAATCCTATTTTAATCCCGATTGCCAAATCTATGCTAATGGAACAAAGGCCAGCCTATAGTGGAGGTAGACGAAAGATCAAATAAGGATGGTACGTGAGCTTGTTCCTTCTATTTAACAGGACGAAAAATGGCTCATCGGCATCAGAAATATCAGAATATGCCGAAAATGACGACGCCAAGTCAGAGATTCGCCGTCGGTTAAGGGATGCTTCTAACCCACTCGAACGTGTTGCTTCCTCCTTGTTTGTGCTCGGTTCGCAGCCTAGCAAGACTCAAGGCTCACAGCTTCGCGAAGCTATCTCCTTATCTAAGAGCTCGAACCTTCCAAGTATTTCGGCAGAAGCGACCCTCGGTAGGAATTCAAAATTCTATAACCTGACTGCTGAAGATCGGGAAAGGTTGGGAGGTATAGAGTATCGGGCTCTAAAGATATTATTGAAGACCGTGTTAGGTATCGATCTTGCCATCAAAGCTATCTGAAGGATTGGGACTAACAACTCCAATGGTAGGGTACTTTTTCGGTCTCCATATAATCGGTGCAATATGTCTAGTGGGTTGGATACAGTATGCTGGTCCTAAGTACCGGGATTACCTAAAGGAATGTGGACAGAATCATATCTGGTGGTAAGTGCATCACCGAGCAGTATCATACTTTCATATTGCCGACCGGGATTATGCCTAAAGTAATGGGACTGTTTGAAGCATTCTCCCAAGGCATTGCGGCATGGAGTTTAAGAGCCAAGCGTATACTCACATCGATGCACTTTTAGGGCGTTTTATGCGGCGCAGACGATGGCGAACAATCTGGGGTTCACCCTTACCCCAGACTCCATGGTCAGCTTCCAAGATGCAACTTTTCCCATGCTAATTATGACATTCTTAGCATATGCTGGGAATAACCTCTATCCTGTTCTTCTGCGTCTCATTATTTGGACTACCTACAAAGTTACTCCAAAGCACTCGTCGCTCAGAGAGCCCCTGGATTACCTCTTGAAGTATCCTCGCCGATGCTATACGCTGCTTTTCCGTAGCAAACCGACTTGGGTCCTCTTTGGGATTATCTTCTTCTTGAACGTTGTCGATGTTCTCTTGATCGTTGTGTTGGATCTGCATAACCCCGCTGTCAACACCCTCCCTGGGGGAACGCGGGTGCTGGCTGCCATCTTCCAAGCAGCATCAGCACGGCATACGGGGACATCGAGTTTCAACCTTGCCGATGTAAGCCCAGCCGTCCAATTCAGCCTACTGGTCATGATGTATATCTCTGTATTCCCTATCGCTATTAGTGTGCGTGCGTCCAATACCTACGAAGAACGTTCACTTGGAGTGTTTTCCAGCGACGGCGAAGTCGACGAGAGTAACACTACGACTTACGTCCTGTCCCATGTGCGAAATCAGCTCAGCTTCGATCTGTGGTACATCTTTCTTGGAATATTCTGTATCTGCGTTGCCGAATCGAACAGAATCATGGATTCTTCTGAGCCGGTGAGATCGTCCTGAACGTTCAGCTCCAGAGCAGAGGTTGATAAAGAACAGGGGATCTCCGTCTTTGCGATATTCTTCGAGGCCATTTCTGCATAGTAAGCTACCAGTCCCTGGAAACTACTCTAGAGCGGTATTAACGTTTCATAGCGCAAATGTCGGCCTCAGCTTAGGTTACCCAGGAGTCAATACTTCTTTGAGTGGACAGCTGTCGACTTTCAGTAAAGTCGTTGTCTGCCTTATGATGATTCGAGGAAAGAACCGCGGGCTGCCCTATCAATTAGATCGGGCTATTCGTCTTCCCAGCGAACGCCTAGTTGACGACCAAGTGGATTCTGGGTCGGATAATCCGTATGCGGACGGGCAATTGGATCCGATGGACGTTCGAGACCTGAAAGTGAAACGGTATCACACTAAATAACATCGGTTTTGGGTCACACGACTATACATCGCCCAGATAGACTCCCATACATGTTTTTTAGGTGAATGGATCTTGTAATAGACAGCAGGAAAATTACCACATGGTGGCCTAGCTCCCTGCCATTTGACAACCGAGCGATGAAACCTGGCTAGTGTAAGGAAAGCGCTTAGTAAAGGAAATGTACTCTGTACTGTGTTAAGGTAACCCAAGGGAGAATAAAGAAATTCGATAGATAAGACTAAAGGAGCGCGTGATGTCGCCTGACTCCAATAGTGCTTGGTCTATTAAGCAGCGCGAAACTTTGAAAAGCCGAGATAAGAATGACAGATAGTATAACGCTCGTGCGCGTTAGGAGGAGTTGGCCGTGCGAATACCAGCTAATTAATTAATAAAGGGAAGAAAGCTTCTGTCTCTGGATTTTTATGGGTCGGTGGAGCGATGACATTGGTTATGCCGTCATAACCTTTTGGTTGGCACTGCTGCTTTGCTGGTTGAACAATCCATCTTTTTTTTTTCTGGCAGATAGAGATTGGATGCTCTATTGAAATCTTCACGAGTAAGGAAAAGCACGGTTTTTGTCTGTTTTTGATCATTTCTACACCGCTATCTCTTGGGGGGAAAAGCAAAGGGAAAAAAAGAGTCGTCCCACGGAGGAAAGATTCTCGAATAGATTTCAATAGATTCATTCCTTAGTGTTGTGACGTCGCGGGACCCATTTAAATTCTACTAAAAAAGGATGCCAACAATCGCACTAGGAACTGTGGCCAATTTGCGAAGAGAGATGGCTATGAATAGTACTCAGGACTTTATTCTTAAATCAATCGCCTTCACCTTCAACTTCTTTGTCCAGCTCTCTTCGCTATACTGGTACCAGTTACAGGCCACCTAAATTCTCCAACGACCCGTTGAATACCGCCTGAACGCCACATTACCGACCTTGCGTGCCCATTGGTTTCGCTCCACCAACATCCTTGTTCTCCCGAAACCCTTCCTCTATTTTTTTTTTTAAACCCCCGAATTCCTATTGTTCTCTTCCTTACCCCGTCTATCCTCCCAGAAATCTTAAGACGATGAGCTCGTCAAATGGGACCCACCGCAGGCAGGACTCCGTAGACCCCTTTTCTCATCCCGACGTCTATTATGGTGACGAGGAAGCCAACGCGCGCATTAAGGACCGCAGACGTGCGTTCTCAACGGTAAGGAGGGGACCCCGGAGTAAGGTCAATAACGTCAACTAATCATCCCTGGGTATGTACGACAGAACCTGAACCAGTTCAATCGCCAGGATATCCAAAATTTCCTTGGTGGAATTCCGGCAAGAAGAGGAAGTCACGGTAGGTGTTTTCTTCCTATCTGTAGCAATCCTGAGTCAGGTATACTGACGCACGTGGTCAACAGATGAGATTTCGGCTCAACCCCGCAAATTCCTTATCGATGTCGAACAAACGCTGGAGAGTCTCTTGGAAAGGGAGGATACGGACAGGAACATGCAGATAACCATTGAGGATGTAGGACCCAAGGTGCGTGGATGGGTGGTCCTTTCAGCCCCTCTTCCCCGCCAGGCCAATACTAAACCGGGATATAGGTGCTTTCCCTAGGGACCGCAGCATCATCTGGATACAACAAATTCGATGTGCGAGGAACGTACATGCTCTCCAACCTCCTGCAGGAACTTACGATCGCTAAGGACTATGGCCGGAAAGTCATTGTCCTTGACGAGGCTCGTCTGAGCGAAAACCCGGTCGCTCGTCTCTCCCGTCTCATTAAGAATTCTTTCTGGAACGCCCTGACTCGCCGGATCGATGGGTCCAATATTGAGGTAGCGGGCCGAGATCCCAAGGACTGGACAGACGATCCACGACCCCGTATCTACATCCCACCGGGTGCTCCTGAGCAGCTGGAGTATTATAGGGGGATTGCTAAGGCACACCCGGAACTCCGTCTGGATGTGCAGGTGCTGGATTCAGACATCACCCCGGTGTTCGTGAAGGATCTCAACAGTAAACCCGGTCTTCTCGCCCTGGCAATGGAGAAGAAGTACGATGAAACTACCCAGAAAACCGAATATTCCGGGGTGCCATTTGTGGTTCCCGGAGGACGGTTCAACGAGTTGTATGGGTGGGACAGTTATATGGAGTCTCTGGGGCTGTTGGTCAGCAACAGAGTGGACCTAGCCAAGTCCATGGTGATCAACTTCTGTTTCTGTATTAAACACTATGGAAAGATTCTGAATGCCAACCGGTCCTATTACCTGCTACGTTCCCAGCCGCCATTCTTGACTGATATGGCTCTGAGAGTGTATGAGCGGATCAAGGGCGAACCTGATGCGCTGGAGTTCCTGCGGACTTCGATACTTGCTGCGATCAAGGAATACTACAGTGTCTGGACCGCCGAGCCACGGTTTGATCCAGTCTCTGGCTTGTCGCGGTATCGCCCTGAAGGGCTGGGCGTACCGCCAGAAACTGAGCCAACGCATTTCCTCCATCTACTAACACCCTATGCTGAGAAGCATGGTATGGAATTTAATGACTTCGTTCAAGCTTACAATAATGGCATCGTTAAGGAGCCGGAGCTTGACGAGTACTTTTTGCATGATAGGGCTGTCCGAGAATCTGGTCATGACACAAGCTACCGTTTGGAGAGAGTTTGTGCCAATATCGCTACGGTTGATTTGAACGCTCTCCTTTACAAGTACGAGGTGGACATCGCTCGTATAATTCGGACTTACTTTAAGGACAAACTAGAGATCCCCCCTGAGTTCCGTACGGAACAGTCGAAGGACATTGCAAGCGAATCCTCATCTGTATGGGACCGCAGAGCTAGAAGAAGAAAAATGAGGATGGACACCTATCTGTGGGACGAAGAAAAGGGGATGTATTTTGACTACGACACTGCTAAGCAGGAGCGGACCTCTTATGAGAGCGCCACAACCTTCTGGACAATGTGGGCAGGTCTCGCCACTCCTCAACAAGCGTCGGAACTAGTCAGCAAGGCTCTTCCGAAGTTTGAGGCCTACGGCGGCCTGGTTTCAGGTACTGAAGAGTCGCGTGGTGTTATCAGTTTAGATCGGCCAAACCGGCAGTGGGACTATCCTTATGGATGGGCACCGCAGCAGATGCTGGCATGGACAGGACTACTCCGCTACGGCTACCAGGAGGAAGCCGAGCGACTTGCATACAAGTGGCTATACATGATCACCAAAGCTTTTGTTGACTTCAACGGCGTTGTCGTCGAGAAGTATGACGTCACTCGGCCTATTGACCCGCACCGGGTCGATGCTGAATATGGAAACCAAGGTGTAGATTTCAAGGGTGCACCTCGTGAAGGGTAAGACTCTTCTTGTCTTCATGGCTCTCGATTTACATTTACTAACAGTGTCTAATTCTAGGTTCGGTTGGGTCAACGCCAGCTTTGTCTATGGGTTGGAGATACTTAACGCTCACCAGCGGCGTGCCCTGGGAGCCATTACCCCATATGAAACCTACAACAAAGCTGTGGCAATCCAGAATGACAGCGACTAGGTTATTATGACTTGAACGTTGCATGAGGCACGTGTTTTGCTTTATTTTGGTACATCTGGCGGCCGTCATTGCTTCTGAAGGGCCAGAAAAGACGGGGTTCTGGACTCGGCAACAAAACTACACAGTTATACTTACATATAGTGCGGTCTCTTGAATTTTCTCTTTTCATTACTTTTTCTGATTTAATTCATTCTCTGAGGTTAAAGAAAAGGAAAAAGGGATGGGAATAGAAACTGGCTTACTCCGTACACTTTGAGGGTACTTTTGATGAGCTATGATCCAGCTACGAATGATACAGGCGCCACATGTTTTTTTTTTCAAATTTTCTTTTTTAGCTTGGCGAGTTTGACTTTCGATATATATAGTGTTTAGCAACTGTTTAATGAAGCATTTTAGGGTTTAATCTGCTAGTTGTTCCGGAGGTGGGAAGTTTTTTCTTTTTCTTTTCTTTTGATTTCCCCCCCAATACACAAGGACAACCAACAACAGCTCAAAAATCTTCCATTCTATAGACACCATAGGAGGGCTGCTCATACGGATGAGCCCTAGAGAATGCACGAATCGAGATAAGCGAACATAGAACACCCTATACGAAAATTCAACAAGAACATACTTCTTCAATGCCTCCACAGCTTTCCGGGCAATATCCTCACTAGCACACAATGCCTCTACCCTAATCTCCTCCGTTGTCTCCAATTCGCCCACCTTCCCGATGTGCGGGTTAGCTGCATCTCCAGGACGGAATTGGGAAGTGCCTGGAGTAGTCCAGCAGCACTCCGTGTAGTTCCCTTGACCGGGGTAACGGCCTGCGCCTGCAGAAAAGATAGCCGTCTTGCAGGCCGGTACGGCGGAGGGGGGAACAAAGAATACAAGTCTGAATCGAGGGGACATTATTGAGTATGTAGTGTGGTTAGAGGGTTGGGGTTTGTCAAGCTGGATTTGGTGTAATGTTGAGGTTTCACGGGTGTGTTGATGTGGGGTTGTTTTTCTAAGATTGTTTGGTCTGGACTGTTGGGGGTTAATGGGGATGCAAAAGTAGCAATATTATGACTTTCTAGTATATTAGGCCTCTGTCATTGCGTGCACCAATCAATTGCGCCCCCTAATTCCAGTGATAGGTTTGGAATGGCAAATGATATGTGTGGGAAGTATAAGGCTTTTTAGGTATATGATGGGTAACTGGCCATTGGATGCTGGACTGTTGCTGTTGGGCACCGATGCAGACGGCACGGAGAGGGGGAAACGGAATGTTTGTTGTGATAACGCTAAAAGGGCTAATTGCAGCTACCTTGCTAGCGTTTCATAGTTCAAGTGTAAATGGGTACTTTCAGTGTCGATTGTTTCCAGACCAATTGTGAAACATCCATTCACTGTTTAAGATGGAGTTATGATTTTGAAACTGTCTAAAAGGAGGGGTTCGATCTTGTCCTTGATATGATTGCTTACGGTGTACTATAATTCTCAAATCAATTGACAGTAAGAAAGGCCTGTGGCTTAGGTATCTGGGCGTTTAGGATATTGCTCTCATTGGTATTATGAGACTTGGAGGTAAAAGTTAGGTGAGCTACAGACGGAATGTAGCCGGGCTGATCTACGTACACTACTCCGTACACTAGCTTTTATTGTAGGTTAATTCTTGGGTTTGGACCCTGGTGCCTGCTTCTTTGTCTATTTGTTAGCTGCTTGATCTGCGATCTGAAGAGTCGATCTATACATCACAGCCCAAGTGGTTCATTCAACAGTTCTTTGATTACGACCAGACTAATATGAGATTAGTAGCCGGAAGCCGATGGTCTTGAGTGACTTCTGAAGAGGGTGATTTGTTGCAATAGTAATGACTAGTATAGTCAATATTCAGTGTAGCAGTTTTTAATGGTTTAGATGCGAGGCTGGAGATGCCAGTCCAATAGCCCCAGATGTTTGTGGCTAGGGTTCGCCATCACAATCACAATCACATTAACGATGAGGGTGACCTTGATCTGATAGTTGTGGCTTGAAAGTGAGTGAAGAGGTTAGAAGCAACTACACCTAGGAAGGTTACTATGATCGGAAATGCCTCTTCCAGCCTCTTACCTGTACTTGATACTATATACAACTCCTAAATTGTATAATGTCTGGGGTATGAATGCTTGACCTCGGTAAACATGGTTAGGGCGCGACAGAACCCGCAAGCGGGACCGGGAATGGCTGGCGACTGGAGGGTCGGATGGAACGGCACGTCGTTACTTAATCGTGACTGGATAACTATCTTGACCTAGATTCGGTTCCACATTCTTTGAGACTTGATTCATCATGCCCCGGAGTACAATGTTGCCAATAGCAATGAAATATCCCTATCCATGGTTATAACCGGTGCTTGAATGACACCATAGAAAAGCTTCCAGGCATTTTTACTTACCTAAACTCAGATAATCGACGGTGTTGCGGATTAATATCCGAAGCATTTGAATCAATATGAATCATACTCCAGAAATACTCGAAAACTCACTCTTATCAGGGCCCAGATACATGAGACTGTGAAGACTTACCTACTCCGAAGTATAACGGCGCTAAGGTTAACATTTTTTTTTTTTTTTTTTTTTTTTTTCAGTGCTTGGACTCCTGGAGACCAACACAGCCCGCTTTGGAGAGGGGTGTAGAATGTGCCATCTACACCTGCCTTTTTGATAATAGTTGCTGATAAAGGAAAGGGATCTTCTACAAGCGTTGCAACTTCTGCATTCAAACAACTTCTTTTCTTCCTCTTTTTTTGCCTCATTTAGTCTTTTGGGTTCGCCTCTCCGTCTCTCCGCTCACCCCCTTTCTATGTTCGATAGGAAGATGATAGTAGAGCATATCGCTATCCTTATATCTCGCTAATTGGATTTCCACGCTGCAAAGCGTTGATGCGGGCGTGTCCTTTCAGCTACTGTTCGCTGTTTTCTTTCTTTCTGGGCCGCTGATTAACTTCTTGACCAAATCGCCGCTCCAAACGTGGGCACACAGAGGGAGGTGTGACTGGCAAACTCAGTTCTTGATATGTGTCAATCATAATCAAGTTGCATCCCTCTCCAAATTTGGACTCTTTAATTGAATTTATGCCCAAGATAATAAACCACGCTGAACCATGGAAAAAGAAGGCACATTTGCGGCTATGCCGCCAGATTATGCTCCTAGAGAATATGAGAGACACGCGATGGATCCACCACAAAGGATCAGCGCAGATATCGATAGTGATTTCCATTCCATATCACCCGAGGACCGTCGGCCTCAAGCATTCGAGGGAAAAGACGAAGAATGTCGCCCTTCCTATGCCTCGGACACAAGCCACGATGCTGCGGTTGTAGTGCCGAGAGTAGATCGCAGAGGACTCTTTGGTCAGTTTACGCTGCTGGCGGAAGTTGAAAACCCGAAGGCTTATACTCGGAAGAAAAAATGGTTCATCACTTTCATTGTTGCGTGGGCAGGAGCCACAGCCCCTATGGGAAGCGCAATACTCTTCCGTAAGTCGATGCCCCTTCTAGCTTTGTCTTGATGGCACATGGTTATTTACTGCGTCTAGCTGCCCTCTCTCAGGTTACCAAAGAGCTGAGCTCGACAACCACTGTGGCGAATCTCAATATCTCGTTGTACATGCTTAGCATGTCGATTTTTCCTTTATGGTGGTCATCTTTCAGCGAAAAACTGGGGCGACGGACTATATACCTTGTATCATTTTGTCTCTTCGTGATATTTAATGTACTCTGTGCTATTTCTAAGTCAATGGCCATGCTCATTGTCATGCGAATGCTCAGTGGTGGAGCTTCTGCTTCGGTCCAGGCGGTCGGAGCAGGGACAATTGCGGACTTATGGGAATCTCAAGAAAGAGGCCGTGCTATGGGAATATTTTACCTTGGACCATTATGCGGACCATTGGTGGCTCCTATTGTTGGAGGTGCTTTGGCTCAACGCTGGAAGTGGAGGAGCACGTTATGGTTCCTAGCAGCTTATGGGGGCATAACCGTTGCGTTCATATTCTTCGCCCTTCCAGAGACGTTGATATCGGCAAAATCCCCTAGTCCTAATACAAGTAGCGAGCAACAGGAGCCGATTGGGCGTCGGCTGAGCCGAGTCTCTTCCCGACAGGTTGTGGGGTTCACTACAAGGTGGCTGAAGTTCCTCAAGATGGCCCTCGTCGATCCGCTGAAAATTGTGCTTTATCTTCGATACCCACCAGTCTTACTGACGGTATACTACGCAAGTATCACTTTTGGCTCTCTTTATGTGTTGAATGTCAGTGTTGAACACACTTTCGGGAGCGATCCATACAACTTCACTACGATCCTTGTCGGTCTGCTCTACATCCCCAACTCTTTGGGCTATGTCGTCGCCAGTACATTTGGAGGGCGATGGATGGACAATATCATGCAGCGAGAAGCCAGAAAGGCACAAAGATATGATGAGAATGGCAATTTGATCTATCACCCCGAAGATCGCATGCGTGAGAATGCCTGGCTTGGTGCTTTTTTGTACCCTGCTGCGTTGATTTGGTATGGCTGGACTGCAGATCGGGGTGTATTCTGGCTCGTACCGGTATGGTGTTCATTTCCTCCTCCGTTTTCATATACTGTGTTTTATGGCTAGAGGAACTAAAGACTTATTTCCGCAGATGATTGCAAATTTCTTCTTCGGCATAGGATCTATGCTTATCTTTAGCATGGCAACGACGATGCTGACGGAATTCATGCCCAAGAAGGCTTCATCAGGAGTCGCACTGAATAACTTCATGAGGAATATCTTCTCCTGTGTCGGTTCTCTGGTAACAGCTCCTATCATCGACGCCATTGGTAACGGATGGTTATTTACTATACTCGGGATTGTTGCCTTTCTAAGCAGCTCTGTCCTGTTTGCGATGAAGGTATTTGGGCCACGCTGGAGAAAGTCGATGGATGCACTCAGGCATTGACGAGGTTAGTTGAGTCCAGCTGTCTAATTGTGGGCCTTGAGAAGGTGTGGCATTCCAGAACTTTCAAAGATTAATCCTCTTCTCTTGTCCATTGTCAAGTTGGGCTGCTGCTATGCATTGTCATAAGCATGGTATGCATTCTGTATATAGCAGTCCTGCCACTTTTTTTGTTGCAGGATCGTCATCGCCCACATCTCACTATCTTGAAAGAAGCAAAACCAAGTCCCGAAAGGCTGGAACTGTGGATATGTCACATGGTTGGTCTGGATAAACACTATAATGCTCCCTGGATGATGTTGCTGTTTAAAGATACCCGAAGCATGGGCCATGTTATTTTTAGAGCTAATGTGAAGTTGAACGTTGTCAGATACCTAAATTCGGAGGGTTACCTGTTCCTGCTCTCTCATCATAGGTCCGTGCAATAACTCAGTGGGCAGCATCAACCTTGGAAGTACTACGGAGTATCCTATGAATAGAGTTCATTGGGAGCAAAGGTAGCTGCCAGATGTGATTTACGAAAAGTTCTTCCCATTTCCCTCTAAACTCCGTCCTAAGTCAGAGCCAGCCACCAGGGCGAGACAACGGGCAAAATGGAGACAGATCTGACCTGTCTTAGTTTCCCTTTATTCTGGTCTAGGGGGTTCTACTCGGTTATCGTACCCACATGCTGCCTGAAGCCGACATTTGAGGTGCATGGGATGAAGTCGATGATCCTCCGTATACTATCGATATAGATCGAGGAACTACGAACTAGGCCCATAATAGAAATCACGCATTGGCCTGAGCAGCGCTAGGGTAGCTCGGACCAAGACGGCGAAATGCGTAACAAAGCCATAGGCTACTATTGTCCTGCATTAACTTACTATCATGGTTATCATGGTCAGGTGGCGGTACACAAGGATTCCTATAAGGCAAAAGTACGCATCTGGACCGCTGCGTTGAGCGCCGTGGGATGACGTTCGGGTTCTACACCCTACTATTGGCCCGTGAAGGTCATCCCTATGCGATGAAGGTTCTCGATGGTGTCAGACTCTCCCCTACGCCGTACACGTTCCGCAGAAGTGCCTCGCCGATGCATGTTACGTCAGGGTATTCACTATGTTTTGCACCCCATCGACCAGCCGGGCTCGACGATACCGCAGAGATCTAGGGCAGTCGATTCGATGTAATTGCTAGCTGTTCGACTCTGAATGGTAGTTTTAATCTCGCGGCGATAGATCTTTCACGATGTAAAAGTAGCATTGGCCCGCTGAACGCTAGCTGTTCACAGTGGGATGGATCTCGATGATGGAACCGTCCACTGTGTGGAGGGATTAGTTGCTGGCAGCTTCAGTGTTTAGCCAAGGAACGTATCTAGTCTAGCGTTATTGGTTTGGTACGTTCTCGAAATTTAGTGATTCTGTTTGTGATTCTTCCGATATCGATGGATCTGCTTGTGGGCACAACGGCAGCCATTCACCGGCCGCCAGAACAGCGCGCCTCACTTTGTGGATGCGACAGGCCTTCGGTCAGTCCACTCGGTAATGGTTCTTTTTTTTTTCGGCTGGTTTTCGGTTGGATATTCTGCAATTGTGTCAATCGAGTTCTGTTTTCCTTTTTCTTCGTTCGTAAGATCATAGGATCAAATATTATTTATTGTCTATGCGATGAATTCCGACATCCAATTGATGACGAAGAAGAAAAAGACCAAGTATGGTTACGGTTACAAAACAGAGACATCCACTATTCTCCATTAGGCGGTCCAGTGATCAACGGCACTTGCTGAATTGTTCATTTGTGGAGAAAGTCAACTAAACTTCTTTCAATCTGATCTCTGTGTTTCATCCCTCTCCCTCATCACTTTTTAGCCATCCGAAGAGTAGTTGCTACAGTAATTCGAGAGACTGCCCTGCTCCATCTTCCTTAGCTGCAGTCAATCCCTCCCTAATTGTTAGGGTTATTATGGCCCGGACCCATTCGGACCGCTGCCCGGAGCAGGCGTCGGGCAGAAATCCTCTGATTGATTAACGGAGTACACAGCATGAAGTACGGAATACTAATGGTTTCTAGCATCATTGTTGCGTCTCGCCTCCATATCTAATGCTAGATGGATGGCGTTTCGCTGCCCATTAACGGAAAATCCCAGTCTTGGTTGGCTGTGATCGTTTGCGTTGGTCTGGTATCGACCATTAGCCTTACTTTGCTATCCCAGTCTTTTTTGGCTGCCCTGATGGTTTTCACCATGACGCGTCGGCTAGCATCCAGTCCGAATGGATTGTCTGTGGACTAAAAACAGATGGATAGAAAGACCCCATAAGAAAGAAAAAAGAAAAAATAATCCAAATTAAAAAAAAAAAAAGAAAAAAGAAAAAGAAAAAGCCAATTCCAACCGATCAGTGGCACCACCCCCACTAATACTACAGATTGTATGGAGCACCCAATTTTCTATTCTGAGTATGGTGTTTCCCTTTCTGGATCATCTCCTCCTCACCAGGCCCGCCGCCACTGCTTGCTACTGCAAGCTTCTCATGCAGATGACGGTCTTCCGGTTTCCTCCCTGCCCCAGTGATGCTTGCCGGAAATACGCCCACTTTCTATGTCTGTCTACAGTGTTATGGGACCCGTGAGACGTGGCCCAATAAGAGATTATGCCGTTGGGCAGTTCGTCAATGATGTCCCCAACCCCCATGCCCGAACTGCAGCTCGAAATTATCCCGTCCGACTGGGTCGTGGATGAAGTTCGATACGTCGCCTCGCTTGGTTCACGAAAAGAATTGTTTGCGGACTGGCGCACAATTACTGCTTGTACTTTTTGCCTTCAAGCCAATACGTCAGGGTCTGTCCGAACCTGACCTTTCACATTCCCATATCGGTTCATACTCCATTCTGATCCGTCGCCCCCCTGTTCTTTTCTTTTCTTATTCCTTTTGCCCCTGGCCCTGTCTAGACCTCCACAGGCGGGTGATCAAAACCCTCCCGACTGATATATATCTAGTGCCCAGTTCCCACTCTAATTGAGGCCATTCAAAGTTGTGCAACGTTACTGATCCAATGCTATGGCCAAGAAAGGAGGAAAGAACAAGAAAAAGACCAACAACAACAATAACAATAAGCAACGGCTACCAGTAAACGACAATCAACTATCAAACCCAGAGAATAGCCCCCCTATTGAGCCCGCCCCGGAAACGGCGGTTGAATCTGCAGAAAATGGGGAAACCGATCCAGTATGCACAGCTTCCCAAATTTGAGTACCAGACTTTCGAGCGTCAATATCAGACCTTCGACCGTCATACTTTGCAATTTTCATTCTATCCTGTTGCTTCTACATCAACAGACGATCTGACACCTGACAATGATCAGGGCAATAACCCCGCTGAGGCAGGCAATGTTCCAGAAGGAGGATCAAGTAGCTCGCCGACTGACACTGCATCATCTCCTGAGGCTGCAGGTAAGCTCGTACATAAGTCTTCCTTTTATCCATTACCCTGTGTAGTCCATGGTTGTGGAGGCCCTTCTTCCCTTCCCCTTTATTACTATGTTGTTAGCAATTATTGTTGCCTCATTGTGGTTTCCTTACTAAACATATGTAGAATCGTCAGAGGCGACAACGCCGTCCCCGGACCCTGTAGAAAGCCCCGGCGAGCCTGCTGCAGAAGCCGACGACACAACCCAAACGCCCAAGGATGAGAGTGCCTCAGACGACAAGAAAGACGAACCACCAACCGAAGGCTGTGTTCAGCACGCAGAAGCGGAACAGGATGCCACAGATGCTGTGAATGCAAGCGTCCCTGAGCAAGATACTCAAGAGTCGAAGAATGGTATGCTCCAGAGGATGCCAGTGCGCACAGTCAGCTGACCTTCCTTATAGATACTGATATCTCCGAAGAGGGTCCCTCTGTTGAATCAGATAAACCCGCACCTGAGAATGGAGAAGCTGCGGAACAAGTAGGTGAAGATGCTAAAGCAGAAGAAGAATCGGCAGCCAAAGAAATGGAGGGCCTTGACGACGGCTCTAAAGAGACCGATCTAGTACCGGCTCTTCCTGAAAGTGAAACTAGGGGCCCACCTACAGATGCGGAAGCTACTCCGCAGCCTGCAGATGAGCCCGCAAATCCTGATGAGACAGGCAACGCTTCGTCCAATGCACCAGTAACAGATCCGAATACAGAAAATCACCCATCTGACCCTGCGCCTGAAACAGAAACATCGACCGACAAGGCGTCAACAGATGAGGTGACAACTACAGAGGCTCAAGAGAAAATTACAGCTTCGGCCAACCCAGACATTGACGCCGAACCAAACTCACCGGAGTCTACAGATAAAGTAGAGCCTGAATCTGGAGAAACGCCGGTTGGTGAAGCTGCCGCGGATGGGGAGGATACGGAGATTCCTCCAGCAGAACCTGTGCAAGATATACCCTCTATTGAAGAACCTGCGCCTGCAGACGCCAATGAAGGCGCAGCCTCCGGCAAAGGCAAGAAGGGAAAGAAGAACAAGAAAAAGAAGAAGAAGGGCGCTGTTGCCGTGGAAGAGCCTCCCTCCACACCTCTGCCTCAGGAACCAGAACAGGTCGAGGATCCTGCTGTCGCTGAAGCAGAAGTCGAACCTGAGGCCAAGGAAACAGAAACAGAAGCTGCACCAAGTACAGACGAGATAAGCGACAACCCGGCAGAAGCCACCGCTGAACCCGATCCATCCCCCGATGAGGATCAAGCCGATGCTGGAGCAGATGCTAATACTGGCGATAAGAAGCCTGAACCCACAGCAGAGGAACCCACTTCCGAAGAGCCCGTTTCCGAAGAACCTTCCGTGGATAAGCCTAGCGACGGTTCTGCTGCCCCGGAAGATGCCGAGCATGTCGCAGATGCTTCTGAAGAACTCCCAGCCGAGTTATCTCCAGAGAAAGTAACCCCTGAAGCAGAAGCACCCCCGGAGGCGGTACCTGAGGAACCGCCAAAAGAGGAGCCAACGGAAGAGACTGCGCCTGAAGGGGTTGAGGACAATGTCGGTGCTGGTGGCATGACTCCAGAGGTCTCTGCAACCGACGGAAAGTCTTCTGAAGAAGACAAGCCGATTGAAGAGCCAGCCAACATGGAAACCGCTGAGCAAACACCGGCTGAAGAGGGAGTGGAGGAGGCAGCTGCAGCAGAGCCCGCGGCTGATGAAACCCCTGCAGAAGTTACAGCTCGCAACGAAGCAGAAAGCGACGAACATCTCACTGACGCAGAAGTTTCCGGAGAAGCACCAGTTGACACCCCAGGTACTACGCCAGAGCCACAGGAAGATATAGTAGAAGAGGAAAAGGCTGGAGATGAGGCCGCCGAGGATTCCTCCCCAGTTAATGCTGCTCCTGTGGAGAAATCCGACGACAAGGAAGCGGATGCCTCCAAGGAAATTCCTGCTGCAGATGCGCCGGAAGAAACGGTCTCAGAAGAGCCTACCACTGCGGAGGAACCTGAGGCTGGTGATCCTTCTCCTGTCACTGAACCTGTTGCAGAAGAACCTGCTTCGGCGGAAGAGCCTCCTGTTACCGAAGCAGCTCCTGTCGCCGAGGAACCTGCTGCTGCTGAAGGCGTTCTCATTGAGGAAGCGCCTGCCGCTAAGGAATTGCCTGTCACCGATGAGGCTTCTGCTGCCGAAGAAGCTCCAACTACTGAGCCCGCTGTTACCGAAGCGGCCCCCATCGAAGAAGCCGATGCCGAAACGCCTCTCACAGAAGTACCTGCTGTCGAGGAAGCTCCCGAGCCACCCACTACTGAAGAAGCTCTCGCGAATGAACCTGCTGTCACTGAAGAGGTTCGCCTTGAAGAAGCCCCTGTCGAAGAGCCACCTATTGCTGAGGAGCCACTTGCAACTAAGGAAGTGCCTTCTGAAGAAGTCCCTGTTGTTGAAGAACCTCCCGCGGTTGATGACCCTGTTGAGGAAGCACCTAGTCCTGAAGCAGCACCCGCTATTGAAGAAGCTCCTGCTGAGGAAGTTCCTGTTGAAGAAGCACCTGTTGAGGAAGCCCCTGTGCCCGAAGCAGCACCTATTGCCGAAGAAGCTCCGGCTGTTGAGGAGCCTGCTGCTGTTGAAGCTTCTACTCCTGAAGAAGCTCTAGTTACTGAGGAGCCTGTTGCTGCCGAAGAAGTCGCTGTTGAAGAAGCGCCAGCGCCATCTGTATCAAGAGAAATCACCGTCGAGGGAGCCCCAGATGTTGAAGAAGCCCCAGCGGAGCAGGCCCCGGTTGAAGAAGCTCCTGTCGCTGTAGAATCTCCTGTTGCCGATGAAGTGCCTCCCGCTGAAGCTCCTGTCCAACCCGCTCCGGATGACACTCCATCTGAAGAACCTGAGCCAATTGAAGAACCCGCAGCGGACTCGCATGTTGTTGAGTCAGCACCAGCCGATCCTAGGGTCATTGAACGAGCTCCCGCTAGCGATGATACGCCTCCTGAAGATCTTGTTGCCGACGAACCAGCTGTCGGGGAGGTGCCTTCAGAAGAGCCAGTCCTTGAAGAGTCAGCTGCTGGAAGAGAGCTGTCTGAAGAGGCAACAGACCCTACAAGCGAATACCCAGATACCGTTGACTCGCTCAAAGATGACCCCTCAACTACGACCGAAGCTGCCGCTGGAATTGCAGCCGGAGCCGCCGCCGCTGGTTTGGCTCATGGCCACAGAAAGAAAAAGCGACGAACAACCGACATGGACCGTGAGCGTGGTCACTCCAAGACCTCCTCTGATGAATACCCGCCTCGACTGGAACGACAGAAGAGTACTAAACGTGGCGGTATCTTCACAACTCGATGGGCGGAAGCCTTGGATGAGGCGAAGCGGCAGCATGAGAAGAAGGCCAGACATGAGGACAGACGGAAAGAGAAGACGATTATAGTGGAAAGGGAGCCACGCCGTTCGTCAGGACGTGAAAAAGAGCACGAGCGTATAAGACGATCCGAACGCACCGAGCGCTCTACAAAGGAAAAAGAACCTGTGCCTGTCAAGACAAGACACAAACACTCAGAACACTCTAGCAGCAGTGATCGTGAGCGAAGTGGAAGCTCTTCCTCAAGACACGCGCAGCTTTCAGCGCCAAAGCCTAAAGCCTTTCTAAAGTATATGACATCGGGAGAGTCAGACACCAAACCCCTACTGAAAATCAATGGCGACAAAGCTGCCGCAAACATCTATGAGCCTCATAGGAGATCTTCCACGAGCCGTTCACATGGTCACCGCCACTCTCACGAGGGACGAGGCACCACTGAACGCTCCAGTGGATCTCACCAGACCGACGAAGAAGATCGAGCTCGACGCGAAGCTCGCAGAGCTCGCCGAAAAGCCGAAGAAGAGGAACAAGCAAAAGCAAAAGAAGAGCCTGAGCAACGCCATCACCGTCATAGCGGAGAAGGACACCATCGTCACCACCGTCACAAACGTGCTCCGTCTCCTCCACGGAGCGGAAGTTCCAAACTAAAAGGCTTTATCAAGTCTGCTATTGCTGCATATTAAAAAACTATTATTCTATATTTCCTTTTCTTTTTCCTCTTTTGCCTCTTCCCTTCTGCATACATTTTCAAAGTCATTATTATTTTAGTGTGGCTTTTTGTTTCTTCTCATGTTATTGTTTCTGCTTTACCATTTATTTCATGTAAACCCTTTTTCTTGCTTGTCTCTTCCTTTCATGTTTTATCTTTGAAACATAGCATAGCGTTCGGGTAAAGGAGGCATAGCAAAGGTGTTATCTTTTCTGTTATGTACTTACCTGTCTGAATACTTTTCTTTCATGTTGATGACTACTTATTTTATATTCATATTTCAAAAAGATATGTAACATCAATGCTACCCTTCTATTTATTGATATTACTCATTACACCAGAGTAAGTTCAGTAAATACCCTTCCCTAGCCTGAAAGCTCCAAAGTTATGTATCCCCCAGACAGTACACCTCTGTCCCATCGCGTCCAACACTAGTAGTAGAAGACTGGTAGATACCGATCCAATTCCTCAAACACAATTTGCGCAAGCTTGGATTTTTGTACAGAACAACCCCATTCGGATTCTTCACTTCCATCAAAGCACCCGTAGCACCTTCATATCCAGCATCGACCACACCAGCAACAATGCCGACACCAGACAGCCACAACGAAGATCGAGGGAAAACAACCCCCTTGCAATTCAGTGGAATTTGAACCGTTTCATTGAAATCGGATTAGGTAGGCGCCTGGCTGTAATGTGATTGTTTGACTGGTGTTGTTGTTGTTGTCGAAGGGACAGGCTGGACGTTTTGGCCGCTTGACGTTTTGTATTATCGAAGTCTATCATGGCAGCTGAGGTCCATTTGGAAACCTGATGGAGAGTAAGGTCCATGCCGCATGGCTATTGTTGCTAAATACGGTGTCGCAGGTTCCGTACCAATTGGCGGGTGACGATCTCGAGTCCGCTGAGAATCATGATAAATGTAGCCTCTAATTTGAACTAAATAGCTAGAATGATGATGATAATGGAAAGTGCAATTACAATGATATAAACAAAAAGTACACTCGCATCTAAAGAATCGTGATCATCCTTATTTTTACTATCTAGTTCCTATCTCCTACACCGCTTGGCTGGTGACGTGCTTTTAATCCCAGTTTACGTTTTGTCGTCCCAACTTCCCTTACACGGATTATGGAGACTCTGTTTCGGCCTCTAACTGACCTTTTAGTAGGTCCCTAAAATAACTGATGTGGACTTGGTATTTTGCAACTTATACCCCTAGCTATAATACATCACAGCACCGGAATGGCCATTCCATCTCCTCTCTGGTCACTTCCTGCACTGTAGACCAATTGCCCCTCGTCATAGTGGCAACGAATAATTTGTCCCCTACCAAACATACCTCTCTCCCATCCTTCCAATACCTTTACCTGGTGGCCGAGACGCGTCAGGCCTTCGACAGCCTCATCACTGATGCCTTCCTCTACATAGACACTGCGATCAACAGGTTTTCCTAGCTCCGGTGAGCCAGCAGCAATACAGATCCTCGGGGAGTCCAACGCCGCCTGTGGGTGATAGTTAAACGCAAGCATATTGAGTAACACCTGAACATGACCCTGGGGCTGCATAAAGCCACCCATGACACCATACACTGAGTGTAATGAACCATCAGAGACGTTGGTGATCATGGCAGGAATAATGGTATGGTAAGGCCGTTTGCGCGGAGCCAGCGCATTTGGATGACCTGGCACTAGAGAGAAATTGGCTCCCCGATTTTGCAACGTAAATCCGCAGCCCTTAGGGATGATTCCAGAGCCAAATCCAGCGTAGTTACTATTGATGAATGAGATGCCGTTACCCTCCTTATCTGTCACTGCAAAGTAGACGGTGTCACAATGGTTGTGAGCTGGGCTACCGTGGTCAAGGATATCAGTCGCCTTGTCCGGGTTGAACAGTTTTGCCCTCTCAGCCAGGTATGCAGGAGAGATAAGTTCGCTGGTTGGGACCTTCTCCACATCGGGGTCCGTGACCCACCAAGATGCATCAGCGAACGCGATACGCAGACTTTCGATAACTGCATGGAGATATTCAGCAGAGTTATGCTGAGCCTCTGTGAACTTCGGAATCTTGCCCATTTTTTCAAGTTCCTCAAGGATTCCTAACGCCATGAGAGCAACGATTCCCTGCCCATTTGGCGGGTGCTCCCAAATCTCCACTCCTTGGTTGTCCTCACCATCTGTTCCTACAGTCTGCTTCTCAGCAATGCTCTGTCCAGAGAACTTGAGGGAGATCGCTTCCGTCTCCTGAGTCCCAGTCTCTGCATGGTACTTCAGATCATCTAGAGTAAGGTAGCCTCCCAAATCTTGCACAACTCTCACCAGCTCCTCTGCAACTCGCCCTTCATAGAATCCTTTCTTGCCATTGACCGCAAGTGATCGGAAGGTCTGGGCCAGCGTAGGGTTTTTCAAGATTTCACCGGGAAGAGGGGCTCTGACCCCATCTTTAGCCTTCTGGTCTGGCTTGAGCATCTCATGCGCATTTGGGGATGCCTGTCGAAGGAGATCCTCGCCTTCTCGCCACTGTCATACATTGGCAATCAGTCCACATTCTAAGACAAAGTGACATTGCATGTCTTGGATGAGACGGCCCGGTGACCAAGAAGGTCTTCACTTACAAAAAAGGACGATAATTCGGATACAGGAAAACCATTCTCGCCAAGCTCAATAGCTGGAAGTAAGATCTGTTCCAAAGACAGCTTACCACTTCCGAATTTCTCTATGGTGTCAACCCACCCGGCAGCTGCGCCGGGAGTTGTCACCGCATGAACGCTTTTCATAGGTATGGTTCCAGCGTCATTTGGGCCGACATTCAAGTCAGTCCGAATTTTCTCTAGTGTAGCATTCGCAGGGTACCGCCCGGATCCATTAAGGGAGTGAACTTTCTTCGTTTTGGCATCGTAGAAGAGACAGAACATATCTCCTCCAATCCCTGTTGATGAGGGCTCGGTGATGTTCAATGCAGCGGCTATCGGCCATATCGAGTCAGTTTCATTTCATTGTACCGACGACATTGGCATTACGTACCCACGGCTACGGCAGCATCCTTTGTCAATCGTTAGCATGTTCCGGAAAAAGAAGAACTGAGTGTAAAAACGTACTGCAGCATTTCCTCCCTGTTGCAGAACTCTTTGGCCTGCAGCAGCTGCCAAAGGCTGGGTACAAGTCACGATCCCATTTGTGCTATGCACAGTACTTCTCCGACTCGTGAATGGAACGAAGTCGGGGTTCAGTCTAGAGTAGATGGCTTTCGAGTTGAGGGGCATTTTGGGTTGAACTATTTGCTTCTGCGGTCGTCGAGAAACGAGGTGTTACCCGTAGGAAGGATACACAGAGCGAAAGGGAAAGCAAACTCGTGTCCCTTTATTAGGGTCGAGGGACCTTCGGCCGAGATATTAGTTATAGGCTTCCCCATAGTTTCCTTACCCCGCCGGGTTGTCCTCGGAAGACACCATATAGTTGGAGTCACCGTATCTTATCGGTTACGTGCTCGGTTGGAGTCGTTGATAGGCTAGAACTGACGAGGTCGGCCCCATGTGACAAGACACTGGAGCCTGTAGATGACCATGACATTGACTATGAGTCTATGGCTTAGTATGCCTTGAGATACGACCCAGACGACTCTCTTGAGGAGAGTGTGAAAGAGAAGGATGCTTTCTAAGGATTCGGGGAAAGTCTGCCCTCAATCGCGACCTTCCTAACAGGGAAGGTGGAGTACTGGTAGATGTCTCCAAATTAAGGAAAGTGCTACCTCGTGACCCCAACCCGTCAGATGCACGCGTGTGACTCCGAAAGATAGATCAATTCAACTGATCGATCGATAAGATATTGTTTCAAGAACTACAAACCGGTGGAGGAAGCTTTGGAGCTTATCCACTATCCCCTGAAATTTTGTTCAGGAACAATCCAAATCAGGCAGGATAGGCGCGACAACACGTATCAGACCCAGACTTTTCTCATCGGCATCTTGTTCACCGAGACGAACCACCTACTTTATCTTTTGCTGTGGTCCCGCACCGAAGACGGAGAGCAACTTCCCTAACCGCGTCATCCCACTGTTTTCCAATACCGCGTAACAGTATCTTTTAAGTTCATAATTCAGCTTTAAAGGCAAGAGAAGCTCAAGTTCTCTGTTGCATCTTTAAACACTTTGTCTGGTGTTCGTTAACTTACCACTGCTTCTACCAGCTCTTCAGCTCCTATCAGCAGTGCAGATCTAGCCCTTTTTTTACTCCCTCAGTACAATACAATGGTGGTCTTCGTGGACTTGGACCATGATACATTCAGCGAGAATCATTTTTCGCATGGTCCCGATGCTTTGCCCCATCTCTTCGCTGAACCGGGGAAGTTGACAATGTCCAAGTTGACGGTTATCGGAGCTCCACAGTCCGCAAAGCTACCTACTGACGATGATACTTCTACCGACCCAACACGCGATGCGTCACAGTTTCGCCTAGAAGAACAAAATCAAAATCAAAATGCCTTCTCAGTTGCTCTGAGCTGCTATCCGTACGCAACACTAGTGAACCAGGCTACTCTGTGTCTGGTTCGGTATTGTGGTGCTGACCAGAAGGTTCAGGATCGTTAAAGAGATCGCCCGATCAGTGGATCTTAACACACTGCACGCCCTATCCCGGACATGTCGTCAATTCCATGCGAATCTGGCACCCTACCGCCACCAACTAGTCAAGCAAACTCTACGCTGCGAGAATGAATACATTGAGACACTATCGGATCTGCTGCGTAGCGGTACTCCGATCCCCGACAGCGTCAAGTCCGTGATCCGACTTCTAAGCCAAGAGGCCAGGAACTCTGGGCGCCTAACTGCTGGCAAAGTTGCCAAATGTGCCCGAGACATGGTTGGCGAGTGTCGGCGATGTTCCAAAGTGGTTTGTCGCGTACGTTAATTGGACCCAATTGCCAGAAGCAAAGCAATACTAATAGTTCTGTTTAGAATTGCACAGCCAAACCCCCAACCAGTAGTATGCTTAGGAACCGCATTCGTCGTCTCTGCGCCGCCTGTCAAACAGCGCCACTAGCCGATCTTCTTGCCTTGTCTCCTCCGAGTCTGTCTGCCTATGATACCCAGCCTTTGTCGTCCGAGCAGCCTAGCTTTACAACCAAAGCTTTTCAGCGTACTCCTTGTTCCTGTGCAGACTCTGTTTGGCTCTGCCATCAGTGCGGGATGTTCGTACGCAACAGTGACACAACATACCGCAGAGTATGGACATGGCGGTCCAGGTATAGTACCTACCTAGGAGGACTAGGCACTGGAATTGGTGAAGGCTGTCAAGGAGTTAAATGCGGTCGTGGAGAAACTTGCTTGGCAGCTCAAGAAATTGAGTTAGAGGTAGAATGCGAAGCAGACGGGTCTTCGGGCAGTCCACACGGAACAGGATATGGAAGTGTGGGATCACATAACCATCCGAACGACCATCGGGACAGCCGTGAAGAGGAAGAGCCCGGGTATTTCCGACAAGAGATCATCGGAATTGGAGGGGTTGTCAAACATAAAGCCAAGAAACGGGTTATGGTGGGGGCCTGTGTAGTTGAACATGAGGATGAGAGAGAAACGGGCCAGTATCTGGCTCGTGAAGAGGCTGGGCAACATCGAAGCTGGTGTGGATGGTGCTGGAGAGTTGTCCCATGCAAGAGTGACTTACAGAAGTGATGCAGACATCGAGAGGTTTGTTTTCAAGTTTAGCATCGCATAGCTAGCAATAGGTTTTCTACCAGAAGCAATCCCTGGTACGTACAAGTACATCAATCAACAATTCAACAGTATCTAAAAGCATACAGTACAAACCACCCACCCCCTACTCAAAACAAAACCCTCCCATCCCAAACAACCACCATCTTCCAACCACCAAACAACCCAAAAACACCCACAAACTCCCAGAGATAGCACGAAACAGATGCACGCCCCAGCCCAATTCCCAACCCGCCCGAAAACCCCGCATGCCAAAAAGGCAATCTAGCATTAAGCTTCGGGGGAAACCTGGCTAATGATCCTTTGAGCGTATCTGATCCGGAAATAGAATCTGCATCGGAGTGGCTGTGTTTGTTGGAAGTCGGGTGGTTGGTATTGAGTTTAGGAAGGATTGGGGCTATGGAGCTTAGGTTTTCCTTGTAGAGGAGGGGGGGGAAATCTTTCTCTTCGTCCCCTCTTTTCTTCAGTGATTGAGGGTGGGTATGTACATACATACATACATACATACATACATACATACATAGTGTATGTGGGGTGTGAGTTTAGGTTTGGGTTTTGCTGAGGTTGTTAGGTTGTGTGGGTTGGTTGGGTGTTCTCGTATTTGGGTGTTACTGTTACACTGTGTATACTGCTATAGTAGTAGAGTTAAGGTGAGATATTACATCAGTTACACTACTTGTAGAATGTAGTAGTTGGATAGTAATTCTAGTAGTAGAGGTTATAGATTTCAAAATGAACCAAAAGTCTAGTCATATTTGATTGAAGAAAAAAGACAGACAGCACTATATGCCAATCAGCCTGGGGGTATAGAAATACATCAATTCATAAGATAAGGAGATTTCCAGCACATAGGAAAAGAAATGAGAACAAAGAAAATTCCGGCCGTAACAAAGGAAAAAACACCACCCTCTCCAAAAAAGAGACCCTGTTCCCAAAGAAGAGCCCCGTTTATTTTTCCAAGATGCGCCGCCCTGAGAAGACCATCGGGGATGGCGCAAAAGAAGAAGAAGAAGAAAAGAAATCATGGTAGTTTTGTAACATAGCAGGTTGCGGATGAAATCGAAACCTTTCGAGTCATGTCCTTGGATCCATTTTTAGAATACCGGGAATAGATCTCGTGGGGTCCATCTTGATTTCAACCAGTGGAAGTCCGTCCTGAGATGATAACGGCTTGTGTAGCCTTGATCGTTCCTCGGGATCCGGGCTGTTGTGTTTCTTGTGGTACAGCAGGTAAATGGCGTTAAATCCGTTCCCGGTTTCATCGAGCGAGTTTCCTCCAGAGTGCCTCTCGCTTATTGGTGGTATAATGTGCTCAGCAACAAGTGGCATCGTACTCAGGTAAAATCGTACAGTAGAATCAAGATTGGGCGGCTTTGCGCCAACGTGTCTCAATGGTAATGTGTGTAATTAATGGTCATCATGAGTTCTACATTGGCCTCAAATCGTGAATGACTTCCAGGACACTGGAGGAGGGAACTGTGTCCCAGATGGAAGCGCGGGCTCGTCATAGTTGAAGTGATGTGCTGCTGGCCAGGTTGGTGACGGATATTGGCATTGAAAAGGCTGTTCACTAGTCAGCTTCCTATTGTTGGCTATAGACTGCGGTTGGCTTACATCGTTCAAAGGGACAGGTGCATAGCTTGGCGTAGCCAATGGCCCTTCTGATTGGTCCCAACACCGCAAGGTTGCATGCATTGACATTGGTGAGGATGTTAACTCGCTGTCGATGATGGGTTCCGGGTATTGGTCGGCAACCGCTGTAGGCGTTGAAGCGATAGACGACCGAGGGTGGGACGGAATAGATAATGTTGCACCGTCTGAAGAAGGAGAAGGGCAAGCCTCTGGGCTCGAGTAAAATTGGCTATCCTCGATGGATTCGTGAATGTGGTGTGGGGAATAGAGGGGTGTTTGGTGCTCTGACGGCATGTTCATCCCCATCCACATGTAACCAGTGTCGTTTGCTAGGTCTGGATGAATAGGTGGTGCCACGAGGGATCCGATTGACATAGAAGTCGTTGGTTGAGTTGCAGCCAGGTAGTGTCCCGCACTGGGATCAACAGGTGCGGCTTTGGGCAAGTAATGAGATTCAGATACCATTGGGATGTGGCTCTGTCGGCTCCATTGCGCGTTGTTCATCTGAGTCTCAATCTCACTGGGACATGGTTCATTAGCGGGTACTCAACCGATACTCAAGACTAAGTCGGACGTACTGTCTTTCTACATGGCGCGACAATAAGTCAGGACGGTGAAACGCCTTTTTGCATCCTGGGTGGGTGCAACGGAACACTGCCTCAGGATTGTGGTTGAGTTCATGTCGCCGTCTATGTTCCGCTCTGGTGAAGACCTAGATGGGGGTTAACGGAATTCAATTATGCCGATGTAGAAGTCGACGGACCTTTTCGCAACCTGGGAACTCGCAGGCGTGTACCCTTTTACCCTTCTTCGCTTTACTGATGCGATGGGTGGTAGGAGTATAGGTGATTGGGAGAGGGATCTCCGTTTGAGTGTTGGTCCGGCGCATTGTGGTGGTGGTCTTCCTAGATGAAGCCTTGTTGTTCTGTGTTCGAGAAATGGAAGTAGAGGTAGAAGGCATTGCTCTTGAAGAGGTGCGTGGAGAGTTGAGGACTGTTGACAGATGGATAGGCGAGTGGGGGGAAGATATAGTTTCGGTTCCTGGGGCAGATCCTCTAGCCATGATGCAACGACTCAGGTGCCTGTCAGAAACAGAAGACGGTGTGGTATGGGGGCGTGTGGGGATGGTGGTGGGCTGTGATGCAAGTTCGTATATTGTCTAGTATAGAAGTAATTTTATAGGGCGGAAACGGATGAGATCAGACGGTACAATAAAAATAAAAAAATGCCTCGCATATGCAAGTCAAATTGATGCAGTGAGATCCAGGGGAAAAGAAGAGAGACAATCTGAAACAGCCGGAATGATGGCAGTAGAGTGCTGAGGATGCTGAGGAACTGATATAGAAACCGTCAGAGTGGAATATGCGAGGTACCGCCAGAGATATGCTGCAGACCCTTGCACGGGCGATGACAGCAATGAAAAAAAAAAAAAAAAATAATAATAATAATAAATAATGAATAAAAATAATAATAATAATAATAATAATAATAATAAATGAGTATCAATTATTATTAGCCTTTTTCATAGGACGAATGCAATTAATTTAAACCGGGGGGAGGTGTTCTTTTGGAGAATAATAGGATTGTCATCAACATAGCAACAATCACAAATAGATAGGGTAAGCGAACAGTGCTGATCAGTCTGCAAGATGATCATACCAAAGGGCAAAAGAAATTAAATAAACCAGAGAGCATGATGGCTATGTAAATGGAAAGCCTCAAGAAGACATGCATCCACTTCCGGAGCTAACAAGGAATTAAGAGAGTCCAAAAAGAAAAGAAAATAAAATAAAATAAAATAAAAATTAAAATGATATTAAATCCAAATGAGTCAAAATCATATCGATAAAAATATAATCCTAGAACAGGAAATTATTATTTTTCCTCTTTTACTGAATTGGATTATTTTATTTTAGTTTAGTTTACGTTCTTTTTTTTTTCATTTTTATACAAGTTACCCATGCGGCGTGAGAAGCCAGGGATCTGATTGAAGGGAAACAAGCATGGGTGTATTATCCACCGGAAAACCAACAGACAAGACCCGTATTGACTGGTGCGGCTGAGGCGCAAAGTTGGGGGAAAGTATGCCTGACAGAGTCGACAGACAGATTATTTTTATTACACCCTTACTCCATTCGTTAGTAGTCAATTCGAACGGTACGACTGGGTCGACTAAGGGTTAGAGCGACAGGGATTAGGCCCAAATACACTTCAACGGCTTTCTGTTGGTGTGATGCCACTGCATCGCGAAAGCACCCAACAGAGCCATGGTTGCTGGATCTTCATTCCCCAGCGCCACGATGATCCGGAAATATTGACCTGTAATTCAATTTAAACCAATCTATTTGGGTTAGAAGACAATAAAGGAGTATTAAGGAGAAGATGAAGGCCAGACTCAACGTGGACCATTCTCGGGTCACATCGAGTATTTTTAACAACCCTAACACGACGAGGTTTTTTAATCACTACTATGACTAGTCGTTGTAATCGCTGGAGCAATGATACAATCTTTTTCGGAAAACTCCAGAACAACTACCAGACTAATATCTAATCCAAGTATTTTGAGGCTACCGATATGTAGCATAAGATTTGGTAGATAGAGTATAAAAACTGGTATGGTTGTTAAGGATAATAATAATGATCAATCACAGTAGAAGTTTGGGATTCAGCTGCATGTATGGGGCATTAGTGGGAAGTGTTGGTACGAGGAATATCTCATGATTGGCTCCCTCGTATCTTCGTTCGAGTCCAACCCTTTTTTTTTTTTTTCCTTTTTTATCTAGTTTCCTTTTTGCTTTTTCCCACACAATCCACCGTGTCATAAGGTAATTACTACGACTCCCAAACTACAAGTGGAATCTCAGGTTTGAAGCCTCAATGGGGTCCACTCTGGAGATGCACTTGACCTCCTAATCATCAACGATCCACCACAACCAGCCAAGATCCAGAACACTTCCGTACGGAGGAAGTTTGTAATGTGGAAACCCATCCGTCGGTCAAATCGAATTTTGACACCGAACAGCTAAAGCTCGGTCGTTAGCCTTGGGAAAAGAGGCATATATCGCGAGTCGCGACCTAACCTGCAAAATAACCGAAAAAGGAAAAAGAAGAAATCAATTGTTTCAACAATCGCCATAGCACCGTCAAAAGGAGAATAATCTTAAGAAATGAAATGAATAACCTAAAAGCTATTAATAACAACATCCCCCTCGGATAAATCAGTATTGTGTATGGGTAAGCATTGCCTACTGGAATGCTGATAGACTTTTGGACGAATGGAATTTGTCATGGTTACCCTCGCCAGCGTGAGCGTGCCAAAAGCAAAGCCCCTCCAACGGTGTGTGCCCCACTTGCCCAGGGCGTCAAGAAAACTCCAAGATAGCCAAAAAGTGTTCATTCTCCCCTTTGAGCCTTAGTTTCTTTGGTCGGAAGCAATTCATGTGGTCCGACAGGTGCGTCCGTCTAATGCTTAGGTCTCCACTCCTGTCGCCTGGCCAGTGTCATAGCACCAACGATCGATCTCGGCGTCGGCTCCTTAAATTTTCTTTTGTTAGTAGGGCAGATTCATATCATGTGTACTCCATATGTGCGCGTGGATTGATTGTCACATTTTCATCACTGGCCTATTACCCGGTGGAGTTTAGCCTCGTCGTAAATGCAAGGTAGGCGGTTCCCCTTGCCCTTCCAACCTCCTGAGAGCTACCGTCGATCGTGTGGTCGGTTCCAAGGCTTCTTCCCCATGCTTGGGAGTCTGCCTGCCAAGACGATTGATTTTCTTATCCTACCCGTCTGTCTCCTTGCAAAGAATGCACATTATCCGACTGTCGCGGAAATGATCCATGGTTGCTGATTGGCGTCTGTTTACATGGCATACATACCTCCCGTTGGAATGAAAGTATATCCCAGGTCAAACCACGTGCGCCAATGTTGACGAGAGGAATTAGCAGCATCGGGAAGAGCCCGATAATCCCAGTCACAAATTTCCAATAAGCACCTTACTCTTACCAGCCAATGACTCCCCAGGGAGTAATATGAATATGAGTATCGGACTTGCCGGTAAACTTATCGGCTATTCCGCCGGTAGTGCTGTTGTAGTTGTAGAGAGTCATTAATTCCTAAGGTACCCAGATCCAGCGGGGTCAAGTTCTGGAGCACTGGAAATCACGGAAGAGACCCAGAATTCAAACTCTCCAACACCTCTTCCACAATGCAACAAAGAAATTTTAGTTTGACCCAGCCCTGTGGGTCAGTGTCGACCATATCTATTATCTACGCAGTATGCCCGTCTAAGGTACCCCCTGGTCCGTCCCAACAACGTGTGCTTTAGCTTGTTTCATCGATCCAGTTGATCATTGCCTAGCACGCGGTAATCTCGGGGAACCCAAGGGGGCAGATCACATAAGTAGGTTTCCCTTTTAGTATACGCATTTGAAATGAAGGTCCCCTTCGGGCTAGCCGAATGACAAAATCGGAATTGAACGGCAAAGTAAACATGGCTCAAGGTGGGGAAGACTAGGGAGGTGTCGGGGAACAAAGAGGGTGTACGGAGTAATTCTGGGGAATCTCAAGCTCCAGGCGAGAGGGTACGGCATGAGGACAACCACGGTCCGTAAATCACCTACTTTTCTTATTCCAAATTCAATGAACTTACCATTTTGCGCACGGCTCCTATCGGCTTCTCAAGCGATATGTTGTAGACGAGAGAATCACCAGCACAGGCGGAGCAGCATCCAGAACACAAGGTTGGTGGAAATATATCAAAATCCTGCGCGACGCAGAGCAATGCACACGTATCAACTTCCATAGTAAGCGGGCTTCCATGGATCTTCCATGAGTCTTCTAAACCCCGAATTGTGGTGACTAACGGCTAAATTCTTGCAACCTGGATCATTTGGTCCCATGGCTCGATAATCTCGGTCGTTGATAGATTAATCTAATAGCATTCCAATCGAGATTGTGCGTCGTATTTGCGTGGTATTTTTTTTTTTTTGGTTGGTGGGGGAGGGGCCTTTGTAGCCCAGGCAATGCGCAAAATCCAGAGGCATAAAACACCTGAGGTGTCTATCGAAGCGTGTAGGATTTGTAAGTACGCTAGAATCTAACCCATCCAGGGAATGCTTGGCGAATGCGTCCAGTAGAGCGCTCCTGGGAGGTACAGGCTTAAGCATACTACCCTGTACAGTTGGAGGCACTAATATGTTAGCTGTTCGTACTGGCATCATCATCATCATCTGCCCCCAATAGCCCCCAGTACAACTGCGATGTAGCACTAAGTACCCAGCCCTGAGGATGCCATGAGGACATCATGCAGCCTGCATTGGTTCGAGAACAATCACGTGGAAGAGGCCCATTGCAGCGTTGATGATCCTTCCGCGTAAGGGGAGTAACATCGCGCTACTGCAGTAAGAAACTCTGCGGTTTTGGAATGTCATACACAACAGGGTTAGAATTCTAAAACGACTGTCCTCATGTATGGATATTGTTGCTTGACTACATCATGGGGTGACGAAACAGTATGTACTCCGTATGCGGTTCCCATGATGCTTGTACAAAGCAACAAGTGCTCGTCAACTTGGTAATAACTGACTAACAGGTCGTACATGCAATCTTTTGAGTCATGTGCTGAGGATCTCCACCAAATTTATGGAACCGATATTACGCACTAACCTGTAGTAGACTAGCCAAGCCAACACCTGCTGTGGCCGGTGATTGGACAAGCCCCTGAATGCTAAACCGAACGGGATGCACTCATCTGCACCTGAGGTTTGGTTGTGAGAAGTGTATGTACGGAATATGTCCGGAGCGCTTATGGACGTTATTATCTGCATCACTCTTCTGGCCCACCAACGGCTGCTGAATTGTTCCCTCGTTCCCACTCCTATAAAGAGCACATACAAGCAAAAACACGACTTCCAAATCATCAGTAGCTGTCCGTACTAAACCCTTTAGATCGGAATCACGGCAGGGAACTGGAGTCCGTGGTGGCAGGATCCACCGCCGGAGCCAGAATCTGCCCCGGGTCGGCCGTGCGTTCCAACCCTCAAATTTCAAGCCCATAGCTCCAGGTTCTTCCTGGGAAGGTTTACTGCATAGGCCCAATAGTTCCGGAGATATGGCGTACGTCTCCGGACTCGGATCCGACAGGTCTCGACCGTACGCGCTAATTATTGGCTTTTGATTGACAGGTGATTTCGGTTCGGTGATAATTCCTTGATGTTCTCGTCACTGCCCTTCTTGATCAACGTCATGAGGGCCTTGACCCTATCTCCGACCCGATGGCCGTGACTTCAAATTGCATACTTTTTTGGGTTACCATCATGCGCCCCACTCAGTTCGGTCATAATAGAAAGAAACATCCGAGTTCTTGTCTGATCCAATGACAGATAATACCAGTCCAAGTTTCTACTCCTTATTATTGTGATCACTGTGCAGTGCTCAGCCCAGTACTCATAGGAGATAAGGTTCGGGATAGTGTAAAAATAGAAATCTTGCATGAAGAGATCAAGTACTATTCAAATCAGAGGCCAACTCCCGTCAGTCAGTCAGTCAGTCAGCCTTGCCTGAGGCTGTGAAGGATTATGTAAAAAGTTAGTCAGTGATCGTCGCTGGGTAATCATCGGCTCTTATCAGGGAGGGAATTATGATGAGAGCCCTGCGTAGCATTTTCCAAGAGGAAAATGAAAAAAAAAAGGAGCCAATCCAAGTGAGGAAAATTCCGCGAAGCTCAGCTCAAAGTGACCACTAACTAGAGCCTCATATCACCGTCGATATCACCCTACGTATGGAGACTGGCGAGAGGAGATCGAGTTATGTTTTTGAACGCAATTACCTAGTTCGTTGGCCACTTGGACAAAGCTTTCAGCCAGCAATCTGGCGAAGTGGTACTTTGAACACGATAGTCGACCGCGGGATACGTTACTCTCAGGTCCGTACCAATGAAGAGGTATCAGCATATACCTGTAGAGGTGACGATCTCCACCGGTTTCAAGTTATGAGGGAAATGATACCCTACCGACTCCGCTACGGGTTCAAATAATAAAAAGGAAAAATGTCTTCCGTTGGAAAAAAAAAAAAAAAAAAAAAACTCCGCTACTTAGACTTCACCCAGTGGGTGGTTCTTCTGTCGTGTGGGACCCTTGTCTATGCATACCTGATCGGGCATAGACGTCCACTCACGGATTGGCTTGCCGGATGAGAAAGGGCCAGTCATATTTAGCTCGTCGCGTTTTAGTCCTTTTTAGCCCTTTTCCCTAACCCCTCTTGAGGAATTCCCGGGTGGTTCGGAGTGACCAAGACCCCAACGGAATAACTACGGGCGGCTCCTACCGTACTGAAGTAGCTCCTCCTGCAAAATGATCTTCTTTCGCTTTTCCATGGCTCACTTCAACCTAGATTGGTCCCACTCACTCTTTGATATCCAGTGGCATTTTCTCCCCCGCTAGCTAGAATAGGTAGTGTCACGAATTGCCCGTTTTAGTAAAGTGTTTTGACGATCCCGCTGGTGGGCAAGCGAGTCTACTGGCTTTTGTCAGAACCATGCGTATAATTCATTGTACACTTTAGAGGCTAAATTGCCATGTCAATTACCAGTTTTTTTTTTTTTTTTTCTTTTTGGTATATGACAAGGATCCGCTACTGAAACGAGCGAGAATTAGGAGGAATGCACCTGAAGGATTATTGAGTATTGCCGAGGCCAGGATGATAGAATTGTCGGCCAACCGGTGATGATCCCGAGGCTGCTTCGGCCTCCCAGATGTCCATCCGGGCTACATATTCGCCTGCGGACTGGGATCAACGATCCTTCATAGCTAATACCCCCTTCATGCCATGTACATTTATGTAGTGTAAGCTTTGTCAAGCCTTTGGCACCATGAAATACCCCGGAGCCATCCTTTGTTGTGGTTGTTCGACTTATTTCGAGTATTGTACGTATGGTATCGAGGCTCTACCTAAAGATACCCTCGTAGAGCACGTTAGCGAGACTCTCGTAGAACCATTGGTCCAGAACGCCCGCTATACGTTTGCCCTCGCTTTGCTCCGGCCTACCCTAAATCCGTGCAATTGGCAACTTCCACTACTCTCGTAGCGCCCGGCAACATGTTCCTCGCTTCATCGCCCAGAGAATCCTACTGGGGCAAATGATCGGCCGAACTTGCACACGGAGCTGGTCGATCTTGCCGGCGGGGCAGACTAATTCTAAACACTGAGGGACTGGGTCGCACTGAGTACGTCTTTGGCTTTTGCTACTACATAATCCGTACTTCGAACTGTATACCATATGAAGTTACGACTTCGTTGATTACGGCGAAGTCCGGAATTGAGCCCGCTGTATCTGGATGTACATTGATACTCTTTCGGGAGAGGTGCTGATTGACGATAGCAAATCAGTGTTAAAGAATGCTAAGATCTAAATTTTCAGCTTAGGTTGCCTTACGCAATGTCTTGGATGCCTCAGTGGACTGCACGCTATTCTTGTAGCTGCAGCACGGGGGACCATTCAGTCAGCCTTAGACCAGGGTGCCATGCGCTGAGCTAGGGGGTGAAGGAGGGGACAAAACGTGGCCTACCTTGAGGTGTGGCATGATCTGACTGACTAGTACCATCGTTAAGGATCAGGACCGGGCCAAAGACCGGCTATCACAGGCGTGGTTGTCACCTTGACATCTACCGGGTCGTCAGTGCATGACTATCCACCCTCTTCACTAGGTGATTGGTCCTCTCGGTTGACCATTATACCACCTACTAGTAAGTAATATCGATCCTGATAGGGGACGGTCCGCCACGTTCATCTAGACCGAACCCCGGGGGCTCTCCATTAGATGAAGAGAAATTGCTACATCACCAACTCTCCCGATACTAGTGCGACCAAATAAATGAGAATTAATTTCTTCAGCCGGTCCCACTCAAGAGAATCAAGAAAAATAACGACAGATAACGCTGGAAGGATTCAGATCCCCGCTGGAACGTGCAGTTAGTCCATGCATGCGGACCTCCCACATTGACTTGGACGAGACGCTGTTTACCAAACTAATTGGCTGGTAAGTCATAATTAATTTACTACCGCCAGTCTCATTCGCCTGTCACCATTATTGCCCATCTGGCAGAACCTGATCCTTGCGGACACCAGGTCCATTGGAATGTTCTATCCGACCACACGTGTGCAAGAGCCTCTGTTACCTTTTCCTGGCGATCATGCACCATTTGGTCGGGACCAGGCTATTCTATGTAGTGGTATTTCTCAGTCTCTCAAATATTATAGTCTCTTGTTTTTTTTTTTTTTTTTTTTTTTTTTTTTTTTCTAACCCTCTCCTGTCTGTCTTTCCCTGAGTCACAGGATATATCGGATATTGAATCCACTCTCAACCCTGACTCAAAAGGATAAAGTACCTGGAGCCGATGGACTAGAGACATCATTTGAGGGGAATATGACAGGCAATCAAATCCCGAGGACTTCACCGTACGAGATACTCCGTACAGGCAGCGATATTATGCAGCCTAAGGACAAAAGACCGCTAAGTCGCAACATACTTCCGAAAGCAGATAAGCACGCTGCAAATTCCATTAGTAAACATCTTCCTGCCTGAGGTTCAGCATGGTTCGACCCCAACACAAGCTTCTATCACTCAACCAACATACTACTCATTCTGGGATTGGCCCATACTATGCATAACCACCCATTTCTATTATTCACTGTCAAGCACTAGTAACTCTTGTCATCATCCAGAAGACCCTCCGTGGATGGCTGGGATTCGTTTCTGCAGCATCCGGTTTAAATTACCAAAACCAATGGCACTCTAATATTGGCTGCTATTGCCAGCTAGTATTCTGCCCTTCGGCGATGTCCATATATTGCCTTGGCCAAACGTGCAGGGTGTTGCATCCATGGTTAGGATGATCTTCATATCCACTACTCAACACGTGCGAAAGAGAACGCCACCTTGATCACCAGGACACAACTATCTCGAATATGGGAAATGCAATTTCACATTATGCCGGGTGGTATAGCGACTTCCGGGGTGTGACACTCTGAACAATTCCGGGCGTATATATGCCGCAGACGTCATATAGTACGGCTTCTCGCTCGCGAATCAAAACAAGCCCATGTGCACCATCCTTGTAGATACCATGCACACTACAAATGTATAGTTCCGTATACTAATACATACCCAGCTAAGTTTCAGAAAGTTCCAAAAGGCAATCCCCGCGGCAGCCAACAGCAACAACAACAACCCAAGGTCATCCATAATCCTAGCACTGATAGACCCTTTCACTTACTGAATTCGGCTCGCCGTGAGATTCTCCTCACGAGCCAACCATGCCGATTCCTTATTGATCCTTGCCACGTTATGCCTCGTGGCCAAGGGCTAGGCGCATTCTGACTTCTCGGTATTTTTAGCCCTGGGACGCCTTAGGGCCCATTTTTTACCCCTCGTTTAATCCCCGTCCAGTCGCTGGACTCAACCACCAGCTTTTTTTTTAAGATCTCACCATGCAGTCTGCGTGCTTACTGGCGGTTTGTGCTTTTTTGAAACAAGTACCCTTATGCATGTAAGCTGCGTCTGTTCCCCAAACTGATAGTTTCAGGTGAGGGGTGTCTGTACCTATATTTATCAACATGCAATTCTGAAACGAGTTTCTTCTGCATTGCTTCATGTTTGGGGGCGTGCGGCGTGGGGCATCCCCGTGCAGAAATGCATTCAGTTCCGTCATGTCAGCATCTTCATTCTATTTCTTTTCACGTCATACTCCTGCAGCAAACTACTTATCGTATGCGAGACTCAGCCTTTCGACTATTACTTACGTCTTACCTTTTTTTTTTTTTTTTTTTTTTTTTTTTTTTTTTTTTTTTTTTTTTTTTTTTTTTTTTTTTTTTTTTTTAGTCTGCATGGTTCGTGGGAATTGCAATGCATATTCTATATTTATCCTGAGATCTTCATCCGGATATCCGGTCACTGCCGCGATTTTGAGGTCAGATGTTTGTCCGATGTTTGTCGACTGGATGTCCAGTGGACGAGATCTTGTTTGTCGAGCTGACATACTGTTGTTTGGTGATTCCTAATGATCTATTGAGAAAAGACTTAGTTATTGTAAACTGCGGCGAAGTACATTCTCCAAAATCCAAGCGAACAATATATAGAGCATCGACTGGATGGTCTTTCCGGGACCTATCGAAGGCTGATGGTCCTTATCGTGATAGGCTCATAATAAACGGTCTTAGATACTCATGAGAAACTTCAGTCAATGAAGTTGAACTGGTGATATAGTAGTCGACCGACTTGGCGAATTGGAAATGCTCGCACATCTTGTACTTGTGTGAACGGAGATATAGATACACATATAGTACTCCATCACACATCGGACCACAACAGAACGTAGGATATATAGATTAGAAATGAGATCATCGAACCAATCAACTAGGAACCCAAAATGACCTTGATAAGGTAAATGAGTTTATACAGAGGATTCCAAAGTTCTTTCGGTCAAACAAAAGTTCAGTAATGGAATCACACAGCTCGCCATGATTTACAAATATTCGCCCAAACCAGCCAAAACAAATATATCTACTCGGACTACATAAACGCCATCAATCTGAACCTCCCGTAATCAACGGGATTAATGGTCTTCGAAATGACTTATTCAATGTGACTCCATTTCTAAACCCGACAACACCCCTTCTAATATATATATCTCCTTCTGCATAGTCAACCGTCTCAATAATCAGGCTCTAACAGGTGAATAAAACTCTGATTGATTAAATGATATATACTATTAGCATCGGAAGAACCAGGCAAGAGACAAGGAAGCGTTGAAAGCATATCAGGCGAGAGGAATAGCGAAGCAGAGAAGTCGTGACTCGCTGGCGGTAAAGCAACCTCACCACCATATCTTCATATCTTATACTTGTATGTAAACGATTGCTTCACCAAGAGCTTAGGCCGCACCTGCACACCACGTCACTCGCATTGTGACTAGCTGTGCCGGGGGTTAATGGGAATTATTGCCACAATCAGTTGAAGAACGATGAAGACTTCAGGAACACAGAGCTACTGAAGTGCATACAATTTATCTCAAAGGATGATCTATTGGTCTCAATTAAACGAGAGCTGGTAACGGATGACAGTTTCTTTGATCCAAAGGCCTATCGGAGTAGATCTTTGTAGACGGCCGATTTGCCTACATTGAAACTACTATTCATGAATCGGTTTCGTGTGCGGGATTTGCTACTGCGGGACTCTATATCATTAAAGAAGCAAGTAATAGCTGTCCGAGATACGAAGATGAGCAAAAGGATATATCTAAGAAATGTCGGACGTAGTTTTATGGTTGGTGTTCTTAGTGATTGGTATAGAGTGTCAACATGCGACGGCGCACTGGATAGGTTCCGAGATACTCATATATATATCTTCGAAGTATGCATTAGATTCCATAGAAAGCTCAAACAAGAGAAAATATGGTGATAGAATTGACCAGATCAGAACGATTAGTAGGAATGAGATCATCTATAGTGGAAAGCTTATGCAAAGGAGGTTAGGAACGTATGATTTAAGGTGGCACAGTACATAGCTTGCCATAGTGAGATACGCTCACAGATTCCAATAGGTTACTAAACATCTAAATGAAGGTGCGCCTTGACCGCACATGGCGACCAGGTTGATGTCGGTATGATACATATTGTATGGGAATGGTGGTTATTTGCTGTCTTGACCCTCAGATGCCAACCAGCAAGTAGTGGTCGGTGTATTGTACAGAGGAGAGCTTCCCCGATTGCTAATATTCTGACAGCCAGTAGTCTGATGTGGAGCCTTAGGCGTTTCTCCCTGGATGTTAAAAGTAGGTAGGTGAGGGTGAAGTACCCCAGATTAATGAATATAGAGGGTAATAGACGTCACAAGGCTGCTGACGATCCCCTGGACAAATTATATATACCGATTGAAGTTGAATGCAAGTGGACAGTTGTAGGAGTCATAGACTGTATAGAGAGAGAGTTGGTAGGATCTCGCCAAAGATTGTGGTTGGGATGGGAAACAGATCCTGTGGCCAACGTTTCGTGAACGGAATAATAGCGTTCAAGTTCAGATGGCTAGGTAAATCGAGATCAAACAAGAGTGGTATCCGTTCATTCTTCGCATTAACTACAGGCTCAGCCATCATCTTACTTACAGTTCCCCAAGCGTACCAACAACATTAGGGAGATGATGGCCAAGGGAAGTTCAGTAAATCGCAAATAAATAGAAACATCAGAGGAAAAGAAAGTAACCAAGGCGGGATAGCCTGAGCACACGAACAAAAAGGTATGAAGGCGCAGAAATCTGTTCAGAAAACTCAAGAATACTTCACCGCAGAACGCCTTTTCAAAATACAACTTTCCTGGTCGATATACCGCAGTCTAAACCCAGAACTAAGCTTCTGACCCTCCCGGGTATCTTGTGACCGTTCACACATTCATAAGGCCAAGTCCGGGCAGATTCCTTCCAAGTGGACACAGCATTCTCGTTCGAAGGCTGCGATGATGATATCGTCCTTGACTCCCCGAGCACGTCACGGGGCATTGCTGGATTATGGGATGCGTTGCAGTTCCAGACTCGAACAACATGTTGCAAACAAAGGTAGACAGTGAGACGTCGTAACTTATCTACAGATTATGCCTCCAAGATATCGCAAGGTCGCCAGATAGAGCGCGGTAGAGGGGAAATCAAAAAAGAAATCGAAGGAATGTATGAAAGTCGAGCGTTAAATCGCAAACTAATTTATATATATCAGGAACAAGTCGCACTAGTGGCCCAGGGTCTTTTCGATAATTTCACTAGGGGCATGGTCCATTTGGGAGGTTTAGAGTTCTTGGATTTAGTAGCGGCGATCGGGATTGGTCACCTACAACACGTTTAGCAAGTTGTACTGCATGGCAGCACGCGATTAAAGGGGACATGGTATTTACCTGCAAAATTCGACGGGAGAAGTCGTGATCATCATCGATGCTACCATTGCTCTGGCGCCGCTGTGCCATGAAGTCACCGTCAAACCTAGAATCAGATATGGAGCTTTGGGACATGGGCTTGGCGCCAAAGTTGTCGATATTGTTGTTCCGATACTGTTCCGGCATGTTGGAACGGTTCCTAAACCGCCATAGAAAGAAGATGGCTCCCACCAAAGCACAGAAGCCAACAACTCCCACGACGACGCCAGCGGCGATAGCAGCAGTATTCGACCCAGAACTTTTCTCCTTCTTTTGCTCGGCACCCTGCGTCGTCATTTCGCTATCCGACGTCTTGAACACTGTTTGTCCACCAGAAGTAGTAACAACAGTCCCTCCATTGGTGGTTGTCGAGGTTCCACTCTCGGTGCTAGAGGAGGAGCTCGAGGAGGAGGAGGATGAGGATGAGTAGCTATCCACGTTCTCTTCGATACCCGTGAGATACACGGAAAAGGCATTGTTACCACCGCCTGTAAATGAAAAATCAGTACTCAAGAGCAAGGGCTGAATCGGAAAGCTAGTACATACACATCACATCAGGCCATCCAGCACATTTGACATTGCAGCTGCTTTCATCCGTCTTAGCCGACGTTGCGGGTAATTGGTTACCGCAGAGACAGTTTGTGCCCTTTGCCAAGGCAAAAACAGCATAGTTATCCTTCAAGCAGAGCTTCTGACAATATCCGTTACTTTGGTACGTATAAGAGCCCTGGTCCTTCAACGGTGTCGAATCATCATAGCATCCCTTGTCGACTTGCGTCTGTGCGTTCACTGCTGCAATTAGAAGGGCGGCGGCTGCAAGAACCGACTTCATCGTGAATGATTTCATGCTGTAGATGTAGATGTGTCGGATATCAATTGCAAAAGGGTATCAGTGTCTGGACACCTGCTCCAGACAGTATGGTTGTTATGCGAACGGTTAAGCGAAGGAAAGAGGGACGACCGGCGTAACCCTTTTAGACCACTGAGGTTATTTGAGATCCAATTTCGCAGTCGACTTTCCGAAAGGCGACAAAATGGCGGCGATGACCTTCAGGGGATCAGATTCGCGTAAATAATTCGACGCTATTACCGTGACACAGTCGATGAAAGGCGGAGCTGATCAAGGGCCGATGACGAGCGAAAGGATAGTTGAAGAAGTTAGGTTAATGCGATGGCGATGGGAAAAAGAATGTTGGGTTGTTTGTCAAGGGCGGTTCTTAGGCGGGGAAGACTTTGAGGACCGGACGTTTCAAGCGCCCCTTTCTGCCGAGAGGAGTTTAATGAACGTCCTTAACAGGAAACTTAGAAGGTCGCTCAGATCACCCGCGGCAGCAGCGAACTGGTACGGAAGCGAACGAAGGCTGGCCCGGAGAATTTCGAGGGGGAGGATATATTGATGTAATCGCCAATATGTTTGCACTTAAACAAGGGGGGCACGATAGAAAATAGGAAGAGAACTGAAATCTTAACGAAAGCAACTGGAGACAAACCCCTCCGAGTGAAGAACAAGAAGAGAAAACGAGTGTCTTTTGTCCGAAAGTAGGAAGGAACGGAAGGAAAAGGGAAGGGGAAGGGAAAGGAAGGATACTAGGTAGGGGTCTGCTGAGATTGAACGAATGACTTGACGGGGGGAGGGTTACCTACAGTACAGGGAGATTGACACGGAAGAACTCCTCCGTAATGATTGTTACCTACGGGCGGTTAAGCGACGCACCTCCTATAGAACACACGCAGCATTCACTGCTAAGGTTACTACGAGTTTTACCAGTGACTTGATTTCTAAGCTTAGATTAGGCTCTTACAGTAAAAGTGCCATTAAAGTCGAATCATCATGACCTACATCATTATTGTCAACAGCTTCCAAGTAGTAGATGGATCGGAATATAACCATGGATGGTACGTACCGTTGTATCTTAAGGGGTCGTTTCCAAACGGAGGGTGACCCTGGATATGCAGGGCGGTAATTTTTGTCCCGCGTACCAAAGTTTCACTACTTCAATCAGAGCGCGACCACAGATTACATAAGCAACCTCATGAATGGATTGGCTAATCAGAAATCCAGGGGCACAACGATCCCTTTCTAATTCGGTATTCATGAGTGGGTTGAAAAATGGAGTATCAATATGCGCTATACCTATATGGGGAAGGTCATGGGCTTGGTGTGATTATTTGTGGCAGCGCTGCATTAATGAAAAGAGGGGATGATGTACAGTCATGGTTACCCCATAGGTTCTTTCTTCTTCTATTGATCAAATGACATTGAAAGAAAAGGTATGACTATCGAGTATGGACATATTCACAAAGAGTTGGAAATAGCGACATCACCCAACAGAATCTCGATCGATAGGAAGGAATATAACCAGTATGAACCTGGGCCATATATACCTCATATGAACAAACAAACGGCTAGGAAACTCAGTTAGCCATCCATGGTTACGCCCAACATCCTATCCGTTTTTTGTTTCAGTGTGGATGGATAAATCTCACATTCGCTTGCGACTGCGGTGTACCAACATAAGCAGCCCGAGGTCGAGTGATATTACTACAGCGCGTTGAATGTCCATCAGCCACACCGGAAGTGTTAAGATATCCTCTACGGAGCATACTCTGAAGAATACACTTCGCTTGTTATGTGAATGCAAAGAAGTAATCAATGGCGATATGAACCGTTTCCCTTCACTAGAAGGCTTGCCGCGTCAGTGCACAGCTCCTTGCTCCATACCTTCACTAGCGGGGATAACAACCCCATAAGCAGCCAACGGAACACCCGGACCTTTTCTCCAAGGGAAAAAAACGCGGGAAAACAATAGATGGCTGTCTGGCTGTTCTGCACCATTGCTCGAAGGCAAGGCCGTGCACTTCTGGTCTTCTCTGGTACAGGCTACAGGGTCCAAATTTTTGGCAGCCCATAACAGCTCACTCCACGAGATACTACGCCCGAGGCGTGGCAAACGAGACATTACCGCCAAATTTACGCATCAGCAGGTACCATTTTTAATTCAAAGTCGACTAGACTTTTTTGATCCTGATGTGCGGCCACGAGCCAATTACAAGGGAATAGTCCGTCGTTTATGGAGCCTTGGAGCCGTGTTTGGTCAACACCAGTAGAGGGCTGCGTCATCTGCAGACCTATGCAGATCTTGTCACTAATAGAAACCGAATTACATACTCCGTGCTGAATAGACTCTTACATATCCGACGGTGCTCTTCGTCTTTGGCTGGAATAGGTACTTCTGAAAGTAAGGTGCCACAGAAATAATTGCCTGAGTATTGACTCTGGGCTGCATGTATTTGCGCGCCCAGCAAGTCTTCACTGTCATGAGAAATTTCTTCGTTATTGGGGTGAAACAAAAAGAGAGACACGGAACCGTTCCTTGGGTTCAAGCGGACACTCCCGGAGTGGACCTGGAATCCTGACCCTGGGTGTCGATGCGGATCCTCCGAAACCCGTACACAGTAAAGAAAATGTAGGTAGGGTTCGTTGCACCATCATCATGCAGAAATGGGTCCATACACAATACAAAGTTGAATGATGGGCACTGGGCGAGTTTGAGGAATGTACACGTCAAATGACAGATGTGGTCCAAACACAGTCAAGAGATCGACGAGCAAAAGCTGCAAGCTGCAGCATTGTGACTTGTGAAAAAACCGCAGAGGGCGTTTATAAGGCGCAAATCCAATCGCTTGCCATCTCCGTATATTTTGACGGAAAACGAGAAAAAGTTTGACAAGGTACAGCGTTTAACGGAGCAAAGTTTACTCGAGGCATCCGGTCGATAAATATCGTACTCGTCAACATATATCCCATTCCGAACGATCAGATATTTCATGTTGCTCCCCGACGGACATTCCGATGATGGTCTGTATGCATTTAACAACATCGTATCAGCACGCGACACGTTGGCGGTGTTCCTGCTTACTTTCGGGTATACTGGTGAAATGGAATTTAAGCTTATTCTTTTGTTTCATATCACCAACGTATGGGAAGACGACAGACGAAGTTCCAAATTCCACGGAGCAACCCAGAATTGCAGCGCAAGGCGCTAATATTGCAGGGATCGGTGACGAATACGATTGCCGCGCTCCACATTACCAAGGACGAGGCATTGTCTTGAAATGAAAAAGAATGTACGGAGTACATCTATCATCTTCAAAAGTATCCAACTGGGGTTTGGTTCAACCATTTCCCCAAAGAGTGGCGAAGGACTGGTCGAAGCGCACTGCATCAACTAACCACTGCCCTACTAAGAGAAGTGGATTAACCAGACTTATCCGAGTTACCTATTTTCGGCAGGAACAAATTAATAAAATCAGCTTGGGAACAAGACCTAGATACAGAGCTCCCTCCACTGATACAAACAGCAAACGAGAAGAAGAAACCTCACCAATAATAGAATAACATCAACGCCCTCTCCTGTAAGGTACCATGGAGCTCTCGCCAATACTAAGAATAAACTGGACAAACTCTCCTTCCATTCTTGGCTTCCAGGGAAAATTCTCGGTCAATGTGAAACAAACGCCTCGAGAGGTCTAGAATGTGTCAGTGCCCCACGGGCGACCTGTCAACATTTCCATAATTATCCAACACAGGTAACACTATGTACTACTAGCCTCACTTGGGCGATTTCATTGTATTATTTGTTGCCCTGTAATTTTCCATACCAGAGAAAAGTGAGTGGCAATTTGAGGTTCTTTGTGGACCTCACCGGGCAACTGGCAACAATCACTCATATAGGAAAAGGTTTTCATCCTTCCAAGTGCATGTGACAAGAATCTCCTTGGGAAGTGGACACGGGAGCGCAGGAATAACTATCGATGGTTGATCCACTTGTATCTGTCCAGTAATCATCTTTTTTTTTATTAGCATGAGTCTTCAGATGTGCGAGGTGTTGATGCAATTTTTTTTTAGCATTTACTCCGTAGGGGTTGTTTGATGGACTCGCGGGCATGCGTCATGTCGTCAGTAGTTACCGAGAACTATTTTCATAGATTGACTCGGTGATTCAGGTCTATAGTACTATTGTAAACGCTGCTATTTTGGGTGGAATAGTGGTCATAGTGGATCTGACATCGCTTTCTGTGTGTGTGTGTGTGTGTGTGTGTGTGTGTGTGTGTGTGACTCAAGGACAGCGTATGCTGAGCTCCCTGCATACAGTAAGGGTATGTCTGGAACTAGTACACATTGCCTGGACACGCGTATAGTGGCTTTTCTCGAAACACAAGTATGGAGGTAGAGTAGAAGGTTTGGAGTGATCCTATATCGAAAAGATATGTTATTTGAACATAGGCTTGAAGTTGCTATTCCCTGTAAAATAAGGGACGCTACCGTACGTGAATCGGTTTATTCATGACATACATTGTGCTGTGTTCAGCTCTCAGCGAAAGACTTGTGCATTCGGTCCGTAAATCTTATGCCTACTTTACCAAGCAGTGAATCATAGACTGGATTTACGAAGGTCAGCCTAGCAAACAAAATGGCCAGGCCAGTAAGACTATCCGTAGCTCTTCGCAATCCAAATTTTCTTCGTCAAAACAGCATTATCTTCAGGAAATGCTTCGTGACCGCTTTCGTTCTAGCTTAGTTACATATATATGTTAAAGTCTCATCAACACTTTTCTATCAAGTAAAGATTCCAATACCGGAATGTCTTTTCACTTGTCGGTACAAAGCTTTTGGTGTTCAGGGTTTGGGGATATGTATAGACTTGCTGACCATCAGACAGCCATGCAGAACAAACAACAACGCCACAGGGTGAAATTCAAAAGCCGTGCCCTGCGCAATAACGCCCAGCGGTAGGTCTTCTTGAATCCATCCCTGAGAAACCCAGTAAGCCATGAGTGACGCAATGGATAGTGTTGTCGGAATCGGCGTGCCCTCGAAATATTTCGACTTTCCAGTCTTGTCCTTGGGAAGTACGGCAACTGTCACGTTGAACCGGGCTAACCGTGTCAGGCCACAAAGGACGAAAAAAGCTAGGAGGAGGTGGTCGACATTTGTGCGGACTCCGAGAGCGAAGGCTGCCGCGGCCGGTGCCATACCAAAGGAAATCTAAAAGCGACCGTAAGTATTTCGCCATATCAACATACCAGATCAGCATACCAAATCTGCCAAAGAGTCGAGCTCTTGTCCCATGAGCGATGACTTGTTCCTCCACCTTGCAATCTTTCCATCCATAAAATCAAAGAAAAGCCCGAAAGGCATAAATCCAAGCGCAGACCAGATAGCACCATAGTCATGGGGGTCTCCTAGACAGTAACGCATAGATGAGAGGACAGACATAACTGTTCGTAAAAGTCAGTAATGGCCGGCGTTTGATTGCGAATATCAGGGAATAGGCTTGCCTCCACAAAACCCTATGAAGCATAATTAGCAAATCTTGGCAAACATACAGCATGAGGAAATCCAATATATTACCATTAAGCTCAGTTACTAGATCTGCAAGATGCAAAGCCCTGACGTAAGAATGTCCAGTCAGCGGATAGATTTATTACAAGATGTCGCCGAGGTAAAGACTGACCTGACCATGCTGAAGTGCCCTGTTTCCGCAGACAGAAGCATCTTCTGCTTTTCCTGGCCTGGTAAATCTGAGTTTCCGTATCCTTGATCGGTCTAGCAATGATCAGAGCTTACCTCCGTCGCCGGTGGGCGGGACACCGCTATTCGTAGCAGTATTCGACGGCATGACCGATGACCTACGAGACATGCTCAATTCGAATTTCAACGATAAATAAGAACACGCGAAATGAGTGCAATATGAATTGTGAAGCTGTGATTTATGGCAACAGCGGTGGGAAAGTTGCGAAAAGGTGAGGGATTTGTTAGCGGTTGCAGTTGAAAGGATGTTGACAGGCCGCACAGATTCTACGGCTCGGCATGTGTCCCCAGACGTCATTTCCAGGCGGTGTCGTGCTGCGCCACAGACACCAGCCACATCTAAAAAAACCCGAGTAAGGAACTACGAATAAGCACAAGTCGTTTTGGCAGGTTCTTCATTGGTATAATAACATTCATTTAATGGCTGAATTAGTCTACAGCCTTTGCGAATAGGCAAGCCACCTAGGATGCACAGAAAAATTGACACAAAAAGTTCCTGCAAAAGCTCCAGTTTTCCCATAACGCCGTAATAAGACAGTGCTAAGCAAGACGGAGACTGTCTAACGTCGGAAACCTCCACGAGGTCCTCCTCTGCCGCCTCCCCTGGAGAAGCCACCGCTTCCACCACGGAAGCCTCCGCCTCCTCTAGCTCCACCACGGAAGCCACCTCCTCCTCTAGGAGCGCCAAATCCGCCGCGTCCACCTCTCGCTCCACCACGAGGGCCTCCTCTACCACCACGAGCACCACCCCTGGCAGCGCCTCCGGCTCTCTTAGGCTTAGCAGCACCTGCATAGTTGTCAGTAACATGCGCAACATACGTTCGGTCCTAGATGGGATCCTACCCGGTGGTGGCTTAGGCTTAGGAAGGAACCTATGATCATCAGGTCAGTACTGTTCGCAAAGTACACATAGAGGGATGATTCATACTTCTCCAAAGGCAGGAGCTTATCCCCACCGATGTAGACCTTGTCACCAGGCTTGAAAGAAGTTGCGACAATTCCTTCCTGGGGCTTGATGGTGAAGTAGACCTGGTTGATGGGGCCAAGAACCTCGTCGACTTTTCCAATAGGTGTCTGAAGTAACATATTAGTCCTCATTTTATTTCCAGGCGTACATCTTCGGTGACTCGTACTTTGTTCTCTAGGTAGATAGGAGCATTGAAATAAGGAATCTTCGGGTTGATCGATTCGCACACCATCTCGCCCTCACAAGCATGCATAAAAGATCCCATCTCTAAATAAAATCAGTAAACTGTCATGGTCTGAAGATCGCATCGGTATTCTATACCCAAAACCTGTGCTGGTGGTCCCATTGGCTGCTGGAAGCCTCCGCGGCCTGTCCGACGAAATTTTCGTTAGTCCTCGCTCATCTCAACCACCAACTCCGAGAATTGGATTCACTAACCACCACGGCCACCGAAGGAACCTCCGCGATTGGCACCAGTGGCAAAGCCACCACGACCTCCACCTCGAAAAGACATATTGACTTGGTTGTTGAGATTGACCTGTATGAACGGACGGAACCCGGAGAAGTTTTCAAATGGTGGGAAGCTCGAAACGGTAAAGTGTCGCTAGCCTCCAGGGCAGTTTCAAGTCACGTGGCTCACCGCCTTCCGTCCCTCACTGCTGGTTGGGTTAAAGATCTATTCCGATATGCTTGCAAAAGAGTCATCGTCGCTGGCCAACCCCTCCTTCCCCGTATATTTTTCCCTGATCGTTCCTTTGTCGTTGCGGGATACAGCCATGGCTTCTGAAGGTTCGAAAGATCTACCCGTCAGGTCCGCTCCGGGCGCCCAAGGTGAATCATTATCAACCCCGCCAAATGTTTGCGAATGCCCCTCCTAATCTGTCAATCGTCTTAGGTGCCGGTTCGTTACCCGATTTCATAATTGAGCGCAACAACTTCTTCGAGGAGCTTTGGCAGCAATATCTCGAGGAGACCAAGAACAAGCCTCATCCCGAAATTAACGTCACCCTGGAACCCGGTAACGGCAACAAGGAACAGGTCTCCGCCAAAGCCTGGGAAACTACCCCCGCTCAGCTTCTCAAGAATGTTCCTAAGGAACTGAGTGCTACTATTGTGCTTGCAAAGGTCGATAACGAACTCTGGGACTTGGGCCGACCTTTGGAAGGCGACTGCACCGTCTCTTATGTGCGATTCGAGGATCCCGAAGGAAGGGAAGTCTTCTGGCACTCTAGTGCTCACTGCTTGGGCGAGGCTTGCGAGTGTGAATATGGATGTCTGCTCTCCCATGGACCTCCCACCCCACAGGGTTTCTTCTATGATATGGCCATGCCCGATAAGTGCGTCCCAGAAAGAAACAGGTCTAGCTCGACTGGTTACTGACACTGCCATAGCCGTGTTGTAAGAGAGACCGATTGGCCAGCATTGGACAAGCACGCAAACCGTGTCTTCAAGGAGAAGCAGAGCTTTGACAGATTAGAAGTTACGAAAGAGAACCTGAAGAAGATGTTCGCCTACAGCAAGTACAAGCTGCATTATATCGATAAACTGGTGACCGGAGAAAAGAGCACTGTTTATAGATGCGGTACCTTGGTCGACCTTTGCAGAGGACCCCACATTCAAAGCACTGGCAAGATTAAGACCTTCAAGATCATGCAGGTAGGAATTTAAGGAGTCATCCTATAAAATCGTCAGGCTAATTGCTTCTAGAACTCATCTGCTTACTTCCTTGGCGACCAAAGCAATGACTCTCTGCAGCGTATCCGTGGTGTTGCCTTCCCCGACAAGAAGCAAATGCAAGAACATTTGAAGTTCCTAGAGGAAGCGGAAAAGCGCAACCATGTGAAGATCGGCAAAGAACAGGAGCTCTTCTTCTTTGATGAAGTCTCCCCGGGATGCCCATTCTTGCTCCCCAACGGTACCAAGATCTTCAATGCTCTTCAGACCCTTTTGCGATCAGAGTATCGTAAGCGTGGCTACCAGGAAGTCCAGACGCCTAACATGTACGACGTTGGCATCTGGAAGACTTCTGGACATTGGGCTCACTACAAGGATGACATGTTTAAGCTTGACGTTGAGAAGAGAGAGTGGGCTCTTAAGCCTATGAACTGCCCCGGGCATTTCGTCCTTTTCGGCCATCGCGAGAGAAGTTACAGAGAACTTCCGTTGCGTATTGCAGACTTTGGTGTTCTACACAGAAACGAGGCATCTGGTGCACTAAGTGGACTCACCCGTGTCCGGAAGTTCCAGCAAGATGATACCCATATCTTCTGTACTCAGGATCAGGTAAGTTTCCTCAAGATCTTCTTCCTTCCCTCCATATCACTGACGTTTTGAAGATTACCTCAGAAATTGAGGGGCTATTCGACTTCCTTCAATCTATCTACGGGCTTTTCGGCTTCACTTTCAAGCTGAAGCTTTCCACTCGTCCAGAGAAGTACCTTGGAGAACTCGAAACTTGGAATTATGCCGAAGAGCAGCTTAAAGCGGCCATGACTAAGTTCAAGGGCGATGACTGGACCATCGATGAGGGTGACGGTGCCTTCTACGGACCTAAGATCGACATCACTATCGCTGACGCTCTCAAGCGAGAGTTCCAGTGTGCCACTATCCAGCTTGATTACCAGGCTCCCATCAACTTCAAGCTTGAGTACATGAGCAACGAAAAGGCCGACAAGAGCCAAGCGGCTGCCGAGTCTGCCGAGGGCGAGAACAAGTCTAGCGAGCCTGGCCCTGGCCGTGCTCGTCCAGTTGTCATCCACAGAGCTATCATCGGTAGCTTTGAGCGATTCCTGGGAATCTTGATTGAGCACTTTGGCGGCAAGTGGCCTTTCTGGATCAGCCCTCGCCAAATCCTGATTGTTCCTGTCATGCCTGCTGTAAACGACTACGTGGAAGAGCTGCAGACTATCCTGCGCGGTGATAAGCTGAACGTCGACATTGACATCAGCGGAAATACCATGCAGAAGAAGATCCGTACTGGACAGCTGGCCCAGTACAATTTCATTTTCGGTATGTTACGGCCCGACTGAGCATGTGTCTATCCTGTTATTGTGATGTACTAACTAAGTGAAACAGTCGTTGGTGCTCAAGAGAAGGAGGCTCGCACTGTCAACATCCGCAATCGCGATGACCCTGCAACTCAGAAGCAAGGTGTCATGATTCCTCTCGAGGAGGCACGTGAAAAGCTTCGGGCTCTCAGGAAAGAGCGCAGGCTCGTCAACTCTCTGTAGAGTGGCTTTCTATAGGCCTTTTCTCACGCTTTCTCTTGTTGCTTGTTCCAGAAACGATAAATTTAAGCGTCGCATAGCATCATCAAGATACTAGAAAGCATAGAGGCATTGAGGAACAACGATAAAAAGTTGAATGAAGCAATGATGTTCCAAAGGGAGACGAATTGATGTGATAAATCATGTTTGGAGAATATTTCCATGTGCAACAACTGGTCTACCATTACGGTAGATACAGTACATGTTTTTCTTATTGTATTGTGCGTTTGTAGGTGCAAGATATATTGAATATGAGAAAAGCTATGTCTTGATATGTGAAAAGATCCCCTCACGAAGTTGTTTACTGTTAAAAGCTCGCAGAATTTCTAATACAAGTCATAACCTTAATCTATAGCACTAGTACCCAACGTGGTTATGACAACCAGGACCCGTCAATTGGGGTGATTTGACCGACCATTCAGATTGGGATCTTCGGGATTGCTCAGCCGCAACCCTGGGCGGCAGCCCTTTTCCCTTGACTAAAACAAGGGTCTCATCATCTACCTTTTCTCTTCTGTTTCCTTTTTCACTTTCCGACTCTTTCCCCCCCATAGCGGGCCTGGAACTGAAACTTTTCTCCCTTCCCTTCCCTTCCCTTCCCTTCCTTTCCTTTTACTTAATTTTAGCCCTTCTTTAAACGGTTCAATTTGGATAATCAATCATATAGAACGACTATTAATGAGATATTAGCTATGCTCGGATCGCGATGCAGGCGCGCTATTACCCTTTGCTTCAATGGCGCCGATCCACTGCCGTGATAGCTGTCGCCACTTCTTTTTTGCTCATTTCCTCAGTATTCCTTTTCTATTCGCGACATCATATTGATATTAGTCCTATCCCTAGTGCTCAGTCCCCTTCATCTTTCGGTAACAGCAGTGCTTGCTACGTGGATCTTGACCTGCTGAGGACACACGCGTCCAATTCCTCCGTGGAGTATGCTAGATTGGAGATATCTGTTGTGCGAACCAAGAACTTTACTGGTTTTCCAGATTCACTCGATGTACCAATTCCCACATACCAGACGGTAAAACTGAATACGAAGAATAATACAGAGCTACTACCAGAGAAGAGATGTACTACATCGGTGACAATACATGCCCCTGTGGTGGCTCCACGCCCTAATGCATCACACATGATATTTGGTGTCGCAACATCCACGGAGAGATTGTATGATTCTCTTGATGCTTTCGCACACTGGGCGGGAGGAACAAATGCACACATTGTAGCTGTGGTTGACGATGAAGGCTCAGTGACGCAGTCCGAGAAATGGGCGAAGGAGCTGGATATTCGCCTCACCATTATCCAAAACTCAGATGATTTGCTAGATCGGTATTTTTCCTTGCTCCGGACCCTTTTTGAGCGCAAGGATGAGCTCACTAAGTGGATCGTCCTAATCGACGATGACACTTTCTTTCCTTCAATGAAGAATCTCGTGCAACGGTTGGCGACGTATGATCCGACGGAGCCGCAGTATATAGGGGCACTCACCGAGGATATCTCGCAGTTGTATCATGGGAGCCATATGGCGTACGGTGGTGCTGGGATATTCCTCTCCATTCCTCTTGTTCAACAACTCAATGCTGTTTTCCGCAATTGCTATGATTTCAAAGGCGCCGGTGATCGAATGATTGCGCGGTGTATCTACAGCCAGACCACAACGAAACTCAAATGGGAGCCTGGCCTCCATCAGTTAGACCTTCGTGGCGATGCGTCCGGGTTCTACGAATCAGGCCGTCCATTGCCGCTCTCATTGCATCATTGGAAGTCCTGGTTCCATGCCGACATGGTTGCTCTCAGCAAGGTGGCTGCCATCTGCGGCGAGGCCTGTCTGCTGCGACGTTGGCAGTTGTCAGATGATTGGTATCTGATAAACGGGTTTTCCGTTGTTAAATACTCATTGCCCTTGCAGGATTCGATTTCCATGGAGCAGACGTGGGACAACAGTAAATACAAGGGCCCGGATCCATTCGAATATAGTTTGGGCCCACTGCGTAGCAAGGACGAGGACAAGGTCTCCTTCCGACTGAAAGAAGCAATTGCAGAGACAGACAGAGTTCGCCAGATATATGTTCGAGAGCGAGAGGAACCTCAAGTTATAGAGGTGATCTGGAAACTCAGACCTTGATTGCCTTTTCTTTTCTTTCTTCCTTAGGGAAAAAAAAAAAAAAAAAAAAAAACCTCGATATCTATCCATTGGGATGTATGTTAGCCAGTTAAAAAGTTCCCCTATAGACTAAAAGGCCGTCTCGTTTGTTTTTAACATGTGCCCTAATAGCATCCATTTGTTCAATGCGGGTTGAACACAAATTGTTACAAGGATTGATCTTTTCATCTCTCTTTCCTAAAGCGGTGCGTTGAGGCTAGATGGAATGTGACAATGTGACAATGTGACCCAGTGTGCAGTGACACTGTGATCGTCAGTGCTCCACCCGAGCCCCTCCCCAAATGGGCCTTAGGCACCCAATCCCGGGCGGCAAATCACCGAAACAGAACATCCAAAGTCATGTATAATTTCCTCTTTGTCGATGATTTAAGCAATAGATAAATAAATACAACGCCACCATCTATGTTTGTTTATTCGTTAGTTATACGCTGTGCGGTGGAACAATAGGTCAATGTCAGACTGAGCAAACGAGCTCTATGAAAGAAAGTCATCCATGATTTCATTCTTTGAAAGAACCAAAGTATGTACTCCGGAGTACTTCCAATAGTCCCCACTTTGTCTCCCTCCGCCGATATTTGACTGCGACTGCTGCTACTGCTGCATGTTTGGTGGCCGCCAGAACCTCTGCCATCTGCAAGGCCCCGACCGATCAGCTGCCTTAATTATACCCCTCTTTCACCCGATAGTGAGTGGTTCGACGCGCTTAGTCGTTCATAAACCTGACATTGCTACCTCTGGGAAAGAAGATCTCTCTCTGAGGTTTCTAATTCCCATCTTGCTGCGCCTCATTGTCATAAGTTTTGAAACCCTTATTTCCCATTCAGGAGCCGCAACGGCGGAAGATTGACTTTCCCTTCCCACTGCGGGGCTGCCGTTCCGTCCATTCGAAGCTGCTTTCCCTCTCATCGACCAAGCCAGCCCGCGTCAGATCTTCTGTTTTCTCCCCCTCCCCTCTGACTGAGACAAAAAAAAATAAAAAATCAAAAAGTCCAGAAACTAATCGAGAAAACAACCAAAGTACTCGCGAAAATCCCCACTCCCTTTGGGTGGACTGACCGCACATTTTCCTCCCCCTCCATTTCTTTCTCGGCGTCTACAGAACGAACGCTCGCTTTACCGCCTCGAGTTTCCTTTGTGCTACTAGCAGTCGGTCGTTGGAAACCTTTTATTTTATTTTATTTTATTATTTTTTTTTATCTTCATCACCCCTCCAAAATCATGGCTGATCTACGAGGACGTAAGATCTTTAAGGTCTTTAACCAGGATTTTATTGTGGATGAACGATACAATGTCACTAAGGAGTTGGGTCAAGGTGCATATGGTATTGTCTGGTACGTTATGGATCATCATCAGCTTTTAGCGTAATCGCCTCTCTATCAATTCTGGTACAATCGAGAGTACTCGTCTTGGGAAGATGGATATAAAGAAAAGCTGTCTTGATCACCATATTCTGACGACGATCTCCGGTTTCGCTATCTAGTGCCGCTACGAACATCCAAACCGGTGAAGGTGTTGCTATCAAGAAGGTCACCAATGTCTTCAGCAAGAAGATCTTGGCCAAGCGCGCCTTGAGAGAGATCAAGTTGCTTCAGCATTTCCGAGGCCACCGTAATGTACGTTTGATCCCAACTTGATATCAGTGAAGTTGATAGGGCTGACCGAATCATGCAGATCACTTGTCTCTATGACATGGATATTCCGCGCCCGGATAACTTCAATGAAACATATCTGTACGAGGGTAAGAGGAACTCCCCTTAACATGGTCCACCCACAGTTACTGATATTGATTTCCTTGCCCAGAGTTGATGGAATGTGATCTCGCCGCTATTATCCGTTCCGGACAACCCTTGACCGATGCCCACTTCCAGTCTTTTATTTATCAGATTCTGTGTGGTTTGAAGTACATCCACTCGGCCAATGTTTTGCATAGAGACTTGAAACCCGGAAACTTGTTGGTCAATGCCGATTGTGAACTCAAGATTTGCGATTTTGGATTGGCGCGTGGTTTCTCGATTGACCCGGAAGAGAATGCAGGCTACATGACCGAATATGTCGCAACAAGATGGTACCGTGCTCCGGAAATCATGTTGAGCTTCCAGAGTTACACGAAAGCTAGTATGTGTCCTCTATTGCCACTGACAAGCTCTCTCACCAGCTACTTTGCTGACATACAACAGTCGACGTGTGGTCCGTGGGCTGCATCTTGGCCGAACTCCTCGGCGGCCGCCCTTTCTTTAAGGGTCGTGACTATGTCGACCAGCTCAACCAGATCCTACACTACCTGGGCACTCCGAACGAGGAGACCTTGAGCCGCATCGGATCTCCCCGGGCCCAGGAGTACGTACGCAACTTGCCTTTCATGCCCAAGATTCCCTTCCAGCGCTTGTTCCCCAGTGCCAACCCCGATGCGCTTGATCTGCTCGACCGCATGCTGGCATTCGACCCCTCGTCGCGTATCTCGGTCGAAGAGGCCCTGGAGCACCCATACCTGCACATCTGGCACGACGCATCGGACGAGCCGACATGCCCCACAACCTTCGATTTCCACTTCGAGGTGGTGGACGACGTACAGGAGATGCGTCGTATGATCTACGAGGAAGTCGTGCGCTTCCGTGCCGTCGTCCGACAGCAGTCCCAGGCGCAGGCCGCCGCTGCCGCGCAGCAACAGCAGATCGCCCAGCAGACCAACGTCCCGATCCCCGAGAACCAGCAGGGCGTCTGGAAGCAAGAGGAGCCCAAGCCTCAGGAGGCGCTTGCCGCGGGCGGTGGCGTCCACAACGATCTGGAATCGTCCCTGCAGCGTGGAATGGACGTACAATAAACGGGCATGGGTGGCATGAAGTCCTTGACCCAAGTGAATATCTTCGTCCCGGAAATCGCAGGCGTTTCCGGATATTTATATGCCAAGAAAATAAATATATTCATGGGTTCCCCCCCCAAATTTTGGTTCATCCCATGCAGTTAGTTTCTAGCGGTACTCCTTTCCCTTTTTTCTTCCTATTTACCTATTACAAGGTTTACGAGAGGACTGGTTCACTCCCATTCCGTTCTTGTATGTGCCCGACTTTGCCCATGTTACTGGCTACTGGCTATTTGACTTGGGTCTGTGTATGAGCGTGCATGAGGAAGACGGCCAGCTGCATTGCAATTGAGCGCTAGTTTGATCTTTTGATCGATAAATGGATAGATTTGATGAAGTAGTTGATTACAGGATAGTATAAACAAGATAGTACTCCACTTCATTTGTTGGTCGTTCGTATGCCTCTCTTCTTTTTTTTTTTCTTTTTTTTTCTTTTCTTCAAATAAAGGATGATTCTAGTTCTGCTAACAACAGCACAGTAAATCTGAGGATATATAATCATTTCATCAATCATCAATCATACATACATAGGAGCAAAGACTACATGGAAAGGGGGAATCCAGAAACCATCCCCACGCACATCAGGTCAACCCATACATCCACCATTCCATATATACTCTGAAATGAAGAGAAAAGGCTCAGTCAATAGTAGTAACCCCTCCACCAAACAGCCATACAAGAAGCAACGAGCAAATCCAGCATCTTGATACCCTCATCCTCGATGATCAATTTACCTAGTTTAGCGCTCTTCCCGCGCATGCCGCCGCCGGCGTTTTCTCGCGCAAGCGAGAAATCGAGGCGGTCATCGCTTGGTGGACGGCGCAGAGGGCGACGGGGTCCGTCGTCGAGGTCTGCGACGCCGCTGCTGGTGCTGCTTGTTGAGGGTTTGCGGGTGGGTACTCCCAAGTTGGAGGTGGAAGATGTTGAATGGGCGGATGCGCCGGAGCGGGCACGCGGACGGTTGTAATTATTTGGATTGAGGAATTGGGCGAGAGAGGCGCGCTTTGAGGTGCGCTCTGAAGGGGAGGAAGAGCTTGGGTCGAGGTTGTGGCCGTGGTTGGTGGGGTTGCTGGTTGGGTCTTTGAAGGCTGGGGTTTGGCTGAGGGTGAAGGGCGAGATGTGGGAGGGGCCTGGTTGGTGGTGGAGATGGCCTGCTTGAAAGGGGGTGTTGAAGCGGATTTCAGCGACTGTAACGGCGGGATTTTCGATGGGGGCGCCATTGGGGCCTGTTGGGGGCATTGGGATCATGTGTTTGCATTTGAGGCTGCGGCCGTTTACGCTCGTTGAGAATGTGCAGGTGCCGTTCCAGGGTGAGGTGAAGGTGTAGTAGCCGCTTTTGAGCTTGGAGTGGTTGTGTTTCGAGGGACTGTTGGTTCCGTTGTCTAGGTCTAAGGAGCCTCGGCCTTCTTCCTGATATGGTCGTGATACGCAGAGTTTGCGGTGGAACTTTCGGGGATGCGACGGTTGGTTGGGAGTGCTCTCTGCCAGTTCGGCCTGAGTAGGTCGGAAAGAAGACAGTGAGATGCGGTTGCCCATTTCGGAAGGTAGGTTTATTCCCAGACTGGCCAGTGAGAGCGGTTCGCTTTGCGCAGCGAACCGGTTGTACCCTGGCGTGGACACTTCGATGTCAATGGCGCTGCCGTCCAATTTCGGTGTCGATATTGTTGCTACGTTCCATTGGCTTCCATGGGTAGGGTCGCGACGGATGAGAGTGATGTGGAAGCCAGGTCTTTCCGGAGGTTTGCTGTCATAAGGTCTCCTACTTGGGGATTGGCCTGGACTTCTCGCTGGAGAACTCATGCGGTTGTATGATGGATTCGTATGGGCCGACTGAGGTCGCACTTGAGGTCGCCTGGAGTCGAGGCTGTGACGGCCTGAGGTCAGAACCTCATACTTTTCCTTCCAGTTCTCCGCATTTCGTCCGGGCAAATACCCCGACAAGGCACTCCAACGATTGGTCTTCTTCGGCGCAGAATCATCCTCGATCAATTCAAATGCGAGTTCATCCTTCGGGACAGGTGGAAGTGGCCGAGCCGGCAAGGGTGGCCTTGCTTCAACCTCGTCACCCGGTGGCGTATGCCCAAGAAAGTCATTGCGACTGTCGGCTGTCATCTGCGTCGCAGAATGGGGTATATCGATCGATGAGCGACTCTCCGTCAAACCCGGACGAGCCGGCATCAGCGACAACGGCAGATCCGTAGAGTTTGGCACTGGGAGAACATTCTCTGGTAGCGACACATTGGATCGGTGAGCAGGGAGGGGAGGGCGTGTACTATCCGCATCCACCTTTGCACCACCACCGCCGCCACCAGGAACAGGCTTCCGTCGAACGTGATTCATTTTCGCAAACTCAGGAGGAACATCCGCTTCCTCTCCAAGTTCCCTCCGCAGTTTCGCCTCTTCCTCGCGCTCTTGTTCACATTCCTGGAGCAAGACATCGTCCTCGGGTGTCGAGACATGCAGATAGTAGAGGGAAGCATTGATGGCCTCAGCCGAAACACTGGCTTTCGTTGGTGGTTTCAGTGGAGAAAGAAAGACATCTACATTGCGGATCAAAGACGTTGAAATTAGCATCCATCGTCCAATCTTGAATAGATTAAATGATCGGTCAATTTCTCCCACCGCTTATGCGGGGTATATTTATCTTCAAGCGATTATGCAGCAACCGACCATGACGTACCTTTACTGCCCGGGACTCTCACAATATACAAAACCAAAGGATCAAGTTTCTTCTGCGTCGGATTCCGTGGATAAGCCGGGGGATTCGAGGCTACTGCGGTAATGGAGGATAGCGATCGAGCCTCAACGGGGCCTTGGGGAAGGCTGTGGTTTGGCGATGCGGCGGACGGAGAATCCGCCGCTGCATCGACCTTGGCCATTTACGGGAGAGGGAACAAGAGAACAGATCTCCAAGCGTCAGGGTCCAAGAAGGAAAGGGCGAGAAATCGATGGGTTAATACTATGAAGGAAGTAATAAATGAATGGGTGAATACGAAGGCGAGGTAAACAAACGCTTGCGGAGACGTCGGACGGGCTGCGGAGTGCCGCCAAGAGCTGAGGACGAAAATCACTCTGCCATCGCTGGTCGTCGATCTAGACTTTTACGTACATCGTGAAGATAGTTGTGAAGAAGCGCTATTTCTCTGGTAGACGAGTAAATGTTAAAAATAGATATTAAGAGTTGGGAAGGCAAGGCGAGGAGGCAAAGAAAAAAGGGTTGTAGGGAAGGGGAAAAGGGAAAAAAGAAAAAAGAAAAAGGGTTGCCTGGCTGGCGAATGACACACACGCGTACAAAAGGATAACGATAGGGCATCAATGCCAAGTGCTATGTCTTTCAGATTTGGTATCTCTAATCAAATAGTTACAAGTGTTCCCATGCCCAAAGCAAATCGAAATGAGGACCTCACGTCCCATGGAATGTCCGTCGGGGGAATTAGCGCGCATTACCCATACAGAGCAAATTATAGCAGAAAAAAAAAAATTAACGCCTAGGCTCCAAGGCTCCAACCCGCCCAATGTTTTGCAGATCACTATGATGGTAACTTAAACAACGGTCTCTGTTCTTTCATTTGTCGCAATGATCGGCACAGGAAGGCCTCGGTCAGGACTTTGCAGCACCAGCTGCTCGTGGCGTCGGGCCCGTAGAAAGTCGCTGATAGCGCGGATTAAGATAAACCAACCAACAATCATGAGAACGTATGAAATCCATTCACTCGTGGAGATCCCAGATACACCGCCACCGCCGCCGTCACTCCCAGATCCATCGGTTACGGTGCTGGGGTCGAAATTATGACTGTTGGGATCTGGAGGTGTCACGTATTGGTCTGTACCATCGTCTGGTTTCGTATCACTTCCGCCTTTCATGTAGAATCCGTATTGTACGAGGGTAAGACCGAGACCAGCCCTACTTCCATTCTTCGCTGCATGCGTAGTATGGAGAAGGTAGGTCAGGAGAAAACCGACCAGTTGGAAGGACATGGAGATCATAGCGTTCCAGACAAATGAAAAGACGGACCCCACTGGCAACCCATCCACGTACACCTCGTCGGATGAGATCCCGGGGGCCAAAATCGTAGTCTCCCAGTACGGAGGGGTAGCGTCAGCAGCCGCCTCTTCATAGGACTATACACAAGGAGTTAGCATGGGATCAATAGAATACGCATTGTTCACCACACGAAACAGGAGGTAAATACACACCGGAGGGAGGTCTTCAGTTTTCTCCCCACGCTCCGGCTTAGCCGCCAGGTTTGCAAAGACACCGTCATTCGTCGAACGGATCACTCGGCTACCAGTACTGAAACTAGGTAGTATTGTCTGCCTCCTTTGCATCCCACCATGCTGCTCACTGGACTGTTGCCGTTCATTACCAACTCCAGATGAAGAACTAGCGGTCGCACTGCTGCCATCTGCCACTGGTCGCGATCCCGGCTGAGCCCGCATTAGTCGCTGACGGTCATCTGGCTCATCCGCTTCGGAGTCACTCTCGTCATCAAATGCGTCAGCCAGCGTCTGGTCTGCATCGTCGTTTAGGGGGTCGTCATGGAGAAGGCGTCTGGATGATGGAGAGGTGGAACGAGAGCGAAATGAGGGAGGGGGGGAGTTTGGTGTTCCCCGGAGAGGAATTGACGATTGTGATTGCGGTTGTTCATCTTCATCGTGGGCGTTTACCTAGAAATCACCAAATCAGCAACCCGTAACATAAATTTCACAGTATATCGGTAATTTTCATGGACCCTGCAACCAGTCCAGGGCGGTGGGCGACTCTTACCCTTTGATAGCGCTGCGAGCTCATGACGAGCTGAGCGAGGAAAGGAAATCCGGAAAGAGAGGGGAAGGGCGATAAAGAAAGTAGATCGGAGTTCACGACAGAGGCCTTATAGTATTACCAACAAAGAAGACAAGGAAGAAAGAGTGTCGGAGAGAAAGCGATGGTGAAGATGGAAAGGGATCGACTGTAGATGGAGGATGGGATGGAAATGAGGGCGATTACATGACGGAGTGGAGAGAGCGTCTACCAGTGGCTGAACCACCGCTGCTGCTGCCTGGGGCATTCCGCCCACCCCCCCGTGACTTGACTTTTTGCCGGCGTAGATCATATCAAATAATTTAGATATCGCTAACTCCGACAACCCATCGCAACACACTGAATCAATTGCATTCATCTGGAATAATCTCAGAGGCTTTCGGTTCTTCTACATTATTTTATATCTTCTAACAGACGCCTTTTCTCGCTCATCCATCACAGTCGCAACCATCATGTCCAAGCCACCGGTTAGTCTTGAATTGTTCCTGCAACCAAACTAGATCAACCAACAGTAACCTGACAACTGTTTTAGGCTCAAACTATCGCGCGCATCAATCACCTTCTCAAACACTGGCCCACTGATCATGTCCGCCCTTCAGCCGTCTCCGTTCAGACCTACCTTCAGTCCCACCTTCCTCAAACCTCAGAGAACGCTTCTAAGCAACCGCAACAACAGTCGTCACAATCGCCACCCCCGCCTCTGTCAGAAGCTTCGTTGAATGCGCTGTCGTCGTTGTTGGAAGATCGCTATGCCAGGCGGTATCCATTGCCTCCTAAGCTGCGGCGGCCGACAGGTAACCCGGACTACTATGACAATGTAATTAAAGAATTCTCAGAGGCTCCGACACGGGATTTTTGGGGGAGAGTGAGCGCGAGGTTGAAGGGTCTTTTCAGGTTTAGCTAGGGTGCTGCACTTTTGGCAATATTGGAAGTTAGGGTTGGATTGAGGAGTTTGTATACTTATGTTTCAATGTACTACTATTTATTGCGATGGGAATATAGGTCGCGGATAAGAGATTGTTTTCGCCGCTTCTCGGTTATCTTAATATCTTTTGGTGGGATAAATGTACAGTTATTGTCCAAGACATATTCATGAATAATTTAAACTATTTTGTTTAAGAAATGGTATATACAACAGATCACGTACCCGACATGACTTCACAAACTATACGCTCATAAATCCCATAATTTTCACGAATTGGTGACATCCGGACATGCAAACAGAAAGATTATTAAAGGACGTGATCACAGCATGGGCTTCACATCATCAGCAACCTTGAACGGAGCTTCTGTCTTGCTCCGGACCTCATCAACAGTGACACCGTCGGCAAGCTCAACCAGGGTAAGACCATCAGTGAAGTCAACATCAAAGACGCAGAGTTCAGTGATGATACGGCTGACACAAGTCTTGCCGGTCAAGGGGAACTCGCACTGCTTGACGATCTTAGGGTTGCCCTTCTTGTCCGTGTGCTCCATAGTCACAACCACCTTCGTAGCGGAGGGGTTGGAGACTAAATCCATAGCACCGCCAAAGCCCTTGATCTTACCGGGCAACATCCCTATCATGCCACCGTTAGTACAGACAGATACTAAAGCTTTACGCAGGATGATCGGGTACAAAAGAACTTACAGTTAGCCAAGTCACCTCTGGCGCTCACCTGCATGGCGCCCAGAATAGTCAAGTCGATTCTTCCCGAACGGATCATGCCGAAGGACTCGTCACTGCCAAAGCAAGCCGCACCGGGCGCAAGTGTAACCGTCTCTTTTCCGGCGTTGATAAGATCCGGGTCTTCCTGGCCCTTCTTAGGGTAGGGGCCCAATCCCAGAATACCGTTTTCAGACTGAAGCTGGACTTCCACGGAAGGATCGACGAAGTTGGGTGCCAGCATGGGCATACCGATACCCAGGTTTGCATACATCCCGTTCTTGAACTCCTTAGCCGCACGACGGACAATACGTTCACGCTTGGCGGCGGTGTCACCCTTGCCCAGGGCAGCAGTGTCCTCACCCTCCTCCTTGGCAAAGGTGTACTTCTCGATGTTCTTCGGCGTCGTGCTCTGAATAACACGCTTGACGTAGATACCGGGCAGGTGAATAGCAGCCGGCTCAATCTCACCGGGCTCAACGATGTGCTCGGCCTCAACGATGGTCATCTTAGCATTGCGGCCCATGGCCCCGTTGAAGTTCTGAGCAGCATAGCGGAACTGGCAGTTGCCCAACTTATCGGCTTTGTAAGCCTTAACGAAGGCATAGTCACCCTTGATAGACTCCTCCATGACATAACTCTTGCCATCAAAGACCTTGACATCGCGGGGCTCGCTCCGCAGAGCGACGGTGCCGTCAGCATTGTGCTTCAAAGGCAGCTCGCCTGTCTGCACAACCGTACCAAAAGCGGCAGGTGTGTAGAAAGCAGGGATTCCATGACCACCCGACCGACAACGCTCAGCCAAAGTGCCCTGTGGTGTCAACTCCAACTCAATCTCGCCTGTTAGGTACATGCGCTCGAAGGTCTTGTTCTCGCCCACATAGCTGGCAATCATCTTCGAGATTTGCTTGGATTGAAGAAGAAGGCCAAGGCCGGCTCCGTCCACACCGGCGTTGTTGCTGACCACCGTCAATCCGGTGATTGAAGAGTTCGCTCGCACAGCATTGATAAGAGTATCGGGTACACCACAGAGACCAAAACCACCTGCCAGGACGGTCGAGTTGGACTTCATATCCTTAATTGCTAATTCTGCAGAAGAGACGACCTTGTTGATCTCGGAGCGACGGACGCTGCTCGAGAATGCACGCGCAAGGAATCGTTGATGCTAGTAGGACATTCGTCAATATAATTCCGCCTCGACATCACGGACTGGGTACACTACCTTGCTCGGATCTGCAGAGAATTGCCGCGCAAGGCGCAGGCACGTTGCAACTTGTGAAGGCATGGTGAACTGAGAGCCTAACGGGGTTAGACGCGCAAAGAGCACTACAGTCTGCTGTTAAGAGTCGCAACTGATGAACTCAGGCGGTAGTCTTTTCGTGAATATATAAGAAATCACTGAGAAGTAGCAGATCAAGATGTTCCCAGTTGCGCTTATGAGCTAAGGAGCAGCGTGTTCGAACGGATATATACTGTCTTCGGAAACCAAGAGCGGCTTGCGCCGGAGGCGCGGAAGATACCCGTAACGGGTGTTATTAAACCCTTCCTTCATACCCCGGAATTTCCCCGCAATCGTTGGAGATCGGACAACAAGCTCTTATCCATCATTTGTTTTACTTATAGAAGTAACTACGCTTTCTTTGCACAGTACCCACCACAAAAGCATTTTGTAATTATTTATGCCTAATATCAATCCTATGAGCCTACAGCGCGTCAACTTCCGGAAGGGAAGCAGCATGTTGCACTGCCGATGTGGACTGCCGACGGCGGGCAATGTTCCGTTTCCGATCCGCGGCCCGCCCTTCGGATCTGCATCTAGCTGCAACCTGAGTCACGTGGCCAAATCAGAGACTCCCCCGAAGTATATATGAGACACAGACAAATGTCATTGTACATCATAGACAGTCGTAACTAATAGTATCACCCGCTATCTACAGGAACAATAAGTACTGACCCGCTGCTATGTATAAACAACAATAACTCAACATCACACAGCTGACACGAAGATTGTAAATGCCTGTTTGGGTGTCTTTTGGTCGATGTATGTATGCATGGCCACAGGGTCGGCCTAAGGCTTAAAAGTCCAATGCAATTCAAATTAAGTATGTCATCATTCGATCGAGCTCGGGAAGAATGGCGAGGACAAAAAGGTCGTCTTGATCAATGGATTTTTCCGTAGCCTTCACCTCGAAACAACATGTTTCGCTGAGAATAACCGCCAAACCTCATCTGCCCAGCATAGAAAGGATGACAAAGGCAGCATCATAAATCTAAGCGCACTAGGCACGGGACCACGGTCAGATGTCGCTGCACAGAGGGCCACCCAAGCTTAGCTGATTGAGCCAGCTACATCATCTAACCCTTTTCGTTTCAAAGGATTCAGTGTCGCGACTCCGCTCGGAAGCATTGTTTCAGAGCCTACCATTGCACATCATGGAAGTCAGTGTCTTTGTTTGACGGCCCTCTGCCAGTGACCTCGTCGCCCCCCACACCTGTGGGGCCCGTTTTATCTTCTATATGGTGGTTATCTTCCGTACCTGATGTGCCTTTGTCAGTCCATATCTCATTGTATGCTGGTGGGTTCATATCCACGTCTTCTGCAACTGTTGGCGCAGTAACCCCTTCCATAGGATTTCCTCCATCTGCGCTTGGTTGATCATCCGGAGAAGACTCGATTATCTCCCTGCAAAGAGGACTGACTAGACGGTCCTTCATAGTTGCATTGACATATACGAGGAAGTACGGAGTCGGGGGATTTTGGCGGTCCTGGCTCGTAAATATTTCATCCAGGTCATGCACTTCAGTGACATAGTTATCGTTATACTTCCGCCAAACATTCCGTTCAAAATCACAGATGTAAATGTAGTAGTGCCCGAATTCAACGGAGCCATGATGAACGAATACAGCATAGAGACGATAGGCCAAATGTTTGTAGTCAGCAAACTGACTTGAGATCATAGTTTGTAGATCCTTGATCTCTTGTTCGATATCTAGAAAACATGTGAGTATAATTGTTCAAAACAGTCGAACCATATGTCAAAACCATATAGGAACTTAGGTAAGATAGGGGCAAAGAAAGGCGAGTGCTGTGACACTTACAGCTCAGCTCTGCCCTCGCTATCTGGGAAAGTTGACTAAGCTCAGGTATAAGTTCTGGGTTGATAGGAACCGCATCTGCTGCGGTCTCGGGATCCTCTTTCATAGAATTCAGCTCTTCTAGCACACCCCTAGCATTGTCGAACAAGCTCGGTATGTCCAGGCCATCAGCCTCCTGTGAGGAGTCAGCACATCTCGTCACTTAGGATAGAAACCATTCTTCGTTTGGTCCATACACTTTGGCGTTGCAACTCTGTTTGGCGAGCCTCGAGTTTTCTTAACGTATTTTTCCATTCCCAACACTGGCGACGGCGATTCAAGATTTCGGGTTGTTGGGTGTCCATATACCGGTCAAGGTAGATAGTCTCCTTCAATTCTAAATGGTGGATGGACTTGAAGGAGCGCTTCTTGACAGGATCGAACTGGACACGCTGGACCTGAACTTGGAGAACTGGCGGCAGCTTGCTGATTGCACTAAACTGCTCCGCCACTGAATTATCTACGCTAACTTTCTGGACGTCAAAAGCACCGTCAATGGCAGCATAGATATCTCGCGATCCGGTCGCGACGTCGATCTTTATGTCACACCACCATTCTTCCTTTGATCGCACCCCTTCACTTGTTTGAATGTAGGATTTGGCTTTACCGTAAAACAAGCTATTGAGGGACAGCATAAGTTAACCCAGAGCATGCCTTAAATAGGTATCGAAACTCACTCTTTAACCTGATCGAGCTGCTCACCATCTGGAGCAAGCGAGATTGGCTTGATGGCGCATTGACTCTGGAACAACACATTATTGATTACTTCTGTCACATCCTGCTGAGCTCCAATCTCTACTTCCTCTATTAGTTGCCTTTGTGGATCAGGCTGCGGACCAGGCCGTGGAGGGACTGGAGGAGGCTGGCTAGACGGCTCATTCTGCTCAGGAGAAGCCGGTTTGTCGGATGGTTGGTACTCAACTGCCTCAGGGGTTATATCGTTCTGCGCGACCGTCTTTGTAGAATCTGTCCGTGGAGGCTCAGGTTCTTTGTCATTAGAGGGCGGGACTGTGGCATCGACCCTGGTGCTGTCAGAGACAAGAGTTGCCTCGCTATCAACATCGCTTGTCGTTAAGCGTTGGAGTTTCTCTGGCTCGGGAGCTATGGGCCCCTTGGCTTCACTTTCTGTAGTCGGCTGCGGGGGTCCGAGAGGTCCCATAACTGGAACACCATTGATTTCACCAAGAGCACTAGGTCTGATCCCAGACATCGTCGACCGGCGACGAATAGCGGCTTCGTTAGAAGGGCTGATCAGCGTCAGCCGCGCCAGCTCCTGGGTGGGAATAACATAAGTTGCTGGGGCAGTGATCATGTCGTTGAAAAGAGTTCGCAGTTCTCTAAGGACTAGAGCAGATAGTCGTGAGCTTCTTACATCGAACACGCGTACTCAAAACAAGAACATCACCTACACCGTTGGGACCGCTCAACCTCCTTTTGCGACACTTTGCGAGACCCCACCTGTTTTTGGCTCAATATGTCCTCATTTATATCCATTTTGAAATTCTCGAAGTCCAAAACCATATCACGGTATGGACGAATTGAAAAATAGAATTGCAACAGACTGTTGAGGTAGCAGGTATTGCCAATATTCTGCAGTCCGACTGGCCATTCGGCCAAGTTACGGTCAGGTTTAGTGGCGGAACCAGAAACCATGTTGCTCAGTAAAGGGCTATTCTTATCTTTCGCGATAATTCGCAGCGCCTGGTTGTAGTTTTCAGCTTGTGCTGGAGCTTCATCCACACAAATCGTGTATGCTGCCATAATTGCGCTCTCATCCACGGTGCGATCGGGTATTTGAAGGAGACGATAGGCATCAGCGACGTCCATCTCACCTGCAGTCATCTCGCCTGTCTTGAGAAAATGATTTAAGGCTTCCGATTTTCGCTCCTCAGCTAGCAGCTGAACTGCACGGCGAGCAAGATCCCGGCTCGATGGATTGTCATTAACCTTGAGTGAAGTTAGCGAACAAAAGACTCAACAGTAGATTTCAGGCTTGAAAAGAAAATACTTTAGCTGTGTAAACTGCCATGACAAAGTCATCAGGTGTATCAGCGCTAACGCCAAGGAAAACCCGGGCCTGCTCAGCAGTTGACACCCCTATCGCCGTTAGTTAACTCATTGAAAATCATTTTTTCTGGTCGGGTCAACTCAGTCGTACTTTCTTCCGCTGCTGCCTTGATCCGCTCACTACGCCTGCTGTCTCCTATCCTCCATAGTTGTCTGCGGGTCTCAGTCTCCTGGACAGCAGTAGTGGCACCTAGATAAGCATAAAATTTCCCAATTATGCTGTCTTCTGTGAGTCGCTGGTCATCGTGACTTAGACCAAAGTACTTGTAGGCATCAACCACGTCCTCTTCGGTGTATTTCCCTTCAGAGTAGGCTACCTGAACTGCCTGGTCTATAAGAGAGCCATCTTCCCCTCCTCTGAGGGTTCCGATTGCCTTCAGACACTTTAGGTAGACAGGAGTCCTAGCAGGATCCACCGAGACTTGTCGGTTAAAGGCCTCGACGATGGAAGAAGCGGCCATGTCCTCAACGACACCCAGGTCTTCATAGTAACTGTTGCATGATCAGCATTCGTTCATAAGGGCGCAATTCTCAGATGAGACACACGGTTGAGGAGCCATCTGAAATTCACTTGATCGTGAGGCCTTCGGGTCTGAATATCATTAGCATGAATGCTATGGTAGGAGGTGCTGGTCTACACCTACAGTCCAAAGAGTCCAACGCATAGAGGAGATCGTTGAAGACCGGTTGACGATTAAACTCTAGCTGGTGGCCCTTCTTCTCCATCACTGGCCTCTGTTCTATGAGAGCTGTAAGTTCGTGTATAACGTCATCGAGAAATATCTTGAGCTGGTCGCGATAGGGAAACTCTGCCCACGGATTCGGTCGAGGAGGTTCCCAAAAGCCTTCATTCTGGTCAAAGCATTAATCACGATGAAAATTGCAAGGACATGTTACAGTACAAGTTTACAAACCTTAGAGCTAAATCCCAGGAATTCTAACAGGTCTTTGCAAGGCTTCCCTTCAACTCCGAAACACGTCATAAATCGTTTGTTAACCGCTGAGATTGACTTGCTCTGTTGGCTATCAAGGAGAGCGTTGCTGATATATGTACGCAAGTTCAGCAAGACATTGATAGGTGCGGGCGGAGCAACTCCTTCCAGACGGTCAGGATGGGCTGCAAATGCCTCGCTCGCGCGCTCTCGCAGCGCTTCGGGGTCTATCAACAGTCGCACCTGGTCATCATTAAGGACAGGTGAGGCGAACCGCACAGATACTGCAACGGAGCAGGATAGATATGAACACTCATAATGAAATGTCTCCAACATCTGTCCCTTGGGGCTGACTTCTTCCGGCGTGGCGCCGCCTCTGTACTTTCCGGACCTATATACCAGATGATGTACGTGGTCTGAAAATCTCGCGCTAGGTTGACCAATACCGGGCGTAGAGCTCACATCAACTTGCATATGATAACGACACCTCAAGCACACGGCCGATATCTTCGTAGGGGCTCCAGTATTGCTTTGCTCCGACTGAGGGACATAACTTTGGGCTGGTTTCGATACAAAGTTATGGCGACATGCCACCGATGAGATGTGCTCTAGCGGTCCATTGTAGTATTCAGGAAACACTGGCGGGACGTCCGCGAGCAGATTGCGGCCGGTCGCTGGAAGGTGAGCAGGATCATATTCGTATATATCTTGTACAAGACGGGGGGCGGTCTTGCCTAGTCGTCGGTTTGTCCATGTTAGTACCGTGTGCATGGTAAAGCAATGCGCTCCCGCATCGGGCGAAGCTACATACCTGACCGTTGAAAGGACGTCATGGGGACGCTCGTTTGAGCTCACAGTTGGCGGGGATCAGGCTGAGGGATCCAGAGTTATTCAAAGAAATTTTTCCATAAAGATAGGTTTTAATATTTTGCTCTTAGAGGTAGATCAGCAGTGATTGATCACCTGAAAGCCAAGAAATCATCCGATTCTAATAGAATGAGCGTTGACAGTTGGACTGGCGGGGAGCCTACTGCAGTTGGAGCAAGCGGGCGGCAACTTTGGTGATGGATTCACCACCACCGACGCAGTTGACTTTTGAGATCGTTTCGAAAGAAGGAACGTTTACTATAGATCAGAAATTAAATACCTCAAAGAAAGGGACCAACAAAGTCGTATGGCGAACAAAGCCATCTGTGCTGCCATCACTAAACATGAAGCTCTAGGAAAGCCCGAGGAAGGCGGTGTCGCATGGCAGAAACCGCGACTTCCCAAAATCCCAGCGAACCGTCTGAACGACTCGCCTACTCCAAGCAGAAGCCCATTCCAGATTCAACCGCCACCATGGCTGGACATACTGAAGATCACAGCTACCATCCTAAGGATGCGATCCAGGCGACAATGAAGACCACCATGCTCACTGGTGGGGTGGGTCTCTTCGCCTCGGCAGTTCAGAACACCCTCACCAGGAAGAACGTTGGGCCATTCGGTGTCTTCGTGAGAAGCGGCAGCACAATCGGTGTCTTCGGTATGGATGTAATTGGAATCGGCCAGTGTTAGGCTCGACTTTGCTGACAATTGTTATCCAGCGGCAATGGGAGGTACCTATGAGTTCGTGAAGACAGCGTCCGCCAACCTGCGGGAGAAGGAGGATCACTGGAACGTCGCATTGGGTGGTTTCTTCTCTGGTGCAATCTTGGGTCTACGAGGTCTGTGTCCATATCCTCTCTCAATTTGCAATTGCGTCCCGTTATTCTGACAGTTATGCAGCTCGGACTTTCCCCGCCCTTCTCGGTTACGGTGCTGCACTGGCAACCGCCATGGGCACTTTCGAATACACCGGCGGATCGTTGTGGGGTTACAAGAAGAACGCCGATATTGACGAGTTTGAGCGTCGGGAGCAATTGCGGAAGTCATACAGAACCTCCGGCGAGCAGACCCTTGCCGAGTTGGGAGAGGGACGAGGTATGTACATCAAATCCGGCATGGCTTCGATAGCAAGGTACATTATCGCTGATGTGAGCTATAGGACTCTATGGCCCTGGCTACGCCGAGAGGCGGGCACAGAGAATCAAGGAAGCATACGGTATCGAGGTCCCCACATCCCAGGCTCCCGCTTCATGAATATAGTTTAGTTTCCAGGTCTCTTTCCAATCTGCCGATTCCCAGTATCCTTGTGTAAAATTACCCTTATATGTCGAACACGTTTAGCTAGCAACTTTGGCAAAATTCTCTACTGGAGATTGCATTATTTTTGGGTCATGTTTTCTCTGTTGATATTTTTCAATCGCTTGACCAACATGAACGTAGGAGCAGGGGTGCGGCGTGACTACATTTCTGGCGCAAGGGACAAATTGCGCCCAACCAACACATTATATGCTGGACTCTGTACGCCATGCCATGCTTCAATGTGCATTCTGATTATAATTAGAATGAAGCAGCGAGGGAGGCTGGAAACCAGCGGTGGCCTATCTACAAGAATATGCGACAAGGACCAACCCCATGCTCGGGGGGATCAACCGCATGTCCTAAAATAGAGCAAACGCAAGTCACCCATTGAAACAATTATAGGCCCTAGACCATTAAGCTTCCTAATGTTGATATCAGCTTGTAGAGGCACTATCTATGTACGGTGGTACGGTACATCTCCAGTATCCATAACGGAGTCTGGAGCGAGATCGACCAATCACATTGTGGATTTATCAAATCACTTCAGCCTTAATATTCAGGTATCCCCCCAGCTGGCGGTTGACCTAAGGATAATGTAAGAGACAGCGGAAACCCGGAACGTCTATTCATATGATCTATGGAACTGACAGAACGCTGTCAATCTATTGAAGCAAACTCAAGGGATGCACGGTCGATGCAGGGGAAAAGTCAGGGGATATGATATCATCCCTCCTTGACTCGCCGCCATAACCCTACAGCATTATGCAGACAACCTTGGTTGCAAATACCTCCCTATCATTGATTTCGGGGGGGGGGGGGTGTATGTATACACATGATGGGTGGCGGTGGTTTCTGTGGTACGATACTAGGAGATGTAACTCCATGAATCAGACCAGCAGGTTTTGCGACAGGGTTGACTAATCACAGCTAATCTGCAAGGTCTGTCACACTCTCAGACCTTTCTGAGGGATCTCATGAAAAGAAGTAAACATGAATAAGGGAGTGGGTGGAGGAGCTAAAGAGTCTATTGCGAAAAGGGGGACGGTCATGGAAACATCATCCTTCGCTTCGATACAATTAGTAGTATTACGGAGTAGAATATGTACTTTTGTCACTATACTCGGTACTATACTAGCTAGTTAACTCCTACAACTTAGTCAGGTATGGGAGAGAAAATTCAATTAGGAGTATTTCTGTAACTATGAACGGGAATCTGCCCGAACCAGTCTTCTGGAAACCTTCCGGCTTGATCGACATGGAAAGCGATGAACCGTGCATGACGTCGAAATCGAAGGTTTTTATTTTTTTTTTCCTTGTCCTTTTCACTTCTCGAGAGTCTTATTGTAATTGCAGCCTCATCGCTGCCTGAAAAGGAAGTCAAGAGCACGGCCCGAATATCTCCTTTTTCTTTCTTAACCTATAGGAGTGTGTCAAATTAGTGGAGATATTGCCACTGGACGGAAGGAAGAAAAAGGGGGGGGGGGGGGGAAGGACGAGAAACCAAAGCGAAGAGATGAAGAACAATTATGCAGACGCTAGGAAGAATTCAGTCGATGATGATTTCCTTCGTATGATTAAATTCGATCCACTGGGAGATGGGTCGGGATATTTGATTGGCGTATTGATTGATATGAACCAAAGGGGGGGAACCATAGCCACAGGTCAGTCTCATCAACTGATGACCCAGCCACTGTCCACTCGGTCCCAGGGGAGCGAATTGATTTGAGAAACCTGGTGAATGGTGACGATGACGATGGATAATATTTCTTTTTGATTTGGACTAATTCACGACATCCTGTAATTATTCGCCTCGCTCGATCTGGGGAATTGTTTCTGTCTGGTTGGATATTGATTAAATCAATATAGGCTCGACACTACTGCATACTCCTGAATCAACCCCAGCAGAAAACATGGTTCGTTACTGGTGAACAGGCAACGGCATTTATTTAATAATAGAAATGGTAATCAAACTAGCATTCTCTGACCTAGTACGTACGCTTTCTAAGACTAAGAGAAATAGCATACTTAATAAGAGGAAAAGGAGGATACAAATTTGACATGGGACATGGCATGGGTCCTAAAGTACGAGTTATACCGACCTCACTAACCCTGAGTTGGTAACATGATTATTTGACGTATTGTCCAGTGCATAGGGAGCGGTGGTCAAGGATTTACTCCATAATCTTCTTTGATTTATTTATTCTCTTTTCATCCAGACAATACGGTGTAGAGATTGGCAGGAGAACGACTCGTAGCAGGACAGAGAGTTAAGTACTTGAGGTAAGTAAGCTAATTAATTCGTTACTATACTTTTGAATTTTATTATTCTCGTTCAGCTGCCATCCTTTACTGCTGTAGGTTGAAAATATTTTCTACCTCGGTATGTCATTATTACTTTGCCATTCCATGGATGCGCCTCTCTCTCTCTCTCTCTCTCTTCTACTCTCTTCTTAGGTCTCCTCTTGTTTCTTTCCTAATCAAAAAATCCTCGTGAAGTCACGCCGAAGATTGGTTAGGGTCCGGGGAGTCCGTTCCACTGTTTTGGGGAACCAGTAGTAAAGTAGTTCTTGGTCGTCATAACGTCGCATCTGCCTTGAAGTTCTTTTTCGCCGGGCGTAGACGTCATCCGGAACCGTCCAAGGCTTTTTAACCAGATAGTACTTAGTAGAGAACCCCCTCACTCTCAGCTGGTTGGATTTTGGTCATAATTAATTATTAACTACAATCGTACTTTTTGACTTCCTCGATGCCTCTTTTCTCCTTTACAACCACAACTCAAATCTCGCATGATCTGGTTTTCCTTCCCGGCCAAAAAGACGGCTATCCTGATTATTGATCCCATCCCAGCGCCGAATCCTTTAATAGTAGACCCGGTGGGGCACATTCTAATGAGGGATCGGCCGTGACTACTGCCGGACAGAGTACGACGACAGCGACACTATCGCCGAAAGATTAGGAGGTCGTTACCCTTTTCCTTGAACTCCCCGCAAACAGTTCGCTCCAGACCCTCTCTGGACGCTTTCTAGTTCAAGGAGGTCACGTCCCAAACTCCCGTTCGCTGGGTAACCAATTCCAGAAAACCGTTTCTGGTGGTATATCTTGGGAATTAGGACATTACCCGATCTGGACCTTTTTTTTAAAATTATCACTCTCCTTTTTTTTTTTTTTTTTCCCTTTTTTATTCCTCAAATCTCATATAGGTTTTCTTTTTTTACTTTTCTCTGGTTGATCCTTTTCTCCTATTCCCCTTCTTTTTGTCTTCTAGAAAAGCGACACCCTCTTGAGCACTACTCCATACATATACATCCATACATACGTCTCTGGTTATACTTCTCACCAAAATTCTCGGCCCGCATCGACCATCCGTCGGACTTTAGGCACACCTCTTTTCTTGATCACGGGCCTGGTTTGCACCGCCCAATTGCTCGCCCTGTTGAAAGCCATTCGCCGCCGCCCCCCTCCCCCTCCTCCCCCTCCTCTTCTTCTTCTACCCTATCAATCATGGCCACAGTGGTCCGGTCGCAGACACCGCTGCAAGACACTTACGGCGCCATCTCACAGCCCGCACATTCCATATTCTCAGGTCAGGGCTATGGCTCGCGGTCCGCCTCTAGACCAAATTCCTTTATAGCCTCCAACTCCGGCTACAACCTTGCTTCTGGTGCTGTCGCGGAGCCCCCGGTCACTCACAACGGTCGATTTCATGAGGAGTTCGATGTCGCCAGCCAACGTGGTTCCGTCGTTTTCGAAGGCCCGTCAGCCGCCGCCGTACAGCGTTCCGCATCTCAGATGTCCAACTCCCGTTCCGCGACACCCACGCGATCCGGTACTTTGAAAAAGAAGTCCTCCCTCAGCAAGAGAGGCAGTATGCGACGCAGCGGGAGTAAGAGAAGCCTGCGCGCCGGAAGTGTCAGGAGTCTAGTCTTGGGCGATAAGGAGAAGTATAGCGTCGACGGCGCCGAAGATCAGAATAGCGCATTCTACATCCCTGTTCCTACGAATGGGAACCCGACGGAGGTTTTGGCAGATCGCTTTCAAGGTAAGGCTTTTCTGTAGCACACAGCACAGCTGTATACCCTTTGTGCACAGGAATCTGTGTTTCTGACATACATCAGCTTGGCGCAAGGTCCTCAAGGATCTCATTGTGTTCTTTAAAGAACTCCAGAAATCCTACGAAACTCGATCCAAGCTGTTCATGTCGGCGTCAAATATCATCAACAATTCCGCGTTGCCCCCCACGTTTCTCAAATCTGGCGGCCTTGCAGATGCGACCGATATTTTGCGGAATTTCCATAAACAGGCGTATCAGGAAGCGAGCAAAGCTGCTGAGGTGGAAAACGAGTTGGTCGCTCAGCTAATGGGACTCCGAAACGACCTGCAAAAGAAAACCAAGGAGATCAGGAGCCTTTCGGGCGATTTTCGAAACTCGGTAGATAAGGAAGTCGACGCCACCCGCAAATCGATCCGTCATCTGCACGAAGCCCTAGGTCTGGTCGACACGGATCCAGCGGCCACGGCAGGAAAAGGAGACCCGTTTATCGTCCGTTTGAGTGTCGACAAGCAGATTGAAAAGCAGATTGAAGAAGAAAACTATTTGCATAGGGTATGGGCCCTACCCTGAAGGGTAACATTGACATATAGTTGCTAACGTGTGATGCAGGCGTTTTTGAATTTGGAAAACTCTGGTCGCGAATTGGAATCTATCGTGGTTAGCGAAATCCAGAAGGCGTACAAAACTTACGCCAACATCCTCACACGGGAAGCCGACGAGGCGTACGATGCCGCGGAGAAGCTTCGAGCAGGGCCCATCTCGATGCCGCACGACCACGAGTGGAACTCGTTCATCGCAGAGACCGACGAGCTAGTCGATCCACGAGTGCCCCTTCGGGATGTAGAGAATATCTCTTACCCTGGTAAAGACCATCCCGCCGCTGTAGAGGTCAGATCCGGTATGCTCGAACGTAAGAGCAAATATCTCAAGAGCTACACGCCTGGCTGGTGGGTCCCGTCATTCCCTTCTCAACGTTGTTCTTGTCACTAACTCGACACAGGTATGTCCTGTCTCCGACTCATCTTCATGAGTTCAAGTCAGCCGATCGAGTGGCATGGCAGACACCCGTGATGTCCCTGTATCTCCCGGAGCAAAAGCTTGGTTCTCATTCGCAGCCGGACTCCACCTCCCATAAATTCATGTTGAAAGGGCGACAGACGGGAACAATGCACCGAGGCCACTCATGGGTCTTCCGTGCCGAGTCGCACGAGACGATGAAGGCGTGGTACGAAGACGTCGAAAGCCTGATCTCCAAGACCGGTGAGGCAAGGAATGCGTTTGTCAGGAGACATGTGCGCACTGTAAGTGGTGCAAGTTACGGGCGGACGTCCACAAGCAGTGATAGGGTTATGGATGAGGATGAAGCGGATCGCACACCTTACTCGGCAGGATCAATGGTTTTAAACCAAGAACGCCCAGCATCCCAACCGCGTGAACCGGGCGGCCGTTTCCCCAGTGATGTGCATATAGACCGCCATTTACAGGCCCCATTGTCGCCGTCAAGTGGAGAGAGCTCCGGCGAGAGAGATCTATTAGCGGCCGTCGGATCATTGCCTGATGCCAAATCCCCTCTCCAAAGCACACGTCACTCCATATCTGAACGCGACATGGATGTAGACCAGGTGCAGCCTTCACGTCAGGTGGGTGAAGCCACGCGCCAACCTTTCGAGAGACACGACAGCTATTATGGCGCTTGGATGAACACGGCCGGCCATCAGAAGCAAATGCAGGCTCAGCAAATCTATGATAACACTCAAGATACTACCGGATTTGAGAGAGATCATATGGCTCCCAACTTGATTGCAGGATTGAAGACAACCAATTCTCGTGATCACTCTCTGACACGACAGAGAATTCGGGGCGAAAGCACCTCGACTGTGCCTACCACTACAAATGTGACAGATCACACTTTCAACACTGTCCCCACCTCGATAGACGAGAGACCGGAATCAATCTCACACGGATCCGATGTACCTATGACTGATAGCTGGAACAAAGGACAAGGACCTCCCTCCGTCCGTACAGCTTCATCAGCCACAGCAGTGCCCATCAACGCTCCTCGTTCAGGCGTTGTCGAGTCGAACGAGGGCAGGCGTCCTCCCGCTCAAACCAAAAACAGCGTGTCCACCCTCGAGCTCAAGATTCCGGGTCACTACCCACCAGCCAACGTCCCAGCATAGCTGCTTGGATGGCCATTACAGTTGGTTCCACCGGCAGGTGAACTAATCTCACCTGTCACATTTCAATTCTTCTGTAAATATTTTTACAACTACCGACCAGTAGCATGTATGTCTCCTGACATACATGCTCATTCACTCCCTTGTTACAGTCTGCGTCCTTTTTTTATTTTTATTTTTTTTTCCTTTGTTGTGACGTCTTCCCTTTGTTTTTAACGATCAATCAGTTTTCCCATGCATGAAGAAAACACAAAGAATGATCATTTCTGGCGTTTTGAGTCCACAAGGTTGGACACATGATCGGATAAGCAGGCGTACAGGTACCAGGTACAGGATCAGTATCCACGGAATTCACAAGTTAGGGCGTGGGTCAAGGGTTTCATAGGTCTCAGGGGAAAGGGGTGCGTGGTTATGTTATGGGGTTATGCGATTTCCTTTGTTCGAATTTCCTTTTGTCTCGTCTTGCTTGAGTTTCAGGTTCATCAATATTTCTCTTCGTCTGTATCATATTATATTCCCCCTTTCTGTTATTCCGCGGGCGTTTTTTCGGTTACCCTCAAGTTCGAGTCCATTTTGTCTTTCTAATCGAAGATCCAGAGACGGATGTTCGAATGCGATGCTTCGGCTTTGGCTTTTATGCGATCGAATTATTAGATCGGTTGATTTGCTTTGCGCTTTGTTCAATGAGTGGTTATGACTTATAAAAAGAAAATCTTAGGTTATGCGTGAAATATCATTATGTTGGGATGAAGTTCTATAGTCATTTAGTCAAAAGTCTAGGACGTAAGCTGTTCATGATTAGTTTAAACTTGTAGACAAAATAAAGTGGTATGTGTTTTATATATTCCAGTGACTTGAGAGCAGGATAAATATAACCACGGGTTCTGCAGACGACATCACTGTTATGGAGTACCGGAACTAAACCCGAGTCTTATTGGGGTCTCTGCAGAGATTGGAAGTGTATAGGAAGTAACAGTCTTACTAGCTTTGTTGCATGATTCCGCGGTATACCAGCCTATGTAGTTTATATACCTTGTACGTCTATAGGGTAGGGAGGCTTTCTCTAATGTACTAAGGTGCCCTTGTGACCCACTTACGTAGGTTCCAGCAGTGGCTACTGAAATATATAATGATGGGAAATACCGGATGATAGAGTGTGGGTAATGTGACCGATTAAATGGAAAAACTAAGGCCGCGAACGGCGAGAATATTGGCATTGGCGTAACACTAAACGACCGGGTATTGCAATTTCTACCAAAGCCAACTCGAAAATGAAGTAAGGAGCCTCTCCAGAACCGAAATCTTCTAGTGGAAACCCCACCCAAGCTGTGGGATACAGAGGACAGCCAGACCATGATTAATCACAAACTTACCCGTAGAAGAACATAAAGCAAGCAGAATCAAGGTCCGATTTGTCCCACAAAACCAGATCGCCAGAGAAGAAAACAAACAAGACAAAAACAGAGGCATGAAAAGCGGTAGAATAGCATCATCGCGTCCACACGAATACTTGGTCATGGAATCATTTGACCGGGGAGTAATTACATCGCATACTTTTCGACCTCATCGGTCCGTCGAAAGGGGGAAAGAATACGATACTATTACATGATCTGGTCTTGTGTGATACCGCCAGTGGGCTCGGCACCCTCCATGACGTCTCCGGGGCCAGCACCTGCATTCATGTACTTGACGAAAGTGATGCCGAGCGGACGGCCACCGTATTGATAACCGGTGAACTTGGCTATACGAACGTCAGTGGTTGCATTGGAAGATACAGCCTAGAAAACATACCAATCGCAGTTTCTGCTGTCTCTGCGTTGTCAAACTGGACCACACCCGTGCCGCGAGAGCGACCATTGGGCTCGTACTGAATCTCCGCACGATCTACCTTTCCAATAGTCGAGAACAGATCGACCAGATCTTCGTTGCAGGTAGACCAGGGCAGCTATGATGACCACACATCAGTACACGGATCCACGATGATAGTTGGGCGTGAAAGGAGGCTTACGTTGCGGACATAGATAACTGGGCCCTTCTCGCCTCCGGAGGTTGCAAAGTCCGTGAACGGGTTGGGGGGCACCGAAGGGACACCCTCGAAGCCAGGGCCACCACCACCACCACCGCCGCCGCCGCCAGCAGGACCACCGTAGCCACCACCGTAGCCACCACGACCTCCGAATCCGCCAAAGCCGCCACGGCCACCGCCGAAGCCGCCACGACCACCGAATCCACCACGGCCAAAGCCACCACCGAAGCCACCGCGGCCTCCAAATCCGCCCGGTCCGGCACCGGCAAAGCGATCCTCACGAACCTCCAAAGCCCGACCCTGCCAGTCGTAGCCATTGAACTGCTGGATAGCATTACGGGCATCATCAGGGGATTCAAAGGCGACAATGCCGGAACCCTTGGGACGTCCAGTAGCATCGGTGTGAACATCGGCACGGATGACGGCGCCTTGCTGAGCTGTAAAGTGTTCTTGGGTCAATCACGAATTCAAATTCCGGATATAGAATGGGAGTGAAGGTGGGCAAACGAGGCCGTTTGGAGGGAAGCCTCTGTATTGCACTTACCTGCTTGGCGGAAAAGATCCTTCAGGTCCTGCCAGCCAACATTGAATGGAAGCTAAACGTGCCTAAGTCAATATCTCTGCCGTGCGTGATCTCGCATTACTTCCAAGGTATCAAGAGGGGACAACAAACATTGGACACGTAGAGCTGTCTTCCACCAGCTCCACCGCCGTAACCACCACCAAAACCGCCGCGGCCACCACCGCCGCCGCCGAAATCCCCACGAGAAGGGCCACCGGTGAAACGAGGTTCGGGTTCACGGTCCTGAGATCTGTCAGTACATGGGAGAGCCCGCTGTGGAGGCCTTGAAGGGCTCGACATACCTCGCGAACGTAAACTAGACGACCCATAAGGTTCTGGTTGCTGAGCGTGTTGACCGCATTTTGCGCTTGCTCCCTGGTCGCGTATTCCACAATCCTAATCGACGATCAGTAATGCCTTCCTGGTGAACGTAATGGGGCGTCGTGCAGAAACCTACCCGCATCCCTACAGTATCCCGGACGGCCAGGCCCAGCCCGTCAACCCAAACAGTCCATCAAAACGAACCAACAGGGGAAATGGAAAAAAAAAGCCAGAAACACAAAGGGGAAAAGGAACCAGCCACACTACGCATTGGCGCCCACCTTCGACATTCCATTGGGAAGTAATAAGACGTCGGCAAAGATGACCTCACCAGCTGTACGGCGCGGAAAGATAGTCCCCCTCCAAGTCAGCCACGGATTCCAATCCAACAAAAAGCGCATCACGCATCCGACACAATATGACCCTGCTCACCCTGTCTCATAAAGTCTTTCAAGTGATGCCACTTGACATCGTAGGAAAGGTTTCCCACATAGACCCGACGGTCTTGTTGGGAAGACTCGCGCACTGCTTGCATCATTTGTTCTTTGGCGACAGCGCGGTCCTCAAACGATCTCGGAGGAGGCGGGTAGCTGCTGCGTCCACCGTAACCAGAACCAGAATGTCCTCCAGACGCGCCTGGTGCAGTACTCATAGGCGACCGGGAACGGCGTTCACTGCGGCGATAATCGTCACGACTCCGAGAGCGACTCCGAGGCGAATAGGAGCGACGGCTACGTCGAGGGCTGCGCGAACGACGACGGGGTGAACGAGACCTCTCGCGCTGCGCGTGGTCAGTATCGTAGTAATCGGCCGGCATCGACACAGGTGGGAGGAGGAAAAGAGAAGAAAAAGGAAAAGAAAGAAAAAGGGATAGGAATGGCTAGAAAAGGATGATGGCGAGTGAATGGTGAATGAGATCTGCACGGTGGCTTTCCAGGGTTGCAATTGGATGTTCCGACACCTTGGGACCGAAGGCAGCCTTCACACCCATTGAATTCCGGGAGAGAAAGCCAGGTCAGGTGACGTGGCCGAGGACGGGGACGGGGCGCTTAACAAAGCAATGGAGTAAGAATGGTGAATGGAGGACCCGGAGGACGGGACCCGCGAGACAGGTGGGGAGTTTCCTTCAGACCTCAAGCTAATGCACTGCCACCAGGGTGCCTTCTCTCTCTTCTGATTGTTGGTTTGGAAAACAACAACAACAAAAACAAAAAAAGGGTTGACAATACCTGATAATTTTTCCGTTCAAAAAATGAGGTCGCTGAACAAGAAAGCTAAAAAAAAAAAAAAAAAAAAAGACATCAAAAGTATGAGAACAAAACCATCCGATGTGATTGTTTTATGTTGCTTTAGGATACCAAAGTGGTGAGATCTGGAGCCCAAACGTCCACCGTCCAAAACCGGCTGGTATACTTGGAAGCCTCCACTAGCCCATGGTCACCCCCCAACCGGTACGGATAGGTTGTGATTTCTTGGGTGGACCAGTTCTTGCGCAAAAACGAGACAATTTAACAACATCGGGCAGGGCGAAAAAAAAGAAAAAAAAAAAAAAAAAAAAAAGAAAAGAGAAGAGAGCCATCATCATAAGGGTGATATCAAAACGATGCAAGATCGAACAGTGTGGAGGGGACAATACTTACTTGATATGGTCGATAAACGTCAGCTGCAGATTATACCTTAAACGTAAGCAACGAGTTTGACGATCCTCAGAACACGAGGAAATCAAAGCAAGAAGACAAAGAAAATACCAGTAATGACACGGATGGGGGATTCAGAAACAGAGGAACGATTAGAGAGTAAGAAGAGAGAGAAGAAAGAAAGGTGTTGCGAGAGTGTGAGAGAAGAGGTGAAGGAGGGTAACGGCGGGGTGTGAGGGAAGAACAAAAAAGCAAAGGAGCAGGGTAAAAAAAAAAGAAAGGAAAAGGCAAAGGGTAAAGGGTAAGAAAAAAAAAAACAAATAGGGCAACGAGAAAAGCAATGAATGCGAATGGGATGCGCCCGTCCAAGTCAGTCCAGTCTGTCAGACCTTCACTCGGGAGGACAGGATGAAAGGAGCACGCGGTATGATTGGTGTTCCCGTGGGAAACCGAAATGCACGCCTTTCTGCCCGGTGGATAGCTTTGGGTAATCAAATAAGTCAGAAGAGGTTTAGATGGACTGACCCTTCTTTTGACCTCCGAGGAGCCGGCTTAGGGACCGGGATGGGAGGGGGTGGACGATGATGGGTGGAGAGTAAGGCTACTAGTCCAAGGCACGGCATAAGAGGGGAAAGGGACAAAGTCAAAAAAAGGGACGGCCGGTTCCTACAGTAGTGGGAAGCCCGGAAGTGAGGTGACCTTTCATGACTGACGCGGATGTGCAGTAGCTATCAAACGGCCAAGAAGGGGAGGGAGAGAGAAACCAGGGCAAGTATGGCAGGTGTCAGTCTTCAAGTGGGTATGGGAGGATCAATTGGGTTCTAGAAAACCATTGAAACCCATCATTCTAGATTACAAGACAAACGGAAGGTGTGGGAATGTAAACAATGTGACATAAGGACATGGGGATGGGGGTGCTGATGTTGATGAGATGTTTTGATAGACACCCAGAATGATAGTAATCATCCTGATAAAAAAAACAAACCTCAACAAACAGTCATGGAATCATGCAGATAAGCAAATGCATGAGATAAAACAGAAGATAATACTGCTAGTAAAACGAAAATACCAATAAAGAAAAAGCACTAAAGGAAAAAGAACTAAGTCACCCACCCATGACAGTCTGTGATGCTGCAATCAAGAGGGGGAGAGAATGGGGAAGGAGAATGAGAGGAGGAGAGGAGTTGTTGTGTTGTCTGGAAGGTCTGGACTGTTGTCACTGGAGAATGTCGATGCTGAATGGGCGGATGCTCAACACCCAAACCGGATTCCAGAGCAAATCAGAAGGACGAAGAGAGAAAAAAGGGGAGTAGAGGAAAAGGGAAAATAGAAAAACAAATTAAAAAAAAATCAATAATATTGATTGGAAAATAAAAAAATTAAAAAAAAAAACAAAAACGGAGAACCTCCGGAAAGTTCAGTCGACACTGTAATATTGGCAGGGGTGAGATGGTTGCAAGTTGGCCTTTCTTTTCTTAATCTCACTCTCCTCGACCGGTCAATGTTAACTTCCACGCGGGGGTGGGTAATAAGACCTGGGGAAAAGGAAGGGGGAAATTAATGAAGACAATGAGAAGTGGAAGAGAGGAGAGGGAGAGAAGCAAGAGACAAAGACTTACATTAATTTTATGCCGACGGAGGAAATGAAATGAAAGGCGGCAGGGACAAACTATTAAGAGACTCCGTAATCATGCGTTCAACATCGTCCCCATCGCAGATGAAATGAAGATGCAGCCTGACTGTCATCCTGATGAAATCAACAATCGATCAGCCATGGATATATTATTTAATTCTCGTTTATCTCCTCCCCATGTCACTCGTCATCTATCACTGGGATCAAACTCTGCAGGGCAGTGGCAGTAAATACTACTACTGGAGACTTAGCCTGCAAATTGAACCTTTAGCATTGTTCTTAGGCTCTATACATATATATATATATATTGTTTTTATCTCTTTGCGCTCATGCTTATTTATACATTGTTATCTGAATTGAGCCTTCTCATCAGATGTGATAGGAAGATGTTCCTAAATAGGAAATCAGCTATATAACTCGTGATCGAATCCTTCTACCTTGGCTTCTAGATCTTAGATAATCACCTGAAGCCTGTCTCTAACTAACTAGTGACTATATATCATGAATTAATTCAACACTATATTAACCTGGAATAACCCCATGGAGATCGATATGCATCCGAGAGATTCTATGAGTTCTCCATCACCAGTTGATGATCACACATGCACGCATACATGCAATTGGCCATGAACTCATTCCTCCAATAGTTAGTACAACCCGATAAGAACATCCATGAACACCCAATCATCCCAATAGCCCTCCATCTCCAAAAATTAAAGCAACAAATAGAAATGACAGAATTTAACATTCCAAAAATCCCTGGTACCTCAGAAAGCAACCCACAATTGTACATCATCTGACAAGAAGGAGGTTTAACCTAACTCCAGTCAACTTCCAATCTTGGCTCCGCTCAGGCCACCGCTTAAGCCCACCCGAGAAAATCCAACAGGATAAGTTCCGACAACAGCCAAACCCTCCATTGCAGCGACCAACACATCCAACACGAACACCCAATAACCATGGCACACCCGCACCATTTAACCCGCTACCACGCGACCCTCCTCTCAACCTCCAAACGCCAACTAACCTCTCTCCGCACCATCCGCTCCATAGTCCCCCAATGCACTCGCCAACTCCACCATCAAACCCGACCAGCCCGCCGTCACCCTACTCCAACACACCTCATATCGTCTCCTCTTTCACAACCAACCAGACGGCCATACCACTCCGAACACCACCCTGACCCCCCGCCTCACGAATATACCAACTCCCAAACTACCATCCTCTCCGCTGCCCTCCGCCACGTCCCGACCCACGGCTTCACCCGCGACGCCCTCACCCTCGGCGCCCGCGATAGCGGCTTCCTAGATGTCTCGGTGCAATTGCTCCCGCGCGGAGAGTTCGACCTGGTTCTATTCTGGCTAGCAAGTCGCCGAGGATTATTGCGCGCAAGCGTGGACAATGGACTCTTCGAAAAGGATGAGCGGGTGAAGGCCGGATTGAAATTGTCCGTAGAGGAAAAGACGAAGCTCTTGATCATGGAGAGGCTAAGAATGAATACTGAGATAAGACATCAGTGGCAGGATGTATGTGCTTCCCTATCTGTTTCAGATCTGCTATCTATCCCGGGGGACTGAGGCGCAATGATTCTGATTGCTGGTTATGGGGTTGTGACTGATTGTGATAATTTTTTATTTATCCATTATAGGCTCTGGCGCTTATGTCGTTGGCGGGTAATATCCCTCTTTCGTTGTCGGAGTTGCATGCGCTTTCGTCGGAGATCTTGACTCTCGCTGGTGATGCTTCGGTTGATGCGTCGTGGTATACTAAGCGGTTGTCTGTTGCGGCAATCTATGCGTTGTCGGAGGTGGTTATGACCCGGGATCAGAGTCCTGGTCTTTCTGAGACGGAGGCGTTCGTTGAGCGGCGTGTTGAGGATAGCTCTGCTATTGGGGAGAAACTGACCGGATTCAAGCAGTGTTTAGGGTTTGTGGGGTCGACGGCTATAGGGCTGGGGAGGAGCTGGGGATTGAAGATCTAATGGGTGGTCCTGTATGATTTGTACTATTACTACGTCCGGTCTTGGTGGGTGTTTAGATATTATTCTATTCTGTGATTGTCTTAATATACAGTATGTTCATGTTCCCTGGCCACGTGTGAGAAGCGCTATCGTGAAGGTCTCTGCTCCTGTACTCGTCGCTCAATCCGGTGCATCCACCCCTCTGGTCCGAGCAACTCGCGCACGGCCTTCCGATTCGGCGCCAGATCCCACCACGGCTCACGGCGCGAACCACGCTTCTCATTCCGCATCCGTTTCCAATGCTGCTTCAAGTCCCGATCACGCTGGTTGACGATTCCAGTTAACAGCCCGCACGTGCGGTGGTTGGGCTCTACGCCGATCACCTCCATCTCCCGCAGAAGAGAAACCACCCCGGGGATATCATGGCAGCCGCGCCAGTAGAAGTAGATCAGCTCATTGTAAAGTCCTGTCGAACTACCCAGAACGGCAGAGGCACGGCCATGCGACTTGATCGTGGACCGGAATTGACTGATAAGCGGAGAATTGGGGAAGTGCAAGTTGAGAAGACGGAAAGCCACGAGGAGCATTTTGGGATATAGAGCCGTGACGACAGGTTCCACCGGAACGGACTCGGGAACCTCTAGATGAGAGGTTTCCGTAGCAGTAGGAGAGGCATCGGCTGCTTGGTTCTTATCTTGGCCCATACCAAGACCCTGAGCTAGACGGACATCCCCGAGGTGCTGCAGCATAGAGAATATTCTTTCTCTGCAGATGTCCCAAACTCCCGTATCTTCTTTGCCCTCATCAATGGCTGCTCGGAGGGCGCTCTCAATCTTTCCCGCTTCTTTCTTCACAACCAACTCAATCGCCTCATCCATGGATATTTGATTGCTCTCCAGCAACTCCGAAATATCCTCACTGCTGTACTCAGACTTCCGGAGCCTCTCCTGCAACTCTAGATTCTGAAGTGTAACCGGGGTATCTGTCTCTGCGGATTGCGTATCTGCGGAACCCGTCGTCGCAGTCTTCCGTTTTTTCTTCTGCTTTATGTCCTTAAGCACCTCCTCGAAAATCTCTGAGATCTGCGCCATTTCGTTCTTATCTTCCTCACTCAGCTCCGGCTTCTGCGCTTCGGCTGTCGTTGTATCTTTCTCAACAGCCCCAAGTTGTTCCAACAGGTCGCTGAACACTTGTTTCTCGCCGCGGGTCATGGTAAGAGGATTCGGTTTCATGCGGGGAGCATGCCTCGAGGCCATGGCAGCTCGCTGGTGCAAATAACTGCGTCTTTCCGTGGGTTCATTGCTGTGCTCGGTCTGCGGCTGCGAGTCTGCTGGCGCATTTGCGCTGTTATCATTTTGGGAAGATTCTGTCTGGGACTGGTCTTCGGGGGTATTGGTGCTCGAAGTAGAGTATGCTGGTGAACGGCATCGCAGCGGGCGATGGAAAGAGCCAGAGAGAGTGCGGGTCTGATAAAGGAATGGAGCGAGTGAATTGCGAGTTGTCACTGCTAGCAATGAACGATGAAGATGTCCACTCATGGTGATCGTTATGGACAAAAATGACGAACAGTTCTATTGCCAAAATGTAAAAGTTTTCAGCATGCTTTTGATATAATCGATATGAATGGTTCAGAAAAACAAGCGTCTATTAGTTAAGCAATGCAGCGGTGACGAAGCTTTATGTTGAGCTTTTTTGCATCTGCAGCTTCGGCATGGAGATTAACGCAGAACAAAAGCCAATTACCGCACCGAAAGCTCACGTGATAGCGCGATACCTGCGCGCGTTTTCTGACTTTCTCCGCGCCGACGAAAAGGTGCGCAGAAACCCATTGTTATATCGGACGAATCCAGAGCAGCGCGACCACCTGCAGGCATAAAAGCATTCAGCATTTCGCCATGGGTAACGAAGAGATATCCGATTTTGAAAAGCAACGGCTTGCGAATATCGCGGAGCGCGATGCGCTTCTCAAGCAGTTATCGCTAAATGCGCAATCCCTCTTCACGCCGACATTGCCAAATGGCGCGACCGGGTCCCAGGCAAAGACGAAGAAAAAGCCGGCCCCGAAGAAGGTCAAGAAGGAAGAGGAGTCACCTGCGCCGCGGCGCATGTCCTCACGTCTGAGGGGCATTGCGGCGGATAGTGAGGTGGCGAAACGGAAAGCAGAGGAGCAGCACCAGGCTTATCAGGAGGCGGAGAGGGCCAAAAGGGTTAGGAAGTCGGATTCATTCTCACTGAATGATATATTTGTTTCGGGCCAAAAGCTTAGTGGGGATGGCTTACTTGGTGTGGATGTTGTTACGAAGGGCGTCGCGGTGCCTTATCAGCGGACGTTTGGCGACGATGAAATCAAGAAGACAACGGATAAGGAATTGAAAGCTTTGAGGAAGGAGATGAGTGAATTGCAGTTGTGGGAGCCTTGGGAGCCTAATCGTATGATATACACTTCTTGCTGCGCAAGCGTGTGCTTTCGTATGCTAACTGTTGTATAGGAATCAAGCTCACCCCGGAGAGAGTCTATACCATGACATTCCACCCATCCGAGACCAAGCCATTGATCTTTGCTGGAGACAAGATGGGTCACCTCGGCATCCTAGACGCATCACAGGAAAAGCCGACCTCAGTGAAGCAGGAAGACGACGAAGATGAAGAGGACGATGACCCTGACCCAGTCCTGACCACCCTTAAGCCACATACCCGCACAATAAGTTCTATGGTGATCCACCCATCCAAACCGACGCATCTATATACAGCCAGTTACGACAGTTCTATCCGAGAAATGGACCTGGAAAAGACAACATCGGTGGAGCGGTATGCCCCAAATTCAACGTCAGACGATGTTCCGTTGTCTGGTCTGGACATGGCAGCCGATGATCCCAACACTCTCTACTGGACTACCTTGGAGGGTGAGTTTGGCAGATACGATATGCGCACAGCCAAGCAAGACTCGGTAGCCGTCTGGAGTCTGTCTGAGAAGAAGATAGGCGGCTTTTCGCTACTCCCTACTCACTCACACTATTTTGCGACGGCTAGTTTGGACCGGACCATGCGACTTTGGGACATTCGGAAGCTATCGCGTCGCGAACCTGTTCCTGTGGGGGAGCACCAGAGCCGATTGTCAGTTTCGCATGCGGCGTTCAATAGCGCCGGACAGGTTGCGACATCTTCCTACGACGACAGTCTGAAGCTGTATGACTTTGGCGCCAAGGGAATTGTGTCCTGGAAGCCAGGACATACCCTTTCAGATGCAGAAATGAAACCCGACACGGTGGTACGGCACAACTGTCAAACTGGACGATGGGTTACCATGTATGACCCCTATCCAAAAGTAACGATTATCAGGTGCAAGCGAGGACTAACCTAACATCTTATAGTCTCCGGCCTCAATGGCAAATCAATCCTCAATCGCATATCCAACGATTCTGCATCGGAAATATGAACCGCTTTGTCGACGTCTACAGTAGTTCGGGTGACCAGCTGGCGCAACTCGGAGGCGACGGCATCACTGCCGTACCTGCCGTAGCGGTTTTCCATCGAAGTAAGAATTGGATAGCTGGTGGCACGGCTAGCGGGAAAATCTGTTTATGGATGTGAATTGGCTACATTGTGAGCGTTGTATTTGTTATGTGTCTGTAGACCTCTGTTTCCTTCTTCCCTATCATCCTTAATATTCTATAGGTTAATGATTATACAAAAATTGGGTAAGACCAAATAAACTATTCATGAATCAAGGACTTTAGCCAGTAGGAGTAGTGTTCTATCCACGTCAATGGGATACTTATTTCGTCTATGCCAAAAGTAGAATGTGAAGGGAAAGACACTATTTACATAAAATCGAGACACTGTTTTTTGCAACAGTTTGGTTTAACAAGACCCTTGCCGTTCACAGCAACCCAGGACGATGATATTTCACATCCAACGTTGCTCGCAGGATCTCTCGCCTCCCACGTCAAAAACAGCAATCAGAGCAGGGTATCAACACCATGACAAATGCTTTCCAAAAATTGGGAGAAGTAGAAGGGAAACGCGTCAAGTCATGAGCACATGTGTAGGGGAAAAAGGAAGAATGTACACCGTAAGATGCAGGGATTGTTTGCACAGATCCGCCGTGTTATACAAAACCGTTGCCGCCTGCTAAAATTTTTGAGGACGATCAGTTCAGCCTCCACGGTCGCCTAAGCCAAAGTCAAAACGCATTCAAAGAAGAGAAAGCCCCATGGGGGCAAGCTAGAGACCAAAAGGATGATAAGGTAATAACATGTAACAGCCATGTCACCTTGTATCGGCGCCGTGAGGTGTAATTTGCGAAAGGGCTATATAGATGGGTTAGCCGGTAAAGGTAGCCCAGGTTGCCCGTCAAAACTCATTCCGGAGCTCTTCCCGGGATTGCTGCTGAGCATGCTCTCGGTCCCTCGCCCGGCGCCTCGATGTAGCCGGCACAAAATCGAAGAATCGGTACTTGCTCGTCGTCTCCCTAGTTATACTAGACCTGCGAGGCTTAGAGGAGTCTGGATATTCAAGAGAATAAGTAGAAGAATTCTTGGAACTACCAGTGCTATCACGCGTGTCCGACCACCGTGGTATCGAGAAAGGCACACGACTCTGGTCCCATGTAGCCGAGGAAGAGCTTGGAGGGGTATCATCATCACCATCAGCGGCATAGTCGGTCGACCGGCGAGGGAGAGAAGGCCGCGAAGCAAAGTAGCCGATTGAATTTCGGTGACTGCCAGTGATGGACGCAGATCCCGCAATTGCCGTCTCTGTAGCCGGTGTGGTGGGTTTCGAGCTTTCCTCGTAGAATGTGACCGACCGTTCCATAGAGTCAACTAGTTCTTCCCATTTAACCTCGAGGTCTCCACTTGGGCGCTCCGCCTGCTCGGCTTTACTCAGACATTCCTTGGTACGCCGGTCGAGGTGAAGCGCCATGTCGTGGAATTTCTTGAGTGCCGGGTCGAGATCCTCTATCTCACCAAGTCGCTCAGGGGCCCCTTCAAGCCATATCCGAATCAAAATCGCAAAGCTGCGTGGGTGATCTATCAAGAAAGGAAGACTGGGAAACCCTTCCCGTGATGTGGGAGGTAAGCGAC